TTTCTCTCTGTATTTTTTTCTTTTTCTTTTTTTTTGCACACTGTTGTTGAGTGTACTGATCGCGCTTTTTTGTTCTTGTTTACTGTTTTAAAGTGCATTTCGCGTGAACCCCTTTTTTCATTCAATGTAATCTATTGTTGTTTGGCGTTGTTTCTGGATTGCACTTTCAGTTTCTCGATGCAGTAGACATGTATACCATCTCTGCCTTCATTTATGTTCTGTACTGTACTTGTGATCATAACCCCACTCTATCCCCCCCCCCCCTATGTAATGCCCATTCGAGCCTTTAGGGTACTTAAATAAATAAATAAATAAATAAATAAATAAATAAATAAATAAATAAATAAATAAATAAATAACACGAGTCAGTATTGAATCCGAAATTTAAACCAATTTAAAAACAGAGTATACGATGTTTCGATCGGGAACCTGTATTTTCCAATTTTTCGAGTGGGCAGTTGGCAGTTACAGTCGCCGAATTTATGCACGTTCAGCCCGCGACGTGTGTATCGGAGAGGGGGGGGGGGAGGGCGAGCGAGGAAATATTACGGTTACAATACCAACAAAACTTGTTAGAGTATACTCTTTCCCCACCCACATCTCAGAGCGGACGTGACTACTCTCTCGAAAAATAGTGGTCCACGGTCGAAGCGTCGAATAAATGTTTTTTTTTGTGTTTGTGTGTTTTAGCACGTGCACGTGTTCATCCCGTCGACATTTTGTTCTAAATAGCGATGATGTTGTAGTGAGCCGTGGACAGATTTATCTTACGTGAACCTCGCCCGTCAGGTGGCGGAGAGTGGGAGAAGTGATTCTTAAATGAGTGAAAAGAAGATAAAAGTGAGCCCCGTAACTGTCTCTCAAGGGGGAGGACACCTCAACAGTATAGCTCACGAGGGGTGGGGGTAAAGGTGGGATTAAAAGGATAGGGAGGAATTAAAGGTGTAGAGATAGGGAGATGCGCAGGGACAGAGAGACCACATACGGAAGTGAGGAGAAGACAGGAAAGATGGACACGGTCGCGGGAGTCGTCCGAGGACGGGGCACCACTCGGCGAGAGCTCTTGTCGGCGTCGGGAGATGGCGTATAGGGGCGAGCCGGTCGGCCAGAGCTGCGCTGTCGTCGGAGATCGCGAGGGCGCAACCGGTCGGCACGGAATCCAGCGAGCGAGTACACGCTACACGAGCTGTTCACGACACGCTCTGTGTCGGTCTCGCGCTATCTGCGCATTATACACTCCCGCACATCGCGGCGATCGCGGCATACAACCGTTGAGCGCCCTGAGATACTTACTACGCTGCTCTCTTCGGGTCCTTTGGACACTTCTAGCCGAGGAACGCGTCCGCGCTTGACCAGCCAGTCGCGTCTCTCCCGCAACGCTTTGGGGTACTAGTCACTTCCTGCGGGGACTGCGTGGCTGCGCGTTTGCGACGTGCGCGCGGCTGGTTGAAACGTTCCACCACGGATAAGCCGAACGCGAGCGCGCGTGCCCCACGTTTGCTGCTGTTGGCAAGGCCGCTGTTGTCAGTAGTTTGCTATCGCGACCGTCCATCGCCGGAAGTCGTATATATATATATATATATATATCTGTGAACACCGTTCGGGGAAGGCGCTCTCCTATTTTAGCTTCGTTTCTCCATTCACTGCAGCAGTGCGACTTCCTGCATGCTGTAAGCATCAGGTCACTGGTGCAATTCCCGAAAAAAAAAAAAAGAGAGAGAGAGACTGAAAGAGAAGGCTCTCGCCGCGTGTGACACTATAGAAACTCAACATTTAAATAAAGGAGGGGGGGGGGGTTGAATTCTTCCCGCCCCGAAAATGTTGCAATTTTTCTCCTTTATGCATGTTTCTTTTTTTTTTTTCAATGACAATACGGAGTCTTCGTGAAAATGCCTACGACAATAAGGTTCCTGCCGTTCTCGCGCGCGTAACTCCACGTCGAGGCGGAAATACATGGCCGCAGTTAAAATGACACAGTTGAGACCTATTAACGAAAATTTGTTAAGTAGTTTTTAATGATTGACTTGAAGGTATGCGTCTATATTATGTGAAGTTGTAATGCGAGCCAATTTATTGTGTACAAATATATATATATATATATATATATATATATATATATATATATATATATATATATATATATATATATATATATATATATATTGAAATCATCATCAGCAACAGAAGCCTGACTACGCCTTCTGCAGGACAAAACCTTCTCCCTTGTACCGCCAGTCAACTCGGTCCTGTGCTTGCTGCTGCACTTTATACGCGCAAACTTCCTAATCTCATCTGCCCACCTAACTTTCTGTCTTCCCCCACCTGCTTGCCTCCTTTGGCAATCCAGTCAGTTAGCCTTAATGACCAATGGTGATTCTTTCGTTATTCTATAATTATTATAATCGTCATGAATACGGGACTTTGTAAAAAATGGGCGTACGTGAAGATCGAGAACGAGGGCTGATCCATGATACTGAATAAGTCCGAAGAAGTTTTAAAAAAATTCACAGCATATCTACGGAGTGAATGATCATGAGTGGGCAAACTGTCTGTCTGTCTGTCTGTCTGTCTGTCTGTCTGTCTGTCTGTCTGTCTGTCTGTCTGTCTGTCTGTCTGTCTGTCTGTCTGTCTGTCTGTGCACTCCTGTCACACTAGAACACGCATCGGACGGATGGATGCTTCACCCCACTCATCATCATTCACTCCAAAATATGATGTCTTTTTTTATTGTAACAGCGCCATCTATCCTCTTTAATCGTCAACTATACGAAAAGCACTAACGCCATCTAATGATATTATTTTCAAGGACCTATGCACACAATGCAATCTAGTGAGCAAATCATGAACTAGACGTGGCTACATACATGCTACATACAAACGGAGGAGGGAACGACCCATTCTCTGAGGAGTTTCGCCCCCTAAAAGAATTGCTGGAGTCAGAGCCGGGAAATTTTTTGGGTCGAGGGTGGGTGGGGTGGAACTTGATGAAGACATTGAGAAACAGTATTTTTAATTTTTTTGTCCTCGGTAGAACACCCCCCTTTGTCCAAATTATAAATGGGAGGAGAGGGTGCTAGGGCAGCTCTTTGGCAGCGGGCCTGGCGGGATAGCAAATTAGGGCCCTAGAATGAACCTATCCTAAGATGGCAGTCGTGGTCGCCATCTTAGTAAAGGTAGAATAAAACGTTAGGACAGTGGTTCTCAGCCATGCATGTTTCGCAGACCTCTTGCTGATTAGTGGAAAAACGTTCACTAGTGGCACTGATGAGGGACCCCTTGCAGTCACGGAACAAAAAAAAAGGGGGGGGGGGGGGTATTCATAGATTGATACAATGTGCAACCATAAAACGGGTGACTTTTATGTCTACCTGGCAAAGAATGGTGCCATGCCAATTCGATCTTGGCAGCGCTTTGTAGCTACATTGAACCTGTTTCTACCTACGTTTGTTCTTCAAATATGCAAACCTTGAAAATCATTCGCGTGTACACATGTCATAGAAAACTGCAAAGAAAACCATCTCATGGAGAAAGGGAACCATAAGTCTCCTTCGCTGCAATGAAAAGGTGATGTGCGGTGAAGCCAAAAAATTTTTTGAAGGGAGCTGGGGTTTTAGAATGTAGCGTGCCTGCAAAGAAAGCATTTTTTTCCTTTTTCGTTGTCGTCGATAACGGGTTTCGCGTGCTACCGGAGGTCAGATGCCGTCCATTCGAGAACCACTGTGTTCAGTGGGGGAAAAAAAAAGAGGGTTTCCTCCCACATACAAGTTTAGTATGACAATTTTTTCGGACAGGTACTGCTCATTGTGAGCCTTTGTGTTACTGGCTTGTTCGAGAAATCCCAGTCTTGGCAAATTTTAGTGGAGGTCAACTCATCAATACTAATTTCGATACGTTAGCTTCATTGTCGTAGGCGGGGCAGAGGGCAGGGGTGTCATCTTTGTCGAGAACTTTATTTCTCTATGCACTCTCTTCTTTTGGAATTGATGAACCATTTACATCAACAGAGTTACGGTTCTTTTTAGACAATCATGGCTATCAAGTACCCTTCATGTTGCATTCAAAGGACTGTTTACCACTTACCTTTATCCTTGGAAAGCGGGGATCAGTGTCAGGTTGTTGGTTGGACTCAAGAGGAGTGGCTTAACCACCATGGGGGAATCGGCCATGAATTGCCTTTGTGAAATGCACATCAACACTTTATTCTCATCTTCGCAAAGATTGCGGAGCCAGTTATTTATTGCCTACTCGACCAATGGGGCGAGGGGGGAGATGGGCTCTGCAGTGAAGCTCCCCCCTCACAACGAAGAACCCTGTGTCCGCCTATGTCACTCTTTGTAGTCTGATTCAGTCTAACATCACTCTAGCGTTAACAGTGTTAATAAACAAACACTCCAACAAAGTCACTGCTGTCACAAATTTGGCTTCCTTATGTTGGCAGTTAGTTACAACCAATTATTGGTTGCATGTATTGAGGTTTCACTGAATTGTAGTGGATGATCTTGTAAAACTACTGAACAGCTGCAGACACTTCAATGGATTTATTGACCAATCAATCAATTTATCTATCTATCAACCAACAAAATTGATTGATTGATGAAATTTTTCGCTAGTTTCCTTTGTTCTTGTTACTGACTTGCAGTGTTATTTGACATCAGTCAATAAGATTGATAAACTTGATGGATGGATTAATTGATTCATTTATTGCATTCTCTGGTGCTGTCTTTTGTTCTTCTCCGCATTGTTATAGATCGGCACAATTCAGTGACATCAACCTATCAATGACTGAAATTGATTTATTTATTGAATTGTCCGTTTTAGTGATTCATCAGTCGGCCTTATAATGAATGAATGAATCAACCAATCAATAAAACTTATTAATTGATTGATTGAATTGTCAGCTGTGGTCTCTTGTTCTTTATGGTGACTGACTTGTGCCAATCATTGGCAGTAGTAGCGTTGCATGCTTACGTGAGCCGATGTGCAACTTCTTGCTTCTGCAGACTGCAGGATGATACGACGAACGAGTTACCCGGGCTCCGCGACGGTGTCGCTGCGTCGCCATGCCCTCCGCGCAAGCCTGTGCTCTCTCCAACAAGGACGGGCGGCGGGAGTCGCCCAACGTCGCCGCTCGTCGCACGAGCCGCTTCCGATACGCCCATGTCCCCTTTGAAGGTTCACCTGTCCAATGACACGTTCAAGGGAGTTAAGTGTGGCGATGCGACCGATGTCAAGGTGCGTGATAGATGCCCTCTCGCTTTTCAGCTTACTGAGAAATCTGTATTAGTGTGACTTTCTTGTATTGGACTTATGGTGGTGGTGATGGTGATGATAATAATGAAAAATAATTACAGTAATACTCCATCTTGGATTTATATCCTTCCTCTAATGCTCTATTCCTGATACTTTCAGAGAGATAAAAAAATTTTTGAACACGGGAATTTACCGGGGTGAATGTTTCGACTAGCGGTATGGTCCCTTTTTAAGACTGTGGCCGCAAGGTTGCAATTTGGCTGAAAAAAAAAAACAAGGTTGCTTGCTGAAACAAGTGGCTCCAGTGACACCCCATGTTCAAGAACTTTTTTTTTTATCTTCAAGCTTCCATCTTCCCCTGAACTTCTGCCTTTTCTATATTGGTTTATCGTCCCAAAACCACCATATGATTATGAGAGACGCCGTAGTGGAGGGCTCCGGAAATTTTGACCACCTGGGGTTCTTTAATGTGCTCCCAAATCTGAGCACATGGCCTACAACATTTCCGCCTCCATCGGAAATGCACCCGCCGCAGCTGAGATTTGAACCCACAACCTGCGGGTCAGCAGCCGAGTACCTTAGCCACTAGACCACCGCGGCGGGGCGAATATTGTGTCAAGGATTTGTTGTGAGCTATAATTGAACTGTTGTAATCACAAAATGAAAGTAATTGAAATTGTATGAACCAGCAAACAGGCACCAGTGGGATATAGCCTATGCAATGCCGAGGCTGTGGGTTCTGATTTCACTGGCAGCAAGTTCATCTTTCATTTTCCTTTAATCCATATTTGCCTGCTTCATTTTGATTGAAAACTAAAATGATGCGCCCACCCTCGTGCTTTCTTTGGCTTCATGTGGTAATCTAATAACAGTTACTTTATTCTTTGTCACGAAGATGAGGACGGCTGGGAGAAAAAGTTAAGGGGCTTGACTAGCTCCGCATCTCCTCCCCCTTTCCCAATGTATTTTTTGGGGAGTGTACAGCAAACTCTGGCATTCACAGCGAAAATTCAGGGAGGAGATTGTGCAGTTATGAGACAGTCTAATTAACAGAACAAGTAACATGATAAATATGGTGGTGTGACATATTTTCTTGTGACTGTTGTAGCCTTGCTGCCCGTAATCTAAATACTGTGTGCACCCGGTTGTCACAGGGCATCCTGCGGCTGCTGTCGTCACAGCTGTCGGAGCGGCCGCTTCCACTGGAGTGTCCTGTTGGCATTACGCCTGTACCACCCAGCGTCCGGGGAAGTCCGGTGGCTCCACCAGGACACCACCATGTTCCAGGTGGTCGAGAAGTACCTCCCGCAGCACAACACCAGCGACTGGAGGTAGGGAAGTCTACGCGCGTGAAGTTTAACGTTATTGAAGGGCAGATCTGGTGCAATCGTCGTGTCGGCGTGCAGATGTGTGCTGGAAGTTTGCACGCTTACTCGAAAAGAGGGGGCTTCAATTTGCACCTTGTCGCTCCACCACCTAGGCTGTAATCTTATGAGGAAGTCTGGAAGTGCAGATTTGAAGCAATGAAATGTCGTCTCTATCTTTTGCAGGTTCGAGCTAAGGGTACGCTACCTGCTCAGTAACTTGCAAGAATTCCATGATAAGGACCCCATACTCTTCACATACTTCTATAGACAGGTGAGTCGGCTGGTGTATTTACCGTAAGAAAACATTGCACGCTCATTGCCTCTTTATAACAAAGTGGCACTTGAGGAGATTATGGCTTCGTCATACTATGTGATACTATCAATTTAAGGGGGCAGACTGGTCTTAGACATTTTTTTCATTTCTTCAGTGATCTTAATCGAACTGCACAGAATTATGCAGTTTTATTCTGTTGATTTCAAATATTTAATTAGTTTTCCTGTTACTCATCTTGGTTCCTGAGATAACTTAAGTTCACCCCCTGTTGTATAGGGCCATCATAGAAAAAGAGTGCTTAATTAAAAGTGATATTTAAGATATGCCAACATGGACTAATGACTATAGATTGAAAGTAGGCAAGAGTTTTTTGTTTTTAGGCCTTTCATAGTTACTTTACAGCAAAGTGAACTATCCATTTTGAAAAGCAGTCGGAATTGTATTACAATAATTGATGAGTAAAAAATTAAAAAGGCTTGTGCTCTAAACTTTGCTCCCATACTTGCATTCTGCACACATACAGGTTTCCATTGCAAAAATAATTGTTGTTGTACCAGGCCTAGCTGCAGAGACATTGAAGCCTCAAAACCGAACAGTCGTAAATTTACATTTTTGAGAAAAATGGAAAAAACTGAAAACACACAGCTTTTTCAAAAAGCAGCTAATCACCGTGCGCATGTCGTGCAATCCTCTTAAAGGTGCTCATAAATTCATAGCAGAGCTTCTAACACAGGTACCGGCATATTATAAAAGAGGCCTCAAAGTCGGTTTCCCCATTTTTTTTTTCCAGGTTCTGCATGTTAACAGCACCAAGAATCTGGACAGTTAGAATGACATTACAAAAAAATTACCACTTCCTGGTGTGTAAAAATTTTCAGAGAGATAGAAAAATACTTGTAGAAACCAAATATGTCAATTTTAAAAAATGAATTTTTTTTCTTCACTTTTTGGTCCCTAAGACCAGTCTGCTCCCTTGAGCATGCATTCACAATGCTGAACACATACATGTGCTCATGAATGCATAGCACGCAGAAACACAGATGGTGGAACGTGTACGCACGTGCAATGACTAAGCCCTCACTACACTGTGGTCACATCTCGCGATATAATACGCCTTCGCTACAGCTAATTTTCCATGCTAGTATACGTTTGTTCTTTGCCAATATTGCCAAGAAACAGTCCACATTCGTAGTATATCTAGTGATTGCTTTTATCTGTAACGTCTTGTGTATGAGAAGCGCTAATAGAGATTTAAAAAGCTGCTTGTTGTGTTCATATTCAGCCAAACGACAATAAAGCTAAGGAAAGCACAGGGAATGTCATCACAGGTTTGGAATTGAAGTGTGCATAATAATTGTTCGATAAAAAAGGGAAAAAGCGAGATAAAGAGAAAAAGTATGAGACAATCAAAGTGGACAAAAAGCTATAATTGTTACGATCAGTGCCTACATTTTTTTACTTCATTTTTTTATGATTTCTACATTTCAATAAAAAACTACGAGTGTCATTCCCTTTGTTGCTTAATTATCTGTGTCTGGCGAAAACAGGCCTCTTTGATCAAATCCTTTACTTTGGGCCATGCTCACATTTTTTCTTACTTTCTAAGCTGAATGGGGCATTCAGCTCTGTAGTCATTAGCAATAAGCCTAATTCTGAACGTGTGCTGTCATGCATCCAGGTCAAGAACGACTATCTACGAAAGTGCACGAATGTGGATCAGGACCTGGCGATTTATCTAGGTTGCTTAGAAATTAGGCAAGTATATATCATTCTGTACCTGTGTCCTCAAGAATTTCCTTTGCAAAAATTACCTGTCACTTAATCACTTTTGGTTGCCCATTGGCATGCTGGTTGTTAGCTTACTTCCACAGCAGGACATGCATTTTAGTCATCTGCAACAGGTTAGCTGGGTGATCGTTGTAATCATGCAATATGAAATGTATCCCAGATTTCTCACGACCAGGCAGGACCAGCAACTATTTTTTCATGATGTTTTCTTTGTATTTATGATGATGAATTCAACGTCACATTCAAGTCGTCAACTTTACAATGCTCGTTTACAACCTAAGAAAAAAGAAAAGTCAGCTCTGCCTACAGCCTTCACTGTCTTTCTCCCAGGGAATTAGCAAAAAAGCTCTATCACCTGCTTTAATTCATGATGTCAAGCACTTCTAAGGTGTTTTAGATAGTTGATTTTCTCATACAAGCACATGTCCGTGTTGCTGGTGCTAGATCAGAAACTTGGAACGTCTTGGCACATTTTGTCAGAGATTCTGATTTTGCTGTCCAGCCAAACGTAATGTCTTAAGATGTAACGACAAGCTGTTATCTCTTAATATGCACTGTTTTTGTATTAGCTGAGAAGTACTTACAGTTCAAGTGTAAGCCTGCCAGCACGGGTGCCTTCCACAGCCAAAGGGCAGGTGCCCTCCAATGCTGCAGCCAAAGCTTACACTTTTTCTTAGTCTGCAGCTGGTATAGTACTAGCAGTACTAGCTTCGGTGGAGAAGCTCTGTAAATGTTTCAAAGAATGGCGTACTTACTGCGCAATTCTCTTGGAATTTTGTCCTCCACGCCTGATGCCCAATAATTTGCTACGCCTGTGGTAAACCTTTCGAAGTCTCAGGTTCAGGCATCACCTGATCGCAGACAAACGGCTTGATCTTGCAGGAGGTTTTGCTAAGGACATGACCCACGGAGCACTCGACAAGAAGTCCAACTACGAGCTGATCGAGAAGGAGATTGGGCTACACAAGTTCTTTCCGGCCCACGTCATTTCGTCGAACAAGGTGTCGTCTCTTTTGTAAGTCGTGCTCGGAGTACCATGTCTGCACGCGCAGTGCTTGTTGACTGAAATGTAATATTGCTCGCTACAGCGTGCACAGACTGCCACTAGCTGCTGTGTTAGCCTGCCTTGATGACGGACCCTTCTCAGAACAGCCTGTACTTGAATGCCGACACGAAGTGTCTTCACACAGAAAAACAGTGAAGGCCTTATTGCACTTTTTGCGTGGTAGTGGCCATAACATCTTGTTCATTTTTAACATTTTTTTGCTCGTTTACTTTATTTTTCGCTTTGCTTCCCATCTTTCTTGCCCCCTTCCCTTAAAGAAGGGTATCAAACCATATTCTATCAAACCATATTCTATAATTCTGATCGGCCTTTCTGCTTTTCTCTCATTTTATTCTCTCTCTCTCTTTCCGCTCGAGATAACTGTGTCTTGCTGTTAGTTAGACAGGCAGAGGTTTCTCCATTAAGAGGTAAGGCTTGGTACGCTGCAGCACTTCCCTCCCTCCTTCTTCAACCTCACTGCTGGCATAGTGTTCTCTGAGTATTACCCCTGTAAAATGTTAAACACATTGTGCTGTGTGCCTCCCGTGTTTTTAATTGTGTGACCTGACCTAGGTGTTGTCGTTGGGTCATTTGCCGTAACCGCTGCCTTCTGTTCTGCAGCCGAAGAACCTGCGCAAACTCATCCAGGCCCAGTTCAAGAAGTGCTCACAGCTCAGTGAGACCCAGTGCATGTTGCGATTCTTGGAGTTGGTGCGTCAGGTGCTGGCCTATGACCGGGAGAGCTTCTCTTGTGCCCTGGGGGTAAGCTTCCTCATAATCCCTAAGAAATCAATTGATAGGTTTATTCCTTAAAGTATAATCAGGCTAAATCCAGCGAAAAAATTTATTCATTCAGTCAGTACGTGTTATGACAGTTCTTCAAAATGGAATTTCTTGGATATTGATACACCGGTTCCCAAGAGATTCTTATGCTGCAAAGGCTACCTGAAAGTGAGCTGTTGTGACCTCTTTAAAGGGCCAATCAACAGGCTCCTACTTTTTTACACCCCCTAAAGAAGCTCGGCAATTTGTAGGGTATACAGCGATCATCACGTTTTTCGAATATTACAGCATGGCGTGCCTGCGCAGAGCCTTCATTTCTAAAAACGATTCCTCCACTCCTTTCCTACGCCTGGACCAATCCTCCTTTCGTGCGCAGTAACTAAAAGTGTCCGATCAGCGACTTGACGTAGCACGCAGCTCGTCGATTGGTCTAAGCCAGTCAGGACGACGGGCTGTCCCTTCCCCTTCCTGTAAGGAAGAAGGGTGGTGAGGTCGCTCGAAAATTTGAAACCAGCTGAAATCGATGTTTTAACCCCTGTAAGTTTCTTAATATAGCACATACTGGCGAAATTCTCGCAGCAGCATGTTCACTAAAGCAAAAGTGCTCATATTTCTCTTTATAACAATCTTTGAACTCTTGGGGTTGTTTACTGGCCCTTTAAGTGACTCTGTAACAGCCAGTTGGATGACGAGGACACCGTCAAAATGGCGACATTGAAGGCTTCTCTTCAGCTTCAGGAAGAGGAAGAAGTCTGCTAGGCTCATATTTGGGAATATTCCGCCCTGATACAGCCTTCATGCAGGCAAATTTCTAGAATTGCGTAGAGACAGCTCCTAAAATAATTTTTGTATACTTTGACTACACTGTGCATGCGCGTTTCCTCTTGGATGATGCCATTACTTAAGTCATACTGGAGTAACCTTAATGGTAGTTTTAGGTCTTCTTTTGAATGGCTCAGAATTTACCTTACTACATGTGGTGGTGCGCATGTTTGTGACAGCGCTTACTGTGTTCCTTTCAACCCCCTGCAGACCGGTTGGAGCGTACCCGTGGAGTTGGTTGTGAACCAGGAACTCGGCATTGGCTACCTCACAGATCGAAATGGACAGGTTTGTGTTTTCTACAGAAGCACTTTCCTGTACTTCGACTTGCATTCTTAGGGCACAAATCTTAGTTGTCCTTAGTTACACATATTTAGGTAATATGTGTAATTTTTCTCGGGGCTTGTTGTTGGGCTACTTGACTTATCCGTAGTGGCCAAATAAACCTGTAAAAAAAAGAAAAGAAGAGGACGAGAAGAAGATGCACTCTTCGTGCACTGTTGTTCATTAATTTTTTTTTCATGAGTGGGAAATTCTTGCTTGTGTTTTAACAACGGCATATCCGTGAAGTGAATGATGATGAGCGGGCAAAGCAATGAGATCGTTCGGCGTTACCTTAAGTCACCTATTACAATGAACACTCATGCATGTAAATAAGTGACAAAGTGGTGTACACTTACATACGTTTATTGGTCATAAATGGTATGTTGTGTCCAATAGTGAATTTCATTTTCCCTTCACTGTTACTGCTTTGTGGTGTAGGATGTATTTTGAAGAGTGCTAAAATGAGGTCGTGCACGTTTCCCTGGTGGTTGTTGGTTGTTTCCAGTCGTACGAAATGCATCGTAGAGCATATCGAGACGTCATAAGCTCCACAAGCCTGTCATTCGAGATCGTCACCATCATCAGCGTCATCGTCATCGTCTTGGCGTATAGTGGTCACCTTCCATGTGCTGTGCTGTGACGGCAGACTGAGAATGTGTGGTCTGAAAACGCACTTGTTCTTCATCGTCATCAGCATCATTGTCGTCCTCCTGACGTATAGTGGGTACCCTCGGTGTGCTGTGTTGTGATGAAAGAAAGATAATGTGCAGTCTGGAACGCCCTTGTTCTTCATCGTCATCAACATTATCGTCATCGTCAGCAGCGGCTACGGCGCGACAGAGGACAGGCCTTGTTCATAAGCTGCGTCGCATCTAAAGCTTTTGTTTGTTAGTTTTTTTGCCATGAATTGCTATTTTGCACCTTGTGTTTGCTTTTTTTGTGTGAGTGCGTGAATGTGCAAGTGTGTGTTGTGTTTGTGAATGTGTTGTTTATTTAGTTGTTACAGCAGGCCCAAGTTGAACGCCTAGTGAAGAAATAGGTCACAGTAAGAAAAAAAAAGAAAGACAAGTACATGTATAATGAGAAGGCAACACATCCGAAACAAAGCTCATTTGAAGATCTAGTTCAGGCTAAACACAGTGTCCTAGTTACAATGGACAGCGAAGACAGAGTACACGAGCGGGCCTTTGTGCGTGTTATGTGTATGTGTTGAACTTACGGCCGTACACATCTGGATTTAATAACATGCCTTGTTTGCTTCAGAGGCAATATTGATGAGAACTCATACGAGATATGTTATAGAGTTGCATGTGTGTTCGGGCCCCATTCTTGCATGCTTGTATGTTCTGTAAGTAGTCATGTAAGATGGGCTACTATTCTTCAAGATTTTCTAGATCACATTTTAAAAATGTCCTTGTTGCTTGTCTTTTTTCTTATTTTTTTGCAGCTGAATCACATAGCTAACTTCCAGCAGGTCCAGAGCATTCAAACCATAGTCAGCGACGTTAACCCAAAGCCAGTGCTTCAGCTGAAGATTGCAGGTACCTCAGAGGTGAGTGCTTGGAATTGATTGCACGACAACTCCTTTTAAATGACAATTGACTATGTGTTAATCATATTTGCTTACACGCTGCATAAACACTCATAATTTTCTTCTTTTAATCCGAATGTATTGCCATCGGTTTGCCTGCCTGTTTTAAATGTGTTTCATGGATTTATCAGTTTGTGAGAGTGAGCTCATTCATGTGGTGGGTGTTATTTAGTAAATCAATCAATCAAGATCCAATCAATCACAATGTAAACCAACCAGCCAATCAGTGATTCAAAGAATATTTTCATAGGCAAAATAGTATGCATAAACGTCTTGACTAATGAGTGCGTATGCTTACTTGCCAGTTCAGCACCGAATACAGTGAAAAGTACGAACGTCATCTGCCAAGAATGACATAAGCTGTGCATATAGCTCTGGTACCTGAATCATTTAAGAGCAGAAAAACATCTTCTGTTGATCAAAGTGCATCAATTTTCATTTCAGGTGCTAAGCATCTCTTGTCCCTCACTGGCTGTAGCGGAGAGCATTGCCGACTTGGTGGATGGCTACTGCCGGCTAATGCAAGGAACACAGGCGTCCTTCTGGAGCCGTAAAGGTACGTTTTTTTGCGAGAAAAATGTCAGTCACTGTGGACACTTGAGAGCATAGTAGCATGGCAGATTTCAGTCGATTGAAATCGGCCACACGACTCTCTGGAGCGTATGGCCAGTAATGAATCGTAACAGATTCTGTTCACTGCCAGAAAATATATGGTTTTCATTAATATTTTTATACTTACAGGAATAGCTTGTCATTATCCTAGCATCACCTAGAGGGGTGGACATGAAAATTACAATCCTAGAATACTGCCTAAAACCATGCCTTCAATGTCACCACGACTCTGTGGTACACTCAAACCTTGATATAACTAACCCGGATATAACAAAGAGTTGGTTATAACGATGTAAATGAAGGATAGTTTTGCAATAGTATAGTGTTAGGCATATACCATTGTAAAAAAATTTCGAATTTAACAAACTGAGGTTTGAGTATGTGTGCATTTTAGACATTCCTTGATCATGATCAGTTTGCGACTTCGGATGATTGTTGGAGTACATTAGCTTAGATTGTGGAATTACGGTGTGGCCACGTGACAACACGTTTGGTGGCAACCAAATTTAGTTATCTTTGGCATGACGAACTGAATGCACGTCATGTCACCTTTATCATTCCATTTATGCTTAACGAGTGATAAACCTGACTTTGTGGTAAGGCTATGAATGATTATCGACATTTGTCATGCATTCTTGACAGCCTTGCTGACTGTCCGTATACTTCTACTGTGTTGGCACGGAACTCAACTTGCATCCGCCTTAACTAATTATGTTGATTGTTCAATGTTAAGGTATTTGTTTTCTGTGTGTCTGTCTCTGTGGTGTACTGCATAATGTTCATGTGATCACCGGGCCCACTTTGCTAACCTGATGCATGCTTCAATGCTTTGTGCGCTCTGTGCTGCTTTGATGTGTCATGCAACTTTGTAACCTTGACGCAGTTCATAAGCTTTGTTGCTTGGTGGTGGCATAAAGTTTCAAAAGAGTTATAAAAGTGTAAAGTTATGTTCTGAAGCTTGCAAAGTGTAAATACGTTGCAGAGTGTCAAGTGTAAAGATGAGCATAAAGACCATGGTGGGAAGAAAAATGCTTGGGGCTGTACGGGATACTCTCGTTTTAGGTTAGGTTTGCATTAAGTCAGGCCTAGTCAGAGAACTTTATTTCCTGATTATGTACAGGTAATCTTGTTTTGAAAGGGGTATAAATTATACGACTGTGAGTAAAGACCCTCTGAAATTTTAAAATGGAGGGCTCTTTGTCGTTACAGTTCTAAACAAAAGGTATTTAAGCGTATAATGTAACTAAATGTTAGATATTTCTTATTGCGACAGTGAATTTTTGTTTTGCTGGCTGTACTTCAACTTGCAATTTTATTAGCTCAACAAACACATAAGTGAGACTTGCCTACCATAGCATCATTCACTGAGCTGTTGGTTGTTGCCTCGCACAAAAGTTAGTCGAGTTGTTGGTGTGCGCTACCGTTCTTACATAATCTCGACCATGCAAGCAGAGATTCACCACGATCCCTCTCACTTAACGAGCCCGAAAAACCTACGTGATCGAGGAGTGTTGACTGTTGTGTCGTTTGCTAGCCGTGTTTGTTTGTCCGCCTGTGTGATGTGCCTCTTTAACGCTTGCCGCCTCACGTTGCTTTCTTCTCGGCTGCTTGTCTCTGTCCTCGTAGAAGCCACTGCGGAAACTGACGAAGGTAGGCTTATTTATATATCTTTTTATCTTTTTCTATCGGCCGCGAGTAGCTTGCAAGTTATGTAGCGTTGAGTTGGTAGTAAGAGGCTTGCTGGTAGTGCTGACTTTTATTGATCGAGTGACGCTAGAAGTAAGTGAAATTATATACTGAACACATTAATAAGAATCAGCTGTTTGTCTTCCATTGATTTGTTGCTCTTCAGGCCCTTAGAGATGAATGAATGAATTGCAATGAAGGTGTTAATGCTAGTTACATAAAAGACAATATTCCGGTGTATTTGCAATGTTAGCAACTCTTTGTTATTATTACATTGCACATTACGATGTTTATTCAAAGTAAAATGGAGCTTTAAGAATAAATATGCAAGTTATCTACAAACTTAGGACGGATTAGCTAGTTCTAACAATAGCGTTTTAGTCAGAAATGTCGGGTTCATCCCAAGTGGTGTAGCTTATTCCACTATGCAACTTCCTGTGTGTCCGCTGAGACCTTGACGGTGAGATTTATTGCACTTTTGCTCCAATTTGACGTTCTTGTAGGCCTTAGTTGGCAGTTGGAGACATTCTAGAATATCAGGAAAACATTTGCGCTTACAGGTAGGGACTATATTTGATGCAAAGACCATACCAAATGAGAAAGCATTCCATTTGTCATTGGACACTTTTAAGTATTGGTAGACCCTATTTGGTGGCTCAACTTAGCTACTTTACATGCAACGATCAGATCTTTTGTGTGCATTTTGAGTACCACCTATTGCCGTGCATATAATCGAACCTATCTTTACTTTAACAATTTTGTAGTATTCTGTTGATACGCAGAATACATGCATGCGATTCTGCGTGAGATTGGTACTTGGGTGCCCTTTCCTAATACTTATACTTAATGCGAAAACAGACTACATTGTGGTTTTAATACTCAAAACCATGGTACAAGGTCTATCCTCGTCCAAATTTTAGCCCTAAATCTATTATCTGGTTGTTCTATGTCAGGAGCACGAAAATAATTTTACTTTGTTTGTGCACATTGCAGAAATTCTTCACAGATTTACAAGCCAGAACTGTTTGTCAGCAAGGTCATTTTCTTCAGGGTAGTTTAATGTTTTTTGCATATTTTCTCTGACTGCAATGTTCATTTAAAATAGGTAATTCAAATATGGTGCACTAAATTTACTAGCAATGTTCATTATTAAGTTGATACTTATACATTCTTATCACCCGATACGTCAGCTAAAATTTCAATCCGGAAAGCATTCAACTTCTGGTACCACTTCCATACATGCATCTCATAGCAATCATTCAAAACTTTTCAAGTTATAGCGATGAGAACGAAAAATTTTTGCCTGATTGCCCTCCAAATTAGTGTTTATTTAATTGAAGTAACTCGGGTGTGCTGGCATTAGCGACGCTTGACACTGTGTCGTATTCTTGTTTTCAGATGCCCATCCTCCTAAGTACAGGTACGAACATTTTTTTTCCACATGTAACTGTAGCTGCCTAGCAAAGAAAAGAGTCTAATGTTGTCGTTGCTTCTCTCTCACGAAGGGCGGGCGTCAAGCACAAGAATCATTCCAACCCCTCTGGCCCCAAGAAGCAGGGTGCCTCAGGTAACAATATTTCTAGACTCTGTGGCCTTGTTCTGGTCTTGCGATAACTGACGCTGTCTTGTTCTCCGGGATCATGTGACCCGCTGAAATGCTTACGCTTAAAAAATCTCACCTGCTCCGCAGAGGACTATGCCGAGATCGTGGATGAAGAAGGAGACTATTCAACGCCTGCGAGTAAGCATCCACTTTTTCTCATATTTGTAGTACATCTACCAGACTGCAATTTTAAAAGTGAAACCATTGCTTTTATGACCACTTTCTTTTCACTCATAACTATCAAAGCCTTGGTCTGTACTATTCGTTTCATAGCTGTAATGAATATGTATTGTTATGTGGTCTTTTAGAAAATGATTTGATAGTACAAGGTATAGATCAAATGTGCACATAGGCACTGATTGTCATTACAATTGGCGTTTGACAATATATTTTACGCTTTATAGTGTGCATATTCGGGCCTGTTTTTACCTTGTTTTAAGGCTTGTACGAGTTGTGAATTTTTAGATTTAAAGTGAATTCGAAGTGAATAGTGATTTTGGTTGAATAATTTCAAATCGAATTTGAATCGTATATATATTGCATATTATAAAGAAAAAGAGGCATATATGTCCTGACCAAACTAATCTGCAGAATATTTCTTTAAAAATTGAAACACTGGCTGTGCAAATGCCTTTTTTTTTTTTTTGCATCAAAGGAAGTGGCAACAACATTGAATAGCAGCAGGATTTGACTTTTGGTACAGTGCTAGTGATAGCCCGTAAAATATGTTAGGTTTTAACATTTGCTTTATTTCGAGTATATATGCCGGTGTAACGAGCTTTTAAACTGAAAAAAAAAAAAAAATCCAAGCGACTAATATTTTCATTTAACATTGAAGTGGGGCTTCACTGCAGTGCAGATTTTTTTTTAGGGGTTAGGTGCTTTTACAGTTTAGCACCACTTCACTGCAGTGAATTCACTTTTACGTGTGAATTAAAATACATTTAAATAGGTGCTTTCACGGCTTAGAACTCTTCTGCTGCAGTGAAACCACTTTTAGAGGGTGTGACTTAAGGACTAACATGCTTCCATTTGTTCGTTTCGAATAATTCGAAATTTTCAATAATTTAAATTCGATTCGAAGCAAATTCCAATACTGCATTATTTGTTTGAACATTCGGAGCATTTGAATATTCACATAAGCCTACTTGTTTTTACATCATTCTTGCCATTTAGAGCGAATTTTCTTCGATCTACTGTGTCAAGCGAAGCACAACTTGACGATATTGCGGCAAGGTAGTATACTCTAAACGTTTGTCTCATATGAGAAGTGGGTGCCCCGCCGTGGTGGTCTAGTGGCTAAGGTACTCGGCTGCTAACCCGCAGGTTGCGAGATCAAATCCCGGCTGCGGCGGCTGCATCTCCGATGGAGGCGGAAATGTTGTAGGCCCGTGTGCTCAGATTTTGGGTGCACGTTAAAGAACCCCAGGTGGTCGAAATTGCCCGAGCCCTCCACTACGGCGTCTCTTATAATCATATTGTGGTTTTGGAACGTTAAACCCCACATATCAATAAATCAATTATGAGAAGTGGGTGTTGTTTTAGTGGCAGTTCATTGTGTGACGAAAGTGTCTTCACTTCTTTTTGTTCGGCAGCCAAAGACTACGAACTTTGTCGTTCTCACATCACGCTTGGTGACATCATCGGGGAAGGCCAGTTTGGAGATGTTCACAAGGGGACGTACACTTCACAGGTGTGTTTTTACAAACTGCGACAGCTGATAGATGGCCGCAAATGGATTTGCTTGAAAAATTCTGTTGAGTGCTTGTTTCTTTCACATTTTTTAAATTTCATTTTCTTGTTTTTTTCTTGGGGAACAGTTGCAGCCAAAATGATAACTCGCCAGTGTGTTTGATGATAACAGTACAAGTTATCACTTGTTCACTTTGTCTGACTTCTTGCTATGATGAAAGCTGTTGCCCCTTTGTTGTGAGGAACGAATTAAATTTGTATTGTCAGAGGGGTAAAATGATATGCGTTTGGTTGGTTTGGTTTATGATTAAGGGTAAAAAAAACAGTGCTGGAAGGTGGGACGAAAGAAAAAACAGGGACCAATGTGTTTATTACTGGCCAAGTGTTTTAAGAGTTTCATCTTTCAGGAAGCATATATACTCATAAGACAATACAGCTTATGTTGCCTTCCTATTCAGATTGTTTTATCCTCTGTTTGGAATAGTTTCCCAAGCTTACACTTAATCAGGGGGGTGAAGGGTGGTTCTGTTATGGCTGCAAGATTCTAGCACTTACACACACAGTTGGACAGTTTAAAAGCTTGTGCGTGGCAGCTGTCATGTTGTGATCCCCCGAGTTTTGACATGCAGGCTGACAACCAGGTGATCCCAGTGGCCATCAAGACCTGCAAGGTGGAGACGGAGGATTCCATGGGCGAAAAGTTTCTCGAAGAAGCCTGTGAGTTTTGGCTCTGCTGCCCTGCATTTCGGTCAACATGTAGCATGGACGCGCATGTTGAAGAAGTTACTTCATTTTAGAATTAAGCTTTAATTGAGGACAGCCCTCGTGATGATTCAGCTCAGACTTCTGTGAGGGGCACAGTGTAAGATACCTACTCTTTAGCTGAGTGCGCTTTTCAGCTTGCTTGCTTGCTTGCTAAGCACGTTCGTCTTGATAAAGTAATGACAGCACACATCCGTTGGTTCGGTGATGGCAGTGGATATCTATTGGCGAGAGGAGGCGATTTCAACACAGTAGTTTTATGTACGGTTGCTATGGCGATCGATGTGGTCGACAGCAACACCGGCATTAGCTGCGCGTCGCATTTCCCACTTGTGAAAAACGTGGCAAGTGTCTCCAGCCTATTTGCTAGTGTGTCATAGCCACATTCGTGGACCAGGAAATCCAGGTTTTCTGCGAAGCCCCAGTCACTTGACGGGCACATGGTGATGTTACTTTATCTGCTTGATTGCGTCTCGCATGTGCCCTCACTAAAAAAAGTATACGTCTTACGCTGCAATGTAGGGACATAACTATAGTACAACATCAAGACCGTAGTCGCTTTAGTGATGAAATTACATGCCATCAGAAGAAAGCGCACAACTCGGGCAGCTTTCCTTCGTTGTCTTCATGTGAGGTGTTACTGATACCATCAGTCACGCATTTTTTTTTTAAGCACGGAGCATCGTTTGTCATCTTGGCACGTGCTGAACAAACATAATTGTCTTGCAGATATCATGCAGCAGTTTGATCACCCCCACATCATCAGGCTCATCGGCATATGCTCAGGCTCACCCATCTGGATCGTCATGGAGCTGGCGAAACATGGAGAGGTAGGGGGCAGGCATTGAATTTTTGTTTTAGCAAGTCGCCCTACGACAAAAGGAAAACCACCAATCTTTTGCCGCAAGAAGGCTCTCCCTGTAGGCTATAAAAACGGCAAAGAGAAAATCCAGGTGGTGACGTCCTTGAACTTACCCCACCATCTTGCCATGACGTCATGCGATTTGCCATACATTATTCCTTATTGGTAAAAATAAATTGTGTTGTATTACAATAGAGCCAGAGACTCAGCTGGTGCAATTTTCAAAAATTTTATTGATCCAATGTGGGCAAAATGTGAAAACCATATCTGGGACGTGACGCTCGCATTCACGTGGGGAGGCTTATTCGCAATCTTTGAAGGGATGCTAAAAAAAAGATAGCGAAATGCTGCAGGGGTTTTAGATATCATCATTATCATAAAGTATTTAAAAAGCCTCTGCCTGTATTAATATGTAAGAAGGGAAAGGAAGAGAACACACAAAAATTGGTTGTATTATGCGAAAAACGAAGCACCAGGGTAACCAGATCTAATTCAAACACTGAGACTTCAAGCTGATATTCTTTGTGGGCATTGCAGATGCGGGCCTACCTACAGAACAACAAACACCGGTTAGACTTGGCCACTCTGATTCAGTATGCCTACCAGCTCAGCACAGCGCTATCTTATCTTGAAAGCAAGAAATATGTCCACAGGTGAGTTGATGGCCTCTTCGTGCTTTGTTCCATTTGAGCAGACTTTATTGTAATTGTGATCTCGAAAGAAATGATGTACTATGAAAGCTGCATGTTAGTAGAGGTCTATTCTCTCAAGCAGTGCTGCTTTTAAGGTTTAGTTTATGCAAGTTAAAAGAAAATCTTTCCCGAAATTTTGGGGCCTAGGCGGATAGTAGAAGTTAAATTCACGACATGAAACATTGCGATATCTGCTAGTTCTCCAGAATTTTCTGTAAAGTTTAAAAACTCGAGCTTGTAATATCACTTTACAATTATTTTGCCCACAAAAGAAATTTCAATCGTAAAGGGACCCTGGGACAGTAAAAGTTTTGTAGCATTTAGGCTAGAGCATAATCAAATCATTTGCCCCACAAATTGAGCAACACACCGTGTACAAAGGCTGCTAGGGACATTCATATCTATACCCTCTTTTTCACCCTTGCCTTGTTTCCTCAACTCATGAGACATGCTGGCATCCCTCGCGTTCGGGGCACTCTCATGAGGACACTTCACAGTTTTCACTTTGTCCAGTCACCGCCTCAGAGATTGCACACCGACAAATTGCACCCAATGCCGGAGACCCTAGCCCAGTGCGCCCGGCAGCACGCACACCCTCTGGTAACAGAGACAAAAATCGCGGAGTGATTGATATCTGCTCCGACAGGTGCCACCACGCTGCCAGCCGATCTTCTGTGCATTTCACAGCCAATCAGATCAGGAGCCTGGGTGACGTTGTGCTATCAGAGGATGTCGTACTATGAATAAGCGGTTGAAAAAGCATTTGAGCCACAGTGATCAGCAGTGATTCTCAGTTTTAAAGCATTGTAATAAGTTACACAGTTTATGCAGAGAGCTTAAATTGGTCTGTAAATGACACTTAGGACTTGGTGTATTGGCTCAATGTGTTCGTTCGAAATCATCAAAATCGTTTCAGGGTCTCCTTAAAAATGGTTCCACTCGTCAGACTCCAAAGTCTTTGTTGGAAGAGATGCTAGAATGGTACCTGCTTTGAGAAAGTTTACATGCAGAAGTTCTATGAAAGAGGCTGAATTGGCAATACCAGGATAGCTGAAAAGGCTACTTCTTTGCAAAAAGAAGTTTGCTGGTTAATATTTGCATGTCATCGTGGTGCAGGGACATAGCAGCGCGCAACGTGCTGGTGTCGTCGCATGACTGCGTCAAGCTGGGTGACTTTGGCCTGTCTCGCTGGGTGGAGGATCATTCCTACTACAAGGCTTCTCGCGGGAAGCTGCCGATTAAATGGATGGCACCGGAGTCTATCAACTTCAGACGCTTCACGGCCGCCAGCGATGTCTGGATGTTTGGTGAGGAGAGCCACACCCTCTTGTAACTTGACCGAAAAGCTGCTTCAAAACGCCGCGCTCGTGTGTGCGCATTTCAGTAGGCATTGTCACCAGAATCTGACGATGATGTGCGCTCTTGAGCTGGTGAATGCTGCTAGGCCACCAGGAAGCCTGAAGAGCTTTTATTCAGTTCGATAGACAAGCGGATAAGTCTTTTTTGTATCAACAATTGACCAGTCTACTGTTTCGAAATATTTCCGCAGGACAGGTCATATTTTGAAGTACAGAACAGGCAAAGGAAGCGAAGTTCAGTCATGGATCTGGGGCCTTCGCTCATTTGTGAACATAAAAATAGGCTGAGTATCGTGAATGAAAGCAATTTCTTGGCTAACCACAAGGATATTGAGTATCAGGGTGCCCTCCCATATTACATATCGTTTAATTTTAAGTGACCTTGATGGAAAGGGTAGCTGCTTAGGGTCTTTGGTAGCCACCCTCGGGACAAACTTGGCCTGGTACTCCTTGCAGGGGTTTGCATGTGGGAGATCCTCATGCTGGGCGTCAAGCCCTTCCAGGGAGTCAAGAACAACGACGTGATCGGCCGCATCGAGGACGGCGAGCGGCTGCCGCTCCCTCCCGACTGCCCTCCGCGCCTGTACAGCCTCATGTCCCAGTGCTGGTCGTACGAGCCCTCCAAGCGGCCTTGCTTCAGAGATGTCAAGCAGGTGCTCAGGTAAGGGAACAATACATCACCTCGTAGGTCAAAAACCATTGCGGTCTGTGAGCGTGACCTCGGAGTGAATAGTTTGGCGTATTATGTACACTCAAACGTCATTATACCAGTCACATCTCTTACAAAAATAACTTCGTTATATCAAAAAATTTGTTACAGACATTTATCAATAACACTGCATCTATGACAAGCCTATTCTTCATCTACTTAGTTATAGCCCATAATTCGTTACGTCTGTGTTTGTTATGTTGAGCTTTGAGTATAGGCAAACATGCAGATAGCTGCCCATCATGGAGGAAAGAAACAAGCTAGCAGGCATTATGGGTTTACTACTACAGAAAGACTAGGACATTAAAAGAAACATGAACAGTGTCATGGAGGTATGTCGAGATAGGAGGTCGTTATGTACAGCTTAGAACGTCACCCTCTGAAGCCATATTTGGAGGCTTCGCCGCTTCTGACAAAATGTCCTCTCCCCGTTCTCTCTCAACACTTTTGGTCACGCCTTCTCTGGAGGGTCTGCGGGTTCACTACATTTTTGTGCCATGCCATGCCAAGATTGCTGGTCACAGCCTCGAAACAAATGCTCTGCAAAAATGCACTGCTGGCTGCCAGAAATGAACATGCCAGCTTCTTGCGTGGTTAAAGCGCTGAGATGCCTACAACTGTGCAGCGGTCGGAAACATGGGCTCAAACAGTGATGCTTGAGTCTTGGCTCTCTTTACAAAAAAGAGGCATGACTTTGTCTTTTGAAGGAAGGAAACCGTAGAGAAGGGAGAGCACAAGGAAGGCTGTCTCTCTCTCCTTATGTAAAGCAGCTCAAACAAGTGGTGTGGCTTGTCTGATGGTGCCTTAAAAGAAAGGAGGTATAAAACATATTGTGACGTTGAAGTGCACCTGCGTAAGCTGTCGAACACTGGCACAATGAAATGACCCGTATGGTAAAGGATTCTTTACATCATTCACAACAGATTGAGCTGTATAACAAAGTATCTTGAAGGTCCCATGCACTTCTCTTATAAAGGTGTCAGTCCGTGTGCGTCGTTTCGGTGACAAGGAACATTGCTGTTCATGTGCTGCAGCATTAGTAACATTAGCAGCATTAGGGCGTCGTGGTTTGGTGGATTTGAAGTGAGCAGGCGTGCGGTTACCTATATATTTCGTGTGTTTCTTTAATAAAAATTTGGTTAGGAGTTAGCGCTTGTGTGTCGCATTCTATTGTCCCTCGTCCCTGATGCTTGCACTATATAGCAGTATCTTTCCAAGAGATTGTCTAGGGTCTTCATTGTTGGAAGTTGTAAATCTGCAATGAGCTGCAAAACAAAGATGTGCACGATCTTTGGTCTGCTTGCAGTGAAATTCTGGCCGAGGAACGGCACCAGCTGGAAGACACCATGCGGAGGGAGAATCGTCGTGTTCAGGCCATGTCTTGGGGTAAGTTGTGCCCCCTCTAGGCTTCTAAAGTGCGTGATGGTTTCGTTAAAGGGACTTGCAGCTGGCCAGAATGTGTGATTAGGTCCTAGTGATTATGATGAGACCGTGAATTGGAGTGACAGATTCAGGTGTCCTTGTCGCAACGCGAGTAAAATTCACATATTTAAATTGTGTTTAAGTGGAAAACAAAAACACTATGTGGCGAAGCCTTTGGGAAGAGCCTTGAAGCTGCATCATAGAGTCATTGGCTTCTTTTTACACAGTCTGATGCTTACATGCGTACCACAATTAGCATTCCAAATTAGAGTGTGCATATTTTTATCCATCCCCGCTTCATTATATGTGCTGTGAATGAAGTAAGAAGAATTTCTTAATAAGAAGCGGCGCTGCCTTTTGGGCAGCTAGTGGAACGTGTCGAGCTGCAATGCATGCGCGCAGGGTGCACACATGGGCAGCAAACCGCACTGCACAAACACAAACTGCTGTCGCAGCTGCCTTCCGCTGTTTTCAGCATGTGTTGTGCGTATACGTCTTCATAACTGCCACAGATTTAAGAAATTTCAGTCACAAATGTTTCATGGTATCTTTCGTGTTACCATTCCATAATTAGACATTCTCACCGGTAAGCTACCTGTTGTATTACATAATAAAGCAAATGTGTGTCATGAAAACTAGTTGTCAGTCCCTTTAAAGATTTGAGTTATTTTAGCAGTTCTGATGTATATACAGCTTCTGCAGCCATGATTACACAGAATATATATATAACCTCAAGAAGTGTGGTCAAGGAAAGCAGATGTGAGCTATGAAACATTTCTACTTCTTTTTTTTTTTTTTCACTTTTAACGTTAGTATTCTTGCTTCCAATATGCAAGCTTTCCATGTGTTAATGTGGTAAAAGTAAACTTCAGTCTTAGACAATAACCACAACACTATTGTCAGTTATGTACCTGCTATTCATATTCCGTTTGCTCAACTTCTTTTTTTTTTCCTGTCTCTGTTGTGTGATCACTGAACTCCTAACAGTTAGTGACACATATATGCCTTGTCCCCTTTGTTCAAGCATTTTATCTGTGGTGTCCATTCTTGTTTAACTTCTAAATATTGGCTTTGTTTCATTTCTTTTTATCTGTGTCATGAAGACTGACGCGAAATTCAAATACACCACCCTTGGACTGACTGCTAATAAATAATTGATAAAGGTGTGTGAATATATTAAAGTTCAAATATTTTTGAGTAGGTGTTTGCTATTCGATTCGCACTAGAATTTTTTACTGTTCGAACATGCCAAAGACAAATGCAGTTAACGTCCGATTGAAAGTGGCCCCTCCAGATTTTTTAATATGCTCTGCCTTATTACACTTTTATATACTGGCAAAGCTGCCTTTCGGGCTTTGCTACAGTCGAAAATGTATTGACTCAAGAAAGTGCTGGTTCCAATGTAGAGATCACGGAGGTGGCATAGGTGGGGGCTCAGATAATGCTGTTTCCGACAGGAAGTCCAAAAAATCAGATGCCTAAGATTTTTAGCATCCAAAATTTTATGTGTCCTTGTGTGTTGACGTCTACGAGGCGGATGTGGAACTCCTAATAGCTCGAAGAAAACGTTATCTCATCCTCCATATCAGTTGAGCTTTCACAGAAGTTGAAAATGGAGAAGAGGCTGATGAAATAACATCTTTGCCTTTGACGAGTAAAGTGTTGGCGGCAACGCTTATGTTACATGAAATCGTTGCACTACAGCCTCTGCATTGCCTCATTCTTGATAAGAGAACTATGAAGTGCCATCCTGCCAGCGCATCATCAACCTAGCGAAATTAAACAATTCCATGTTGCTATATCTCAATAAGAATATTCTTAGGAATCCTCTCGAACTTTCTTTTTTTTCTGCAATTTTTCGCTTCAAACTATTCGAAAAATATTCTTGAAATATTCTATTCAACATTTCAATATTTGAATTCGCTTTGCACTCAAAGTGTTGATATTCGTGCAGCTCTAATAATTTATAATAAAAAAAATTCTCGGCAATATTTTTGTTCTTGTTCTTGAAGGAGATGTTTGTTACTGTCTAATTTTGAACATAAGTGCGAAATAAGGTGTCATGAATTAGAATCTAGCCGAAACATGCACACTAACGAGTAGCACTTTTTTTGCTTGGCCTGCTGGGTTCATGCAGTGAAGTGTCCAGATGCTTCTTCCTGTCCCGTCATTTCTGATGACATTATTCCGTGCGTCTCACACGATAAGGAAACCGCAAAAAATAGTTTTGTATGTAGATCAATCTTTCCAGCTTCCGTTTTACTATTATTATAACGATATATTATTTTGCTCATTTTCTAGGTTCTTCTGGATCTGATGAGCCACCACCCAAGGTGAGCTGCAGTATTGCCAATGCCTACTAAGCTGTTTTTACAGAAGATAATCAGTAACAGGCCACATAAAAAGGAGGGCAGAACGAAGTCGCAGTTATCTTATTTCAATTTCACCGAGTGTGCTGGCTCCTTCTCATCGCAGGCACAGTTTAACAGTTTTCATCACCTGTGCTAAAAGTTAGCAGTGCTTTATTGGGGAGGTAACTTGTAAAGCTTAGGCATGAAGCTGAATTTTGATTGTGCACCATTTGTAAGGTTACTTAAAGAGCCCCTAAACCACCCAGAGGTCGAAATTCAGTTGTGGTGGGGGAATCGTGTGCGCGCGTGTGCGACGAACACGGAGCCAGGAGAATTTTTTTAAACGGTGCCGTTAATGTGGAGTTGGATGCATTCGTTTACCGACACCGCCACAACCACTCCTTTCACTTTTTCCTGCGCTACCCTCCATGGATCTGCGGTGTAATACCTGGGTTACAAACCTCTTGTTTCGGGTCGTCTACAAACCTATCTTGTTTTGTGTTTCAGCTTTTGATTATTTTAATAATTTTTTTAAATTGCCTGGTGGTCCAGTGGTTATTGTTATCAACTGCTTACCTGCAGTACATCTGCATTTTAAATAGAAGTGAAAATGCTAGAGGCTCATGGACTTCGATCTAGGTGCACATCAAAGAACCCAGATGGTCAAAATTGCCAGAGCCCTCCACTATGGCACCCCTCTTAATCATGGAAGGGGGGGGGGAAGGACATTAAACTCTAACAGTTATTATTATTGGTTATATATATTTTTGGAAGCGGTTGCAAACCACAACGCATTCAGCGCGTATGAACGTGCAGAAAAAGATGGAAAAACAAAAACGACGCTTGTTGTGTTGCCTTGAGACTTCTCTCTGGAAATAAATGGCAGTCATCCAGACTCACCTGTTCTTCAACCTTCTGGTCAACTTCTTCCTTGTAAAAATGTTTTCACTGTTGGAGGTTAGGGAGCGCCATTATGGTTGGGCGATCCGCTCGTGCTTGTCGTTTGCTTATGGCATAGAATTTTTTTCGCTCACGTTCTTGCACACCTGTGCCAGGCTTGCGATTGTGCCAGGAATCCCTCTATGAATCGTGTCGCAGCCTTCCCGGCACCCCGTGGACCGAGGTAGCCGCGCGCAGACGCCGACCCCGACCGTGGGCACCTACATCGTGGCCCAGACGCCCGAGGTGCTGGCCCAGCTGCTGCAGGAGAACGACGGGAGCTTACCCCCGGCATGGGCCTACGTGGCGCCGGCCTCGCCGACCAACACATTCACGGTACAGGACCTAGCCGGCGGTGCTTCTGCAAGCGCCCCGGGCAGCGCACTGGGGAGCGGCGGCAGCAATGCCGACTGCAGCAGCACGACGGGGGGTAGCATGGCGGGAAGCACGACGTCGTCATCGGCGTCCCCCCGGGGGGGCGCTGCCGCGTCGGCTGTGGGAGCAGCAGGTCAAAGGTCAAGCCTCGCCTCACAGGTCAATGGCCTCATCTATGCAGATGAGGGAGAACTCTTGTCTCTCTTGTTTGTGTGTGATGTTTTTCCAAGCTCCCCTCGACCGAATCTTTCTAATAAGGCTGCAACGGTGGCTTGTCGGTGCAACTTTATCTTGTACTGTGCAGCCAAAAATGACAAGGACCGAAGAAATTGAAAGACAAGCCAGGGTTATGCGTATTACACTTACATGCTTAAAAAAGCAAGGAGGAAGAGGAGAAAGGAATAGGAGAAAGCAAGCTATCAAAAAGTAGTGAATTATAGCCAAAGAAGGCATATCAGCCTCCAGATAAACAAACACCACCAATGGATGTCATGTGTTATGCATGCGGTAACATGGATGCGTTTACCTGGCTAACACGGTACTGCGCGGATCATACAGAGAGGAAAAACAGCAAAGTGAGGGCTCATCAGCGCACCTTCAATTGCACTTTCTCAAAAAGAACCTTCTGAAGCACATATGTAACCGTGCGCATAACACATGACACATGTTGGTGGTGCTTTTTGACTCTGAGGCTGATATGCTTTCTCTGACTACTATCTACCATCTATGATGGCTGGCTTTCACCTCGTTTTTTCTTGTGTTTCTTTTTGGAGCTTAGGAAGTCTTTTCATGCTCCAAATAAAGTAAGTTGTTAGATTGTGCATCACCCTGCATTGTCTTTGATTTTCTTCAGTCCTTGTCATGCCCGGCAGCACAGCAGAAGATGGAGATCAGATCTTCCTCTAGGAATTCAAACATTATGAACTTTTAGCTTTCTCGTCAGTACGAAGCTTGTTGTGGTGTGTAGTTTTCCAATAGTGCGACCACGTAACTTAATCAGTTTGTAGCTTGCTTGTTTGATTAGGGTATATTCTGGCATTATGTATCCAGCTCTCTACCAAACAAGCTTACACACGTCGACTTCTTGTAACCTGTCAGTGATTTACACTTTAGGACAACCAGGCAAACAATGATGTGATGCATTTTTTAATCTCTAGGGACCAAGAAGTGTGACTTTGGCCTTGAATTTCTGTAGAAACACCGCATTCATAAGTGCTAAATCTCGTTTTTAAATTATTTGAATTAAACATCATGGGTCACTGTTTACCTTAAACTTCAGTGGAAATAATACAGAATGTGTGTCTATTATACATGTTTAACACACTGGGAAACACAAATATAACAGAATAAGTAAAAACATTATACTTTGATAACTATAAACTGTATCAAAATGAAGTTCGTACAGTAACGCTAAAAAAACCAAAAACAAAAAAACCTGAGAACCTTAATATAAATTTTTGTAATCGGAACAGTTCAATTTCTAAACAGCAGAGAGCAATTAGGTTGGACCTAAAAGGTGCCACTTATTAGTCATAGGTTTAACTACAAATATGAACTTGCTGACATACCCAGTAAGTTCAATCATTAGAAACTAGCAGTTATAAGATGAAATGTTGCCAATTGGCTGATAGGACTGCCACCAACCGTGCTTGTCTTTTTAATTCTTCAAGAAGTGTGAACGCTATGTAGAGTGGTATAATGCGACGTCTCCGTCCATTACATAAACTCTTTCCTGTATCATCCGCTGATGCCGTTCACTGCCCATTTCAGGACCTCGTCCTAGAGCAAGAGAGTTACGACAACCTCGTGGTATGTCACAAATTGGTTTTCACCAGCTTGCTCGGCTGTGCTCTACCAATACTTAGCGCTTGCGTTTGCCGTGTGTGCTGTGGTAGCCCCCATGACCTTCGCATGCTCCTGTTGCGTTTGCAACCTGGCGAACCTCTCCGTGATGATTTGACGTCCTCTTTCTTTTTGCGTTTGTGGCTGCATGGGATTGAGCCGGCTTGTGAGGCGAGTGTTTGCATTGCCCGCTGTGTAGCAGTTATATAGTTTGTTTCTTGCCCATTGTCGGTGTTGTGTTCTTTTGGAGTGTGTCAGTTTTTTCATTTCGTTTTTGCGTGTGTTGAATTTTCTGTTTCTTATGTTTTGTGTTGCCACCTGGCCTATGAGGCTGCTGCCTACGAGATGATTCCTTATTATTTGGCTGGTGTTAGGAAGTACCTCCTGACACCAAAGTACCTTTGTTCTGTCCTGAATTTTTTTAGAGCCTACATGCTTACATTGGTGTAGAAAAATTGTGATCATGTCCATGTAAAAAATAAATGAGAACATGATGCCTCTAAATGGGCCAGCCTAAAGTTTCACATCGATTATTATGGCTCATAGTAGCTGGCATATAAAGGATGCTTAGTATAATACAATTCACTTTATCATCTGTGTGTATTCTTGCAGTGTGATATAACGTGCATCACTGAAGTTGTATGATGTAGGACGTGATCACTGTGTGATGTACTGTGCGATCACTATAGTTCCATAACACTATGCTGGCACAATGGGTTGTGAGGTTTAAGCCAGCAAAGCCATGCAACTGGCCAAAATAGTGGGTCCAGTAGGTCTTGCCCACTGTTGGACATTATTGCTATCAGTAGTTGAATGTGTGACGCTGCACGCTGCTAACGATGTCTCTTGATTATTTGCTAAACAACAATATGCATTGTGGTAGATTTACTTCACGTGGTAAAACACACAGAAATAGTTTTACGTCACATGGCTGTTCATGTTAAGTGGATGATAACAGAAAAGTGCAAGCTGACAATCGCATCACTGCAGGTGTTCTACTCCACCAGCAAAATAAAGCACACTAGTTTGCTTTCCGTAATATTCTCTTGGTGCCCTTCCTCGTTAACTCTGTACCAGAGGTAACATCACTGTAATCTTGCTGCTGCCATTAACGTTAACAGAATACTCTGTTAAAAGTGATATACTTATGAACCGTGTTATCTGTAATTGTGTTGAAGGCTGTACCTCAAATGTCGCCGTGATTGCGTCATCTGCAACTCCGTAATTGTGTCATCGGTAATTTTGTTGCAAGCGGCGATGCAGATGTGTTCGTAATTCCGTTGCCTGTTACTGTGACCCGATCGTAATCGTATTGCAAGCTTAATGCAAATGTGAGTTCATCCATCAATGTTGTTCTCGTTCGCGCCGAGCCTGCGGTGCTCGCATTGAAACCCAGCCAGTGCAAGACATTACGGTGCTAGTGTGTGTCGCTGGTAATCCTCGCAGGACAATGACACTCTCGAGCAGAGGCTGCTGGAGATGAAGCTGCAGATGCAGCAGCGTGAGACTGAGGAAGACTCGAGGTGGCTGAGCCAAGAGGCGACCCACTTTGACCCGCTCCCGGTGAGGGCTGCAACTGGTGCACTGCTTCTTACGATGTTTAAAGAGTGAGCTCTTGCAAGAAAGTCCTTCTTTGGGAGTTCTTTAACCAGCTCAGTTTGGGAAACCCTGATGCCTAGGCTTGTTCGAATATTCAACCACTTCGAGTGTTCCAATGAGTATTATTTATTTATTAATTTATTAAAAATATACCTGCAGTGCCCGAGGGCATTATTGCAGGGGGAAAATACACAACGTAAAATACGCTTGCACAAAAAGAACAATTCAAAAACAAGATGTTCACAAAAACAGATAATAAAAAATGCAACTATGACAGTAGCAATATGTCCCTGAAAGATGTTTGAGTGCATTCAATTTGCATTGACTTGAATTAAATGTTATTAGAAATTTCGAATGTTATAAAAGGGTTCGATTACAATAGCTTATGATGGCTTATATGCAAGACACTTACTATTTACACTATTTAAAACTGCTTTGGAGAGCCGTGCATCTATGTTTGTTTATTTGTCAAAGGTCTCTTGTCACTGCCTCTTCAGCCAGTGAGTCAACCCACACTGACCACTCTCCCTCTCTCTCTCATTGGCTGCGCGCCGCGCCGTCTGTTCCTGCAAGTGGCAGTCTTTGTGCAGCAAGGGGCAGTCATTCCGTTCCCCGAACATATATGCAAGAGTCCCAGTCCCCCAAACCTTTTTCGGGGGAATCGGTTAGTGTCAGCCAGAGACTAAGCAACAGTTCGGGAGAGGGGAAGATCTTTAACATCAAAGTACTCGAAATGAACGAATATGTGTATATTGGTCTACATATAACTCTTCCCCCGCTCGCCCTCGTAAAGGCGGTTTCACTGCAGTGGAGGGTTGCTTTGCCAAGTATTGCTTGTTCTCATTCTTCCGACAAAGGAAAGGCTCCCAGTTACTATTTTCTTCCTTTTTTTCTGAAAGTTTGCCTAATACTGTTGACTAATAAATACTAAATGTTATAGTCTATGGCTACTATTTCTAGAACATTGTCAATAATCTGACATTTCATGTCCACAACAGGACTCTTTCGTCACTGGTCATACAATCAACCATGTTAGAGCACTGCATTATAGATATCCCCTTGAGAATTGTGATGGTGCATCTCGGTGTTTTGCATTGCTCCATCTATAATTTTTGGATATACGCATGGCAGATATGCAGCTCCTTTGTAAAGCCAGGACCGGGGCAAGAGATTCGCTGTGCTGGATGGAGATTTGAAAATATGCATCTTACAACTCGTCGATGGTATTTCCTTTGTGATGCCTATTAAATGGCTTAATTTTTTTTCTGTGCATGACGCTTAACGCAAAAGTTGTTTTGTATCATTCCTGGAGAAAGGTTTCGATGACTGTGTTGTTTCGTTACAGACGACACCCAATCGCCCCCGAGCGTCGTGCAGTGATGCTTCAGATGCAGGGAGCGTAGGCGTTGCAAATGGCACCGGCCCGTCTTCTCCAGGTGATTGCTTGGACATTTTCTCAAAGTGTCGACTCTGTGACAGCATGCGAGTTGATGCTTGTTTGTGCAAGTTTCTTGTCATACATTTCATAGAAATGTGTCTGCAAGTTCATTGTCATACATTTCGTCGAAAGGTTAGCTGTTGAGTATGGATCTGAGTCTAGTTAACCTTAAAGGACACTAAACTGAAAGATTAGACCACTTTAGACTGATGAATTATTTTTTAGAACTCCGTTGTCTTCAATTTTGTCATCATAGCTTATTACTAAAGGACAAAATAGAGGTCAAGGTTTCACATTTGAACTTCACACCTCAACTTCAGCGTGCGAACGTCAGTGCAATCTCGCGAACTGCGAAGTCTTTTTGCACATGGGTCACACTGGTTCAGTGAAATTTTTCGAAACTTGCTGTGTTGAGACTTCGCAATTTTTGGAACACAGTGAATGTTTTTAAGCAACAAACGATTATGTAGGCCCCATATGTAGGCCCCAGTACTCCTAGTCAAAATCTGGCGTCACAACAAGCTAGTGCATTGTTGCTTTTTTGGGGGGGGGGGGGGGGGCATTTTTTCACTTACCAAGCATCTTCTTGTGGTAAAAGTGGCGTTTTCGGTATCGTCAACTCGAATTTGCTTATACAAGATTCTGTTTCTTTCAAGGCTTAACTGCGAAGCGACATTTGACCCAGTAAGAAAAGCATAGTCCCAGACTGTGTATACGCAGAGCAGCCTTCTTGCAATGCTTTGCATTCGAAATGCAAGTATTTGTTATGAGAAACTTGCGAAGGCAGTAATTTTTGTTTTATCGAAGCTAAAAGGGCCATCATTATTGCTTAGGGATAATGATACAGCACTCTGATAGCCTTGAAAACCAGCATGGCACCTACACATTACCTCCGAGATCAGTTGGTGCTCGCAGTGCACTGTAATCTCTGAGGCTACCTGCTGGGATTGCATCATGTTGAGCAGCTATCAGGTCGTTCAGTGCTACTTAAAGGCCGTCAGTTGGAAAATAACTAAGACCAGTTTTGCATCTCCGAGAAAATTACTTAGGCAGTGTGTATCTCATAACTCGATATGATCAACCCCAATATAACGAAATGTTGGTTTTGGTAAAGCAATTGAAGAATACTCTTGCAATAGATACAGGGCTTGGAATATACTTTTATAACGCAGTTTTGGATATAACAAACCTATTTTCGTGTAATATGCAACTTTGTGCTAATAAAGTCTGAGTGTATTACTCATAAGCGACAAATATTTTAGCCAAGGTTTTATTGTAGGTAGCCTCTAACTTTTTATAAATAGTGAGGTCAGTAACATATGACAGTGCTCACGGCAAAACAGCATTTTTACTTGTGATTCTCTTTCCCACAGTTGTAACAAGTCCAGGACCATTCAACCAAGATGAAGTTTCTATGGGATCTCTAGAATACTCCATGGTAGATAAGAAACATGTAGGTGTTTTGTTTGGTCTCTGCTTGTACCGGCGTCGCATGGTGCACTGCCTTGTCGCGATTGGGCTCAATTGCGATCAAACTTCTCAACAATGATTGACTTCCATATACAGCTTGCCCAAAGGACACATTCGTGATTAAGAACTACAATCCGGATTTCGCCCAATCACGGTCAAAAGTGGCCAAATGACACCGCTATCATATTGAACTTACAAGTTCTTGAAGGGCGTGTGTAGTCTTAGTCACAACGTGTTTTCATGTCTTAATACATTGTATCGGTCTGTGTTATTGTTTTGTAATCACAGTGCTGTTGCTAATTAAGATACATATGCCTGTTGTAGCAGTTTAATTAATTTCTTTTTTTGTTTTGTAATTGCATACTGTTTTGTACGAACCTTCCGTGCAGTAATCGTCTTTTGGTTTGTGCCTACTGCTGATATTTACGGATGGTTAGGAACATCAAACAGCGTTAGATTTGTTGGTTTTTTCTTGCCATCACCTGTTCCTGCATACAAGCGAAAATAAAGACTTGATTAATTAATTAATTAATTGTCATTCTGTCACGAAAAGCATTTTTATCGCTGTCGCAATAAGATCGCGGTCTTCAGCGTCAAGTAGTACTGTAAGCTGTCAGTTTAACGAAGAAGGTTCATTCACATTCCCATTACAATGGGGAGACCACAGTGCACTTAATGGCAAATGGCAAGCCACTTAATCGCCCGATTGCCAAATGCTGTCTTGAATCTCTCGAAATGTTACCGCCACAGCAGAGCCGTCTTTTTGTGACCACGTGCGTACATCAGCCTTTTCTGCTGCGACAGTTGCGGTGCTGTGGAAGAGCACTGACCACTACACTTCTAGTTTATTGTAGCCATACAGCCCTACCGTAGAGTACCGCTAAATATATTTTAGGAACTGTAGAATACCGCGCATCTCGGCGAAAGCCGGCAGCTGCGAGACCCGGTCACCACCGTACCGAAAGTAGGCAACTGCAACTTTTGCATCTTTCTGCCTCGTGAAGTACAGCTAGGCCTACACCTCTTCCCTAGGCGTATGTTGTGTTTCTTACGGGATTTCAGGGAGTTGAGTGTTTCCCCCAGTTCAGTTGGAAGGTCAATGGCGTTTTCAAAAATAAAGAAGTAGTATACTCTCAAGTGTTTCGTGACTCTCACACACCTGAGATCCCGTGCTTCGCGACTTTAACGGAAAGGTGACAAGTATTGATTCTGTATACCACAAGCGCCTGTGATGTAAACGTTTCGCACGGTGTCAAGGCCTACATATAGGCGAGACAACATCAGAAGTTTCTTTCAAAAGAGCCGTGAAGACAGTGCGATGAGAGCAGAACGTCTACACACAGGATTTCTTGAGGAACACAACGTGCCGCTGAGTGTAAGCAATCACGCAGGTCAATTGTTTGGGAAATGCCCCCAATGTGCGAGGGTGCAAAGCGGTACGGGTGCGGATGCAGGAGAATCATTGTCGCTGTTGGGAAATGGCTGCAGATGCCAGAAACAATGCGTGGTGGCCCTGAACCACCGTGCTTTCATAGTCACAGTGTACGAAAGCAACGACAGCATGTCACAAATGTCTCAGTCTCAATTTTGTTGCATACTATACGCAAAAAAGAAAATCACTCGCCCCACCCACTCCTGCTGGGGTCTCCAGAATTTTCATTCTGCCAGGTTGGCAGGTACGGTGTTCTGTTCAGAAGATACAGCAGAGTGGATACTTGATAGAAGTACTTACCGTAATTACTCGAATTTAATGCGCACCTTTTTTCCGGTTAAGCGAGTTCATAAATCGCATGCGCGTTAGAATCGAGTACGAAAAAAAATGAATACGGTCATTCTATTGCCATCGGCATTCCAAAATGGCCGCCCCCTACGTGCAACGGCATGGCGCGTCGGCCATTTCTGCCTATGTGTTTCCCATGTGCGGCACTTCGTACGTGTGCTGAGGAGTTCGTCATCTTGTAGTGCATCAGCATCGACGGCATGGAAGGGCCGACTCCAAAAACTCGACGAGCGCACCACGATGCCGCTTTTAAAAGAAAAGTCATCACGTGTGCCGAAACGGATGTAAACCAGGCTGAATCGCGATCGTTCTGCATGCGGGACTGGCAGAAACAAAAGCAGAATATTGTCGACAGCAAAGATTCATGCCAAGGCATCAGTGGACCATAGCAGGTTCGGTTTCCGCAAATTGAAGAGCTGCTCGGGGAGTATGTGATTGAGCAGTGAGCGGCACAGCGGCCCGTGACGACAGAACTGCTCCAAGTGCAGGCTATGTAGATAGCCTAAGAAAAAGGGCTAATGCGGAGCCAGTTTGAAGCGAGCAGGTGCTGGTTAACTAACTTTATGAAGAGGAAAGGCTTTTCCCTCTGAAGGCGAACGGGCATATGCCAAAAGTTGCCGGAGGAGTACGAAGAAAAGCTTCAGTTTTCAGAGGTTTGTCCTAAACTTGCGGCACAACAACGGCGCCCTGCTTGGGCAAATCGGGAATGCCGATCAGACGCCTTTTTACCTCGACATGCCTGGCACCACAACCGTTGACAAGAAGGGGGCAAAGCAAGTTCGCGTGCTGACATCGGGCCACAGTAAAACTAGAGTGACGGCAATGCTCCGTTGCACGCCAGATAGGCACAAGCTTCCCCCGTACCTCAGATTTAAATGGAAGACGCTCCCGAAAAAAGTATTTTTCACGAGTGGTGTGATCGTGTGGGCCAACGAGAAAAATGGGTGCGCGTTGCAATCGATGTCTTATTTTTTTTTTTCGTCGTGGAAACCGGGTGTGCGTTACAATCGAGGGCGCGGTAGAATCGAGTAAATACGGTACATATATGTACATACGAAACTCCTATTTTATTATACCCAGCACAGTTATACCATATTTATTGTTGTAAGCCCCACACTTGAATGGTGTTGATACACAATAACACATCTGCTAGTGGCTGATGATAGATGTACACATTATATTTCAGCTGTCCTTGCTGATCAGTGGGCTTCTATGCTCCAAGATTGAAGGGCCAGCCTAGATGATACTGCAGTCAGCACGGTAGCACTTGCTGATAATTAGTAATTTCACCATTGCAAGGCTTCCAACTTCGCAGAGTTGACACACTTAAATGAAATTGGAGCATATCTTAAATGCACATTGAAATTCATGTGGTAGTAACATTGCTATTAATGTTGGTATTCATTTGGTATTCATTAACATTCGTATTAATTTGGTGGTAACATTGGCAACATGGTGCTATTGGCATAGTGTTAATGTAAGCTGCTTTTGTGTTCTAAGACCCTAATACAGTGTATTCTTATTGAACGGAAATCTCTTAAATCGAATTGCTGCTTAAAACGGACCTGCCGCCCACTAATATGATTGGTTTTGTACTTGAATTCTGCATCCCTATTCATCTCTCAGTAAGTTGAACATTCGTTAAACAGAATTTTTCTGATCCCTTCAGGTTTCGTTCAACAAGAGTCTACGGTACACGTATGTGTATTTGGGGTCTGACATTTGCGTAATTTTAGAATGCTCTCCTTAGCTGTGCTTTAGAGCCGAATGTGCTGTGGAGAAGAGTGGTCAAGACATTGAAAAACATCTTGTCGCGTAGTCAGGAAATCCACCCAATCAATTTTTTTCTTTGAAACTGTCGGCATTTAGATTGCGAGCAATTTAACTTCATGTGGTCTTGCTGAATGTGGTTTGAAGGAGACCCGCAACGCCTTTCCAGCGTGGTCAGAAAACGCTGCCGATTGGCTGTTGAGGCTCCTGAGAACACATGAGCCAAACGTTATTGCTCAGCTTACAGCCTGAAATGAATTCTCGAAGTCAGCTAGAAATTGTTCTCTCTTCTTTCTACGAGTGATGTCGTACACTCAAACTCATGGCTATTGGTCGATTTGAGCTCTGTGAGGTGTGTAACTGCCGTGGCCACTGCGAGAGGTTGCCATGTGGCTGTGTGTGCATCTGTGATCGTTTTGAAAGTATGCAGTTGGTTCAAGAAAACAAAAAAAAAGTGCTCAAGGTCATGACGCACTTATGAAACTTTTTTTTCGTGCTATCCCTCCCTGATTAGCTTTCAGTGTGCTCGTCAGAACGTGCAAAATAGAGAAAGCAATTGCGGCACGCTAACAAGCGTTGTAACTCGGCTTGTGCTTGATAGTTCTAAAAATTTTTGCCGTGGTTGATTTTATTAAGCAATAAATTCCTTCAGTGAAGCCGTTTGATGGTTATTTGGAACAGTGTTGTTGGGCCCAGTTCAAGGAAAAATGTATTGTAGCTTTTGATGAGTTAACAGCCATCGAATGACGTATTGCCAATGGTGTAGCTAATATGTAGCTCGATCGGCATGGCTTACAAAATGCAGAAGAGCCCCATTGTCCAGCAGTCGCAGCCGTATCCGCCTCCCAAGCCGGAGGTGATGCCGGCCGCTCAGCCTCCTACGCTGGAGACCGACCGGACGAACGACCACGTGTACGAGTGCACGACCCGCGTAGTCCGTTCGGTCATGCAACTCTCCCAAGGAGTCACTGAGGCCAGGGCGGAAGAGTACCTAGAACTGGTCAAGGTGAGCTGAAAAACCGAGAGGTTGAGGTGGTGTGTGTGAGTGTGGCTGCAAAATTATCAGCCGTTTCGATGGGACGATAAGGATTTTCCTACATCTGTCGCAGAAAGAAATTGTCCAGTATGTGTGCGCTGTTTGTGTATACGGTATTCATATTTACATTGTACATGACAGCCATCCTGCTTGAACCAACTTATTGGCTCGGAATATCTCAAATAAAATAAATAACAACATGGCATCACTTTGCCATGCTAAGGACATGCCACTTCGATCAGATATATGCACTTCTGATGCCTTTTTCCTTTCTGCCTTAATAAATTTGTTTACTGTGGCGACATTGAGTAATTTTTATTTTAGGGAGTGCTGACACAAAATGGTAAAGACAAGATATCTTTTGAAACAGATTTGAAGGAACAGATTCAATTTCTAAAGGACATACAGAAAAAAACAAAAATCTACAGGCCATTCAGCCTGACACGGCCTTGCTACGCGAAACATACAAACCTGCACTAAAAGTGCTACACGATGTGACAAAAATGTCATAATGTGTGGGTACACACAGACACATTCCGTAATATCCCAAGCAAGCAACCCCCCCCGCCACGGCGAAGGATAAACTAGACAAGATTTGGAGGGGGTTGTTTGCCCGGTTATGGTCGAAATAAAACATGACGACATAAGAGACATTGAGAATGATTGAACTTGACTTGATGCTCTCTGAAATTGAAACTACGACTGGGTGCTATAGACACATCTCTAAATACTTAACCATCGTACTTTGTCCAAGCAAATCAGGTTTCCAGTCGTGATATGTGGGTGATTAGGTGTTATAATTGAAAAAAAAAAAAAGGGATGAAACATGTTTGTGTTGGTACTCCTTTGAGGGGTGGCAGTAGGGTTTTCGTTTTTTTTTTCTTTGGGGGGGGCGAGGTCACATGTGGCAAGTGAGTTTCATTCATGGGAGGAGGGGGGGGGGGCAGTGGAGTGTTTGGCCAACCATACAGGGGCAAAAGGGGGGGAAATTTTTTGGGAGGTGGGGAGGGTTGCCACATCGTATGCCCCCTCTGACACTCCCCCCTCCCCTGACTCCTTTAAAGCAGGAAGTTGACATTATTGTGGTTAAATGTGTGTGCATATTTTCACTTAATGACCTACCCAGCATCATATTAGATAGTGATGACAGTGGTGGCTCTTTTTCTCACAGAATGTAGGCTTGGAGTTGCGAAGCCTCTTGGCCAGCGTCGATGATCTCATGACTTTCTTTCCCCTGTGGTCCAAGAAGGAGGTGAGCGTATCTTCAGTCTCGCTGTGCACGATTTCCGTGTTGTCGTTGTGGAGTGGTATTTCTGACAGCATTGCCAAATACCAAAATGTAGATGCACGCTGGACCTCTCGTCTGTTGAAATGCTTTAGTTTGAAGTTGAAGTTCGAGTGTGCTCAAACTTTTAACTTCGATGCTATAAAGCTGAGAAAGCTGAAAACTTGCGACATAACATCAAGAGTCTCTTATTGGTGGAGTAGCTTTGTATGTCCAAGCGTAATGCTGAACTTTGACAGCGGGTCATGAGCCCACATTTCAGTCATCTCATGGAGCATTATGCACATCATTGCAACACATAATGATCTCGTCGTACGCATCGAGCCACACTAGTGCTGCCGTTCTTCTCAATGTCCTCTACCTACTAATCTTTGAGCCTTTGAGTGCGTGAGTAGGCATGGCCCCCTCCGGTAACCTAAGAGGGAGGGCGTAATGTCAGCTGCATACATTGACATATTACATTGACCTAATACATTGACATAATAGGGAAAGGGGGTGCTGTGACATGGGGTGGGGGGCACTAGGTCAGCCCTGTACATTAGCATAATAGGGAAAGGGGGCCCGATATTGCTGACGAACAATGCATGCATTCTTTTTCTGTGCTTCTCTCTTTTAGGGAAGGTTCTAGCTCAAAGGTAAAAAAAAATGTCCTCCAGAACAAGCACAGAACAAAACCACTTTTCTGCCTTCATCGCTGCTCTTGCTGACACTGACTTCAGAAGTGCCACTCAGGATGCCCTATTTTGTTAACCTGTATTTTCGAAAACTGTATTATTGCTCACTTGTATACAGCGTTCCAGCTAACTTGTGCCAAGTATGGTTTTCAATGTTGTGCACTGTAAAGAAAAGCTGGAAATAAATTAAACAGTGTAGCTCTCATAACATAGATGAGGTTATCTCATATTACATACCGTATAAACGCGTGTAAGGGCCGCACTTTTTTTTCAAGAAGTGAGGGCTAATTTTCAGGTTGCGGCCCATACACGGAACTTTTTTTGTGGTGAACTAAAAACAACGTACCAGTTAGTGAACGAAGAGCGTTTATTGCAGTATGCCGCGTGTGCGCTTAATCGTCGTCACTCGACGAGTCCTCTAACTCGGAGTCGGAGATAGTGTGTTGCGGAGCACCATCATTCCACAAACAGTCATCTTCAGTGCCATCCAGGCTGTTGGATATCCCAGTGACCTTAAAACTTCGGGACACAATGTCCGTCGACACCGAGCTCCACGCCGACAATATCCAACCGAGAACAGTAGCAAGCGGTGCCCTCTTCAGCCGTCCGGTCGGCATGTGCTCATGGTTGCCGGTTGCCATCCATTCCGTGTGGAGTCTTCGGAATTCAACTTTGAATGGTCGATTCACGCTCACATCCAATGGTTGCAACATTCCTGTGAGGCCGCCTGGAATCACGGCCATGTCTGCGCCGACACGGCGCAGCTGCTCCTTCACCTTATCGGTAAGGTGGCCGCGGAAACTATCCAATACTAAAAGTGAATGTTTGGCCAACAAAGCTCCCGGTCTGTTCTGCCAAACACTTTTCACCCAGTCTAGCACCAAATCATCGTTCATCCATCCCTTCTCTTGGGCTCTAACTATAATGCCCTTGGGGAAAACTTCGTTGGGAATTCTTTTCCTTTTCAAAACAACGTACGGGGGTAGCTTCCGCCCGTCCGCGGTCACACAAAGCATCACGGTGCAGCGTTGGCGCTCAGCGCCGGTGGTTCGCACGGCGACACTCTTCTTGCCTTTTACTTCGACTGTGTAGTTCTCGGGAGAGTCAAACCACACAGGAGTTTGATCAGCGTTCGCTATTTGCGACAACAAATAACTGTGCTGATGGCGCAAGCCGATGACATGCTTGTGAAAACTAAGCACCTTGTCGGTATAGTCTTCTGGCAGCCGCTGGCACAGCATGGTCCTTCGTCGAAAAGAGAGTCCCTTTCTTTTCATAAACCTTCGCACCCAGCCAGCACTAGCCTTGAAATCCCCGGCCGGTATATTTTTCGCATGTGCCAAGGCTAGTGCCTTCATGCGCAGCATTGAACAGCCAGGCACCAGTTGAGGACGAGGAGGAGACGTCTGCAAGCTGTGTACAACAAGAAGTAGTTCAGCAGGACTGCGAACCAAGCTATGACGTTGCTTAACTATAGTTTTCTGCCGGCCTCCTTTCGTGCATAGCGTCGCATTCTTAGCGCAGCCTAAGAAACTCTAGGGTCTTTAGAATTACGTATTTATGTATTTTCCAGTAAAAGAACACACCACTGAAACTTGCGTGTTGAGGTTGTGCCTCAGATATGCGTAATATTTCGCTTTTTGATTGACAATGTTCACAAGTATGAATGCTGCCACCAGTTCAAGATAGCTGGGCGTTCAGCAAGTGCTTAAACTTTGGCCGGGCGGCTGAATCGTGTGACAGACAGACCAAAATTTCTGTGTTCAAGTATCCCTAGAAAGACTTTAGTCTTTAATAATTACTCGCGCTTTCTTCCCCAGGTGGAGATGGCTCACCGTGTCCTCAGCAAGGACATGGCGAACCTGGTTCAAGCAATGAAATTGGCCATCAAATACTCAAAGACGACGCTCGACGCCGAGTACCGCCGCGGCATGCTCAGCTCCGCGCATGCGCTCGCCATTGACGCCAAGAACCTGCTGGACGTCGTCGACTCGGTCCGAGTCCGCATCCAGATGTCGCCGCCGGCGACGCCTACAGCGCCCCCTACGTTATCTTCGCCTGTCACGGCATCGAACGGCCAGGCAGCAGTTGAGGACGAGGAGGCGACATCTGCGGGCTGTGTACAACGAGAAGTAGTTGAGCAGGACTGCGAACCAAGCTATGACGTTGCTTAACGAATTGTATCTTATATTGCGTGTGCAGCTATTGCATGTTTCAGTGAGAAAGGAAAAGGAAACTCGGGTACCACGAACCCCTCGCGAGAGGCGTACAAATTTTAAAGGGCACCCTGCCAGGTTTCGTGGCGCATGTCGCTTGAGGTCGTCTTCAACCGTACTGCTGCGAATAGGTGCGTAGCTGCACTCGTTGATGCTTGTCAAATACCGTAGAAAGCGCCTGCTATTGTAACGCATCGTGAGCACATGTAGCAGTCGGAATCGGCGATCCATTTTGGAGTGCGGAGTTGTTTTGTGCAGCTGAAGAGAGCGGTGTTTTCGAAAAGTTTTTCCCTGCATAAAACGCAAGCTGCATGCTTGTTTGGTAGGCACATGGCTCATTGCTTCAAGGATGAGAACGCATTATCTCCAACTGCAGTTCTGTCACGTGCAGTGCTCTGGGTAAACAGATCAGGGGACACATCCGGCATATGTAAGGTTTGAGTGAACTGCCTCGGGTTGTGCTGTTTTTTGTGGGGACCATGTCAAGCTTGTTGATGGGAAGGGAAACTTTAACTTCTAGTGTTTGCATACCAGCGGCAGCTTTACTTTTACTTATGCTCTGCGGAATTCCTCTAACCAGTAAAGATAAACCAGCAAACTAGGTTACATTGGTTTGTTTTTAGATAGTAGAAACCAGTCTTTAACCATAAGAGAATGATATGTCGTTTTTATTGAAGATCACATTACATTGTTGCATCACTGTCACTTGGCCATTCGCTTAGCTGTCAGGCTCTTCGAAACTTATCGTCGGTCTGCCTTTGAAAGAAAGAAATCTCTGGCTTAGTGTTTGACACTCACTGATCTACTTGCTAAGAGCTTGCTGCTGAGCTGTTGCCTCATGCAAGTGCACGTGTCACCTCGAAAGTTTCAGTGCCTGATTAGGAAGTCTTAAGGCTTGGTAAGAAAATAGCTTCTAGTTCGTTAGGAGGTGGGGGCTGTAAAAGTAGCCTTAGCAAACCTTAAAAAGACCAAAAACGGGAGTGAATCCTAGGCAGCCTAGGCGCAGGGAACTGTTCGCATCTATAGCAAAGGACCCATCTTGCATAGTGCATTCAAATTTCTCAGTCTAATCTGAGTTCGGTATTAGTGTGCGTACAACTGCAGCTACGTGCTTGTTCTCAAGCTTTTTCATTCTATGCAGCTTAGTGTGCGCTCTTGCTGTGCGGTGATTTTTTACATAGTCGTCTCTCATTTACTTTGGTCATCACTCATTTCTCATGCAGAAGCAGCTACTGCAAAAGAAAGAGAGAAAATGGTCTCTTTTCTTCTCAATTTCTGGCGGGTGTCCTAAATGCTTTGCATTTACAGGGCTTTTTTTTTTAATCCTTTTGTCACTTGTAAGCAGCATAGCAGATGGGAGTGTGCCACGAAAGTCTCTTATGTTCTGAATTTGTAGTTGCTTTTTCTCAATGGAATACCAATGTTCTGACTGTGGTCTCAGTGTATAAAGAACCCTCAGATAGAAGTGTACTGTTCCCTCTCAGTTCAAATTAGGTGTAGAGAAGAAATTAGAATAATTCATCTTTATTTTTGCCAGTAGAAAATTCACATTTTGATTGGCTGGAAACGCTGCGACTGAGTGAGCGATAAGACAAACTCTGTAACAAGAGCATAAAGGTAGAATGACAAATATTTAACTCAGGCCGGGAACAATCCTAACGTCTGTCTGAATGCACGCGAACGAATTTACTACCTATTATTATTTTAATTGCCGTAGCATTTCGGTTTCCTCTGATGCAACTAGTCTTGCAAACATCAGCTCTTGCAAAGTGCTCACATGCCACATTTAGCAGTCATTGGTATTACTACGTAGCCTACATTTCTTTCACTGTTGTGAGTGTTGAAGAACTTATTGCACAGCATCTACATTAATTCAGGAACACTATCTGCTGTTGTATTTCTCAATGTGTGTGTTGTGCGTTTTTTTAACTAGAAACACTTGGCTTTTCACTTTTAGCAAGAACAGTAGGCCTGTATTCAGGAAATTGGCAAAGTACTGAAGTTTGAACTCATATTTTGGTGAAGAACTAAAAAATCAAAGGGTCAGCTTGTGACACCAAAAGTGGTTCCAAAGACGTCAAATATGGCTTCAAAGGTGGCACTGTGACAGTGGCTCACTATATGACAGACATAATGAAACCATTCTTTGCCCTGTAAATGCAAAAGTATTTAAACGAGTCCGCATATTTGGAATTGTTGATAGCAGCCTGTGCATCATCCAGCTATCTTTCCGTTTGGGAGGCGCACCACTTTACATGTATACTTAGCGCTTGAATCCGAAGTGCGGCTTGGGTGTGAACGCGAGAACGCTTGTCAGGAACGGACACATCATGAGGGTGAGTGGCTGTGTGCGACAGTGACCGTATGCTTTTTCAAGTGCAGCTACTTACTTGAAATGTGCAGAATTTTTTTTTTTTCGTATTTTGAGAGCCATTTCATTGCTCTTCGGCAGCGGCAGCACACGTAACCGCGTTTCCAGCATGTCACCATATTCACCAGCCTTCCCACTTTAACAAAACGGGTTGCACCTTTCTGTTCATCTTCCTTTGAGGCGATGCATAGTTTACAATGCTACAAGCCTTTGTGTGAGAGAGAAGTCGTTCGAAAATGGCTAGTTTTTCCATTATGTGTAACTGGCATAATAAAATGAGATGCGCTCGAGGGACTTATTTATCATAGCTATATGCAATTTTTTTATAAATCTTTTCGTAAGAAAAGTTTGGACACTTTATTCACCTTGTCACAAGACAGTGACCCTATATACATATGTATCTTCGGTAGCTATTTATCCCCTGAGCAACGCGCTGTCTCGCATTGTAGCAGGAAGAAAGAACCCCCTGGTGATAAGGTGTCTTAACATGGGAAAACATTTAACATGTGCAGCGTACACGTCTAACTCTGGCTTGCGAAAAAATGGCAGCAAACTAGTCACTGTGCGAACTTGCCGCATTGTAAATTCAAAACTCCCGACATTTTCGTTCTTCGACAGCGAAATATTGCTGTTTTTTTATAGCCCTGTGCTGTATACACGATAACAAATGGACATCTTCATGGCCTTTCTCACAACACCTTTTTTTTTTCCCAGATGTATCGGTATGTGTGTGTGTGTGTGTGCGTGTGTATGTTATGTTCACATGTTAATAGAACTTATTAAATTCAATTCGAAGTGACGGTGTGGTTTGGTTTCATTTGCCGAGCAGCAGAGCCAGTGTTCGGGAAACTTGCGCATGGACAGCTGCAGTGTTGTGACTCTGCAGGGAAATGCAGCTTGCTGCAAAAGTAACATAGGTACTTAGATTCGTAATCAGTGTATTGCAGGAAAGAAAGCTGGCACGTCTTTCAACGGCCACATTGTCAACATGATCATCACCATGCTCGAGATAAAGAGCTCCTGCTCTAGGTTTGCGATTCTCCCAGCTCCTGACAAAAAAAAAAAAAAATGCTCGCGCACTTGTCTGTGGGCTTGTGCGACGTCTTGTTTAACTAACTACAAGCCTGGAACATCACTCTCTTTAGCATAAGAAGCATCCTACTGTATCTACCTGCCATGAAGGTGATGTAGTTACGGTGCTCAGCTGCTGGCTCGAAGGCCGTCGGTTCGGTCCCGGTTGGGTGGTTGCATTTCAATTGGGGTGAAAAGTTGGAGGCCCATGTACTGTGTGATGTCGGCTCATGTCAAGGAACCAGGTGGTCGAAATTTCTGGAGTTCTCCACTATGGCGTGCCTCATATTAAATAAGTATTGCGGTTTTTGCATGTATACAACCCTATATATTATTACTAATCCTGCCACAGCTTATCACAGAGACTATGCCTCCTGTCACATATTGAAAAATTGGCCTGTTCATCTAGTTGAATCCAGTTCGAGATAGAAAAAGAGCAAAGGAAAGGCAGGAAAATGCGGTACATGGTTTATTGCTAGCATGGCATGGCGCATCGTACGGATATTGCAAGGCAAAGCAGTGGAAATAAAAGAAAAGTTTTTTATTTGTCCACATTGTCCTGTTCTGTGCATTGCTTCACATGAACTTCATGATGATCAACTCACCCAATTTGTGACCTTGCTCAACTTGCCCCCCTACATTGGAAAATAGATTCCTTTTTCATCCGGACGGAAGACATGGCCCTTAGTGTCGGAACAGGGCAATGACTCTGACATGACAGCGAAGACTGTTTGCACAGAACAGGACCGGCTCACTAGATACGACGACTGAGGATGTGTAAACACAAAAAGAACACACACTCTGCCGAGTCCTAATTGAACTCGAGACAGGCTGTCACGTGAAAACAGCTCCAGATGAACACACTTCCCAACTCATTCAATCCGAAACGCATCTTGCCAGACAAGCATCAGAACAACACGTGCAAATTGTGCCAGGAAGGGCTAGCATGCGACTCAAACATGTTGTTGGAATACACTGTCATAATCAGAGAGATGGCAGTTACTCCGGAGATTCTGTCGTCTAGCTGGGCCACTCTAGCTTTGCGCAGCATGCCTTTGCATCTAAAAGTGGAACCTGCGAAACAGAATTGAGGCAAGGCCTTGACGTTCCTGCTTGGGAGACCTAAGCCCAGGTTGCGTTAAAGGGCCCCTAAATTACCCAGAGGTTTAGTTTAGCTGTTGTTTGCACAACAAACGTGCAGCCGCGAGAATTTTTCAAAACGGTGCTGTAGTAGTGGAGGTACACACATGTGATGATCCAGAAGCTGTTCCCGCTCGTTTCTCTATTTCCTTCGCGTAGCCACGTCCATCGGCTCGTCTCTCTTTCCTGGCCGAGCGCTCCTCCTCACTGTGCGACGAAGATGAACAGCGAGTGCGTGTACGTGCGAGCAGACTATATATATATATATATATATATATATATATATATATATATATATATATATATATATATATATATATATATAATCTTCTTGTGCCTATATCTTGTGCAAATGTTGCCGTCGCGACCAATGCTGGGCATCACATATGGCATCACCTAAATGCTCGGAAAGGGGCAGGTATTGCTTCTTCGAATTAGTGCCGCGCCCACGGCTTGTAGCGCTGCCGCGTTTGGCAAATTGTTCAACGTGACGGCATACTGAACTCGATTCATTCGTAAAATAAAAAAAAAATAATCGGAGGCGGTTCGGGGCCCTTTAAATTTTATTTATTTTTATTTAGAAATACAGCAGGTTTGGCCCAAGCAGGAGGGGCATTACAACAAGGAAGAAAAGAAAATATATAGATACAAAACAGCGAATTTTAAGGGAAGTTAAAAAAATTTGTATTCATACATCTATCCGTACGCAGTCGCCGCTGCCTGTCAATAATGCTGCGTCATCACGGAGGAGGGAAAGGTGTGCGTCATAGATCATGGCGCCCACGCCATTCATCCCACACGTTTCCTTCATCCGTGCGTGACCTGAACTATACTGGGCGCGCAGCAAAACAGCATGTCTACGGAGTGAATGATGATCAGTGGGGCGAAGCGTCCGTTGGTCTGTCTATCCGTCCGTCCGCTCCTATCACACGCATCGTGGATACGCTTTAGAATTTCTTTATAGTTACTATATAATGCCACGTTCCTTTCCTCGAGTTTTGTTACCACCCTGTTAGACTACGTTCAGCGCAGACCACGCCTACGATGTTCGAAAAACTTCGAGGCTGTAGTAGATCGTTTTGTTGATATTACGCCCACTTCGTGAACATTACCGATTATTCTGGAACCTGCGGCGCCGCTAGCGATGACGCTAGAACATTCCATGGCAAGTGTATAAATGCCGACGCGCCTCGCCGCTTGTCAGTTGATCGACGGCCGACGCTCTGCTTGTCGCTATCAGTGCCAGTTTCTTGCTCTAGTCTGACTTTCCTTTCACGTGGCCACAGGTTAGGCCCGAATAAGCAGTGTATTATCCGACCATCCAGTCTCCTGCCTTCAGCCACGTCACGACCCCGTGACAATGTGCTACCTAGAGGTTGCATATAGAGTAACTCTTTTGACAGCGCCATCTATTCTATTTAATCGTCAACTATACGAAAACCCACTAACACGATCTAGTGATATTTATAAAAGGACCTATACGCACATCGCCATCTAGTGAGCAATTCATAAACTAGATGTGGCTACATACATACTACATACAAACGGATGAGGGAGGCGATGTGGTAGACTCCGGTCCCGTGTAAAGCACGATGACGAACACCAGATGGTCAAAATTTCCGGAGCCCTTAATCGCATCGTGGCTGTGGGATGGTAAACGCCTGCTATTATTATTGGCGTTGTTTCGATCTTAGATCGTTGTACAAGAAGACTCCCAAACGTTGCGACTGTTTTTTAAACATAAATATACATATTTATTACAGTGAGGTTGCCTTAGTATATCTACACTGTACTTACTGCGGGTCTCTGTGTCCAGTAAGAGTTGTCAGTTTCTCATTGCCAATCAGCAGCGATTGGCATGTTTCAGTAGGAAACACGGGTACATGTGTGCTTTGCTCAAACGCCGCAATGAGCGCCAGCGTCAGCGCCGCAGTGTAGGCGTCAGTGCCCACTGCTTCGTATCTACACTGGGTTCCCACTAAAGGGAACCCAATGTCGATACGAAGCAGTATATACGACGTACGTACGTCCGTACGAACGCGCCGCAACGCGTTCCTCTCGCCACAGGTGTTGGAGCGGTGCCAAGTAGGTCAAGTTGCAGCTGCGCGTTGACTTCACGCTTCCCTTCTCAGGTGCGTGAAGATGTCACTCTTTCTCTCACCCGAAGCACGCTTGCCGCAGCGTCCGCAGCTGCCGGCTCGAGCTCCGCCCGCTCGCAAAACACTTCTCTCTCGCTTCACCCTTCCACCTCCCGCAACGCTCGAGCGCACGTCGAGTGGGAACACTCTTTCGGCTCGTTTATCTGTTATGAAACTTACACGAAACCCAACCCGCCTCTCGTGTCTTCCAATAAAGTTCTTTGTCTGTCTGTCTGTCTGTCTGTCTGTCTGTCTGTCTGTCTCGTGTCTTCGTGTTTCAAACTCTACGGCGAGTTTCACTTGAAACCGTTCTTCCAGCATCCGCGTCCACGGCCGTTTCAACCGGGTCAACTCCGTGCGCACCGCTGCTGCTTTGCATCCCGTCAGGGTTCCCTTCGGCGAGACGGTCCGTAATTTTTTCTTGAGCTTTTCGTTGCTCCCGGTAGTGAGAACAGGAATTATCATCATCATGAACCGGCACGCGCTCGCTTCGTGCTCTTAGAGTTTTCGCTCCTACAAAACGGGCGCCGATTTGTCCAGTGTCCAGGACTACAATAACTATGATGGGCGAGTCTGTTACGTGACTGCGAGTTACACCACCCAACATTTAGTCACGTGACTGAATTCACGTACCTTACTCACGTGACCAAAAATCACGCGGCATTAATTCTAGTCACGTGACTAAAAATCACGAAACATCTAGTGACGTGACCGAAACCACGTAACAGCTAGTCAGCGACCAAGAATAACGCATCAGCTAGTCACGTGACTAAAAATCACGTAACATCTAGTCATGTGACCAAAAATAGCGTAACATCTAGTCAGTGACTAAAATCACGTGACAGCTAGTCACGTGACCAAAATCACGTGAAATCACGTGACGAAATATCAGGTAATATCTAGTCATGTCACCTAAAATGCCGTATCATCTAGTCACGCGACGAAAAATCATCTAGCATCTGTGGTCACGTGACCGAAATCGGGATACACCTAGTTACGTGACAGCCAGTCACGTGATCTAAAATGGCGTAACATCTAGTCACGTCACTGGAATCACGTTACACCCAGTGACGTTACTAAAATTCCACCATTCCACCATTTTAGTGTGGAACATCCAATCACGTGACTTATATTGACGTCACATCTAGTCACATGACTAAAATCCCGTAATAGCTAGCGACTTTACTAAAATCCCGTAAGATTTAGTCCCGCGACAAACGTCAAGCAACATTGCGCAGTAACTATAGTCGAGTGATATGTTCGCGCCAAAAACCACGAAACATACGTGCGCAGTCTATACGTCGAGTGCTGCTAGGAAAATTGATGAGATCTAGCACAGAATCATGCCAAGGGAAACATAGGGGATGTTATCAAAAGCAATTGTAATGTAAATGTCATGCAACAGCTAGTCACGCGACGAAAATTACGTAACAGTTAGTCGCGTGACTAAAAAGCTCAGCATTATTGCAGCGAAAGTCGAACACAAATAGTTCCTGCCCTGGGACAGAAATTCAAGCTGCGCACTCCTGGCGGGTCCATTCGATTTTTTTACGGCTTGACCAGCGTCGTGAAAAGAACCCAATCTTTCTAACGCGATAGCGTTAGAGAGCTCGCGTCGCAGAAAACCCGCCGCCGACGTCGGCCCCGTTGGTTGTGAACGAAAAATCGTCTGTGCGTCTGCGACCAAAAAAATTAAGTTACCGAAATAGCCGCGGGAGGCCGCTACTTGTCCACGCGTGCGCGCGCGATCACACTGAAAAAGCCTCGCGTTCGAAGAAAGAAAAAGTGCTCAAGGTCATGAGGCGCGGTAGTTTCTTTGCCCTGCCACCCCTCTCTGCTTACCTTCCAACGCTTTTGTCGGGACGAGAGATGATGTAATGAAATTTCAGCATGCGACAAACCTTTAACTCCACTCGCACTGCAGGGACAGATTATTAAAATTTTTGCGGCGTTGAATCCGCGAGGCAATAAGCTCTTCTAGTGAATTCATTTTGTGGTTACTTGAAAAAGTGTTTCAGGGCCCTTTTAACGCATTTTGTTCGACAAGTGTCGCGACGAAAACGAGCCCGTTAGGCGGTAATAGCGCTCGCTGGTCCAATCTACTGTGTGCGTGTTTGTGTGCGTTCGTGTGTATGTAGCAAAACATAATAATAAGTATGCACTTAGTGGTTGAAGGGTGCACTAGGGGCCGAATTTCGCTATCAGGCTCAACTCTTGAAGGCAAAGCTTAAGAGTCCCCCAATTTTTCGGCGAGGAGTCCAAACACTCACATATAATATACGCAGAAGCATAGCTTTCGGGTGGAGGGGGGGGGGCACCCCTTTAAGATGGTCAATTTTCACACTGAATGTCATGCCGAAAAATATTCGGAGGTGGGAGAGGCACGGTATCGGTGTGCCACCCCCTGGCCACGTCACTGCACATGCATGCTGAAATTGAGTGGGCTAATTACTTTACAGTTTTTATTGATAATAAGTACAGGCCGTCTAAAGACGCAACATGATTGAGGTCTTTAGGTAACGAGCCCCGCCACGGTGGTCTAGTGGCTAAGGTACTCGGCTGCTGACCTGCAGGTCGCGGGATCAAATCCCGGCTGTGGCGGCTGCATTTCCGATGGAGGCGGAAATGTTGTAGGCCCGTGTACTCAGATTTGGGTGCACGTTAAAGAACCCCTGGTGGTCAAAATTTCCGGAGCCCTCCACTACGGCGTCTCTCATAATCAAATAGTGGTTTTGGGACGTTAGACCCCACAAATCAATCAATCAATCAATCAATCAATCAGTATTTAAGTAGCGATGCTAAAATATTACAATACGCTTTAAAACAACGCGCGATCGAGATGACGAACTCGTCCCGTGAATCACAGAAGTGTGGCAGCTTGGGCTAGTTCGTATGGCATGACGATAGTTATAGCGCGAGAACAAAACGACGCACAGAGACAAGTGTCTTTCGTGTCCTTCTTGTCTCTGTGTCGTCGTTTTGCTCTCGCGCTATAACTATCGCCATGAATCACGTTGAACACGGTAATCGCAAAGTCGTCAACCCACTGTCACTGTAACGGGTGTTGCTTCTGTCAGATGTGACCTTAAGTATATGTCTGATATGAGCAATCGCCAAAAAGGAAGATACGCACTCTGTTATAATATGTCTTCTATGGTTCGGGGCAGTGACGTATGGTCTTTCTATTACACACAAATTATCAGTTCACTAAGTGGGAATGAGGTTAGTTTGTTACAACCTGCTTGATTACTCCTTCTCTAAATGACTGTCAGTGCTGCCTTTAATATGAGGAAATCAGGCAGTCGATGTTGTGTTGATTATAACTCCCTGTGTGCGCTTCTCTCCTTTTTTTGTTTCTTCTTTGTTATATCTTTTTTTTCTTCGGTGAAATTTATCTACTGATTTTGATGGCGAATGCCGAAACAGCAACTCTCATTCATCCAAGGTCTCCCCTCGCCCTTTTTTTCAGCATCATAATCGAAGTTTAATCTCAACGCCGCACGTGTTTCGTACTCGCGACTAAACTGGTGTTCCATCTCCTGATACCGTAAATGGCAAAGAAGTGGTAAAGAAAGGGCAAGATGAAAGATGGGGGAAAGGGTTAGCATGCCTACTTAAAGCAGCGCTGGATCAGCGACCTTGCAGTCTCGCTACGATCGACCGTCAAGCGACAACCGGACCAGACGCCATGGATATGCGTGCGATCGTTGTCCTGTTCCTTTTCTGCTGCATTTCTGGCCTATATGGTAAGCTCCTTTGTCAATGCTTCGAGTTGAAGTTGTTTGCAAGTTAGCCGCTGTGCTTTCAGCAGCACTAACTTTAGGCGTGTTTGCAGGAATTCGTTTTCTGCTGGTAGCGCACAAGCCAAGGGCACGCGAAGGAACGTGAAGACCAGACGAGCGCTGGATGGGAACCAAGTGTCCTACCGGGCTTCTTCGGAGGCAGGTCGGAGCGCATACGTGCTACCACACTCCGGTGGTACACTTGGTTCGCATCCAGCGCTCGTCTGGTCTTGCTGTTACTACTTCTGCCGCTGCCTCCTGGCCTGCATACTTGCTGTATACGTTTTCTTTTTTTTTAATGCACGTCGAATTTTCGATCCTTCGAAAGCTATTCTACTTGATTTGCCCATTTCGTCTTTTGTGTCACGGTCTTTAGCGCTGCTTCAATAGTCATCACTTGGTAGCTTGGGCTGGTTCATGCATGTTTGGAAATATTCAATTCCCCAAAGATGCGCCGTACTGGCACAGACGGACATAGACAGCGCTTCGTCTGCCTGTTGGTCCCTTGCTTCTTGATGTTAACTCTTTCGGGGCGATGCTGACTTGTTGTTCTACAGTTTGTTCTTCTTGGCCACGCTCTTATCCTTTGCTCGGCGAAGAGCGCACGCTTGCACTGATGCGTCTCGACTCGGTTGCTATACGAGCACTTATCTGGGCCCCTGCGGGAATTGCTTGGAAGGCAGTGGCGTAGCCGGGTGGTGGCAACCTCTCGGACAAAAAAAAAAAAAAAAAAAAAAAACTGCCTATGCTTTTGTTACATATTTCGTTTCTGTAGCGCCCGCTGCTTCTGTTTTACAATACATAGCGGCCACTTTAATCAACGTAGGTACAGTTCGCTCTATTTCGCTTACGGTTCACGTTCCACTCATTCGCTTTAATCACTTTCGTTCCTTCGTTGCCCTGTCGCACTTTCAAGTAGCATCTATAGCGCATCGCTTTACTGAACCATTTTTCGTATAGCAGGCGTCATATATTCCCTTGCGATGACCAACGCGTTCTCGCTTTGCAGGGCAATTCTCTACGTGCTTTGTTCACCGCCATCCTTCTTTATATTACGACACCCACAGAACAGCGGCATATTCCCGCTGCTACAGCTGTTCACCTGCGTTTCTGGGACAAGACCATAAAACAATAGCTCAATTTCGGCTGACTACGCTCTTACCTCTGTTGTTATTGTAACACCATGGCCTTCTTAATCACCTTCACTCGGCTCCTCCTGCCACTTGATGTGTTCTTCGGAATGCGACGAGTTTCATTTTCAGCCTATAGCCATTGTGTTGTTGCTCGTTCTTCAGTTTCGCACCTGTCCCGCCACCTCATTCTTTTAATTTCGACCGTAGTCTCGCATTACTGCAACAATTGTTTCCCCCGCGGGAGTGGTGCCTAAAGTTTCAACGCCCGTCGTACGCCACAGTCCCTTCTGCTTAGCCCGTCGGATGACGACCGTAGCCTCTTTTCCAGGAGCCTCGTTCCCGTTCAAGCCTTACTGCTTGGCCTGTGTGCCTAGCAATTGCGGCAGGCCCCGCGACCCCTGGGACCTGCTGCCCGGACGCACATATGGCGGCTCGAACTCCACCAGGGGGCGTTACCCGTGGCACGTGAGTACGCCCGTACACGCTGACGCGAAACACTGAGGGCCTGTATGCTGACGTTCATGTAGTCGTATTTATTTATTCACAATACCGCAAAGGCTCCTTATCGGAGCAGTGTGTATGGGGGGCGATATATGATAAAATATGACGTGATAAACATGGCAAAAGATGAAATCAATACGATGCAATCTGGAAAATGCACTGTGATGTAAACGACTGCCAGAAAAGCAAGAGCAACACCCCAGTAGAAAAGCGTGGAAGAGCGTGCACGAAACACGAACTTAATTAACATGAACAGTCAGTGGTTGACAAATGAAGAAAATTTTGGCAGCGTTTACAATACTACAATGTCGCATAATACAACGTTAAACAATTCAAAACGTGAGAAAATCCATCGGAAATAACTACGTAAGCATGACATGTTCGAGTAGGCGGTAGTGAAAGGCATTGTGATCGAACTGATATCGCCAGGGAAATCGTTCCAAAGCTGGATGGCGTGTGGCAGCGCATAATTAAGCGCATTTGTTTTGCCGAAGATGCGCACGAAGCTGCCCCAATTATGGAGCCGCCTACACATGCGCAGTGGGGTTTTCAAAGGGAGGGAATGAGGCCTGGTGTTTTTAAACATATTCATGAAGCAGGCATACAAGCGAAACACACCGGCGAACCTGAAGAGGGTGCAGCGAAAGTTAGTTTTATTTGAGTACTACTGTATTTTCGTTTGTAACTTCCGGTAAAAAAAACGAGCGCCACGGTTTCGAACAAGCTCAAAGGTAGTCGTGATAAGGGGCCCAAATGGATAACGCGAATTCTAACTGCCGCCGAATGCACGCTAGGTATACGATAACTTGCGACTGTTAGACGGCGATTTACGAAGGTTACTAGTGCATCGAAGCGTTTGTGATTCAGCACAGAGAGCCGTAATCTGGGGGCGCGATGAAAGATAGTGAATGAAGTTTATCCCTCGATACTTGAATGACTGAACACGGGATATGACAGTTGTTAATGACGTAGGAAAAATCGGAGTGCGATTGTTTGCGGGTGAAAGAAATGGGTTTACCTTTTCTAGAGTTCACTACCATGAGCCGTTTTTGACACCACATATTTATAAGGTTCATGCACGCTTTGCAGGATGTGATCATAGGGCGGTATCATTTTTCTGTGATAGTCATCGGCGAATAATCCAACACTTAAGGAAATATTATTGGGCAGGTCATCGATTTGGTCATGGCCAGCGTTCGCACTACGGGCTCATGTTCATGACTTCACATTTCTGATTTTCAGGTGTTTGTACCAGCTGAACAAAGGGCTGTATAGATCGGTACCTGTCTTTGAGGGTTGCTAGAGGGGGGGGGGGGGGGGGGGGTGTTCTGCCACTCTCCTTCTTTCTCTAACTGTTAAAATTTTCCCAGGCCACCAAGGGAGCAGTACCTCTAGCACATTCATCTAATCGTGTGTTCAAAGGTATCTTATGGGATCCAGGTTTTTACTTCCGCAATCACGGCCCCCATTCGCAGGAGAGCGAAAGGAATGTCCGGCTTCTTTTTCGCCGTTCATGGTTGGCAATCACTGCAAAAAACGGCCAGCTTGCGCATTGTCTCGTTCATTATTACTTATTTCTCGCTCTTTGATCAACTTCTGCACCTCCCCCCCTCCTTTTTTTCGCCGCAGGCCATAGTATATGCTGATGGTCAACCCATTGGTGGTGGAGCCCTGGTGTCCTGCAACTTCGTCCTCACCACGGCCTACCTCGTTCAAGAGTGAGCACGCCATAGCATTGCATTTCGAAAGTACTCGATTTCTGAGGCACTACAGACCCAGTGTGATTTCACTCGTTTAAAAAAAAAGCACTCGCTCCGAGCATGGATCTTAGTCCATAAGCTTTCAAGTGACCAGTTTTGTTGTGCACTGTGGCATAGGGGGTGGGGGCAGGAAGGGCGTTCGCCCCCCCTCCCCAGGCTTCCACTCCCTCCAATGCCTACCGTCCGTCACCCATTAGGACAAATTACCAGTATTTATGCTCTGAAGAGGCTTCTATAATGGCAAAAACGAGCTGGAAACCCACCAGCGCGGTTTAACTTCAAGAAACCTCCCCACCCTGGAATGAGTGGTCGAAATTTCCGGAGCCCTCCACTACGGCGTCTCTCATAATCATATAGTGGTTTTGAGTCGTTAAACCCCACAAATCAATCGCCCTGGAATGACTGTCTCTGCCCGCTCTTGCACTACACATTCGCTTGATCAGCTTTCCAGATGTCACATCTTTTTAAGACTCAAATGCAGGGACTGTACCTTACTCTTAGCCCACCTTGGACTAAATTTTCAGTGTCGCTAGTTCAGTTTGACCGATGCTCTTTGCCTGACCCATTGCTGTACCTGTACGTTCTACCCTATTCACAGCTATCGCCCAACTCGGCTTCAGGTTAAGCTCGGCAAGACTGACCTGGACAAGGAATCTCCCACGGAAAGCACTTACGCCGTATGTATGCACAGACCTTGCTATATACGTTCGTTTGATTCAAATACCCGCCCAATGGGCTTCATGGCCAGCTTTACTTTCCTCTGCCCAGCTGTATACTTGCATCTTCTAAACGCTCTCGCGCGACCACGTTTCACAATGTCACCTACGCACTCTCCTAATTATAACCCTGTAGGGTTGTACCGTACTCGAGATCAATATTCACTGCTACATTAAATGTTTAACAACGCGCGCTTCTCTTTCCCTATAAACGTCTCTTCCAGCGACCACAACTGTTCTAGAATTCCAATTCTCTCTTCACCTTCAGTCTTCCCTTGCTTTGTTTTGAACCCCATGTCGCGCATGCCCTCTCTAGCACTCATTTCACCGTGTGCAACATTCGTTCCCACCTACTGTTTTGCGTGCGCGGATAGCTGCTTCTGCCCGTGGAGGACTTCTTTCGGGAACAAGGTACACCATGTTCTGGATTGTTTTTTTTGTCTTATGTGCCCATCTCCCTCCTTAACGCAGAGGATGGCAATGTAAAGATTGTGGTTCCTTGTTGTGGCGTTGGCAGACACTTTAAAGCCACAAGCTGTAACTAAAGCTATAGCTACTAACGTCATGCAGTCACGCTGAATGCTTTCATGTGCACTTCCCGGTAGCCCATCTCTGCCGTCGTTGCTAATTTTTGTCTGTGCGCGCATCGGTTACAGGTGTACCAGCGTGTGCTGCATCCCCGCTGGGACCCTGAGCGTGACCTGTACAGCTATGACCTGGCCCTCCTCCAACTCGAGCGTGTGGTGGACTTTCCTTCAGCCAACGGCTACATCAACACCATCTGTCTGCCTGAGCCCCGCGTCGACGCCCAGGGCTGGCTTACGCTCACCAGCTTCGGATACGACCAGCAAGGCGAGTGCACGTGCCGGGAACCTTGCACATGGCGTCAGGAACTGGTGTTATTAACGTACTATAGCTGGCACTACAACGTGGTAACATCAATTCCGTTTAGGCAGTATATAATCGCGTCATCGGTGGGAAAGTTCACGGCAATGCGACGAGCAAGCTGCGCGTCTGGCGTTTTTCACGCAGCAAGACCACGAAGTCGGACTTTGTGTCCCACTATTTAGCTCCTCGAACATGCTGCTCTGAGCGGCATGTTACAACAAATTGGTACTTTGCTGTTGATACTGCTCAAATTACGAATATACGAGTAAGACAACGTGAGCACACCTGCGTTCGTGGTGTTTTTTTTGTGTACTAGTCTTTACGCTCGGTTTAGGACCGTTACACATTCCTACATAGCTGCTGCACTCGCAAAGGCGTGTTCGGGTACTGGACCGAAAACTCTTCCACGATAGTAGTGCTTCACGCAACTTCGTCTGTGAAGAACGCTGGTCGCCACTAAATTACCGCGCTTATGTTGTACTGTAGCTTCTGACCGAACGACCCCACAACACTTCCTATTTCTCTGCGCAGGCCGCCGCAACCGCCTGATGCAAGAGGTCAACATCCTGAAGCTCCGCGGTGACCAGTGTCCGCTGTTCAGGAACAAGCCGTACGCCTTTTGTGGAGTGGGCCAGAAATCCGGCATCTGCACGGTGAGTAGGCCCTGCCATGTTGGAACATACAGCAACTCTGGTCTCTGTCTCGGTTTACACAGCGTACTCCAGTTCTACCGCTACCTTCACGCAACCTAGGACAACCACTGGGCAGTGCTATCCTTTCATCTTTTCCGCCTTTCGTACTTTGCGCTGCTCTTTACATCCTCGAATCCGCCAACACGGTAATTTATTGCGTTTCTCACATCGTCTCTTCGAGCTTGTGTCCTGCAAGTCAATTCTGCGCAGGTAGAGCAAGGGTTATGAAACCAATAAGCGACAATCGTGGCAATGTCGCACAGACTTCCTTGCGGATTTCTCGAAAAGTGCACCTAGTTAATAGATGCCTACCACCACCACCACCATCATCGACGAAAAGTGGGCCGATTCCGGGGTGGTCCTTTATTCCCTCCCGCCTCGCCCGAAGGAAATTGTCGGGGCCCCCTGGTTCCTGAATGGAACTCAACCATTCCAGGGTTGGACAATATTGCTCTCAACTAAGATATAATAGCAATGCTAGCATGAACTTTTTGTCTTGCCTGGGTTTCAGATCATGGTCATGCTATCGCACGGAATCTTTCATTCACCCGACATTATGCTCACGCATTTTTTTTTTCAGGGCGATCGCGGCTCCCCCGTGGTACAGATGGCCCCGACTGGAGAATTCACCCTGGTGGGAGTCGCTAACGACTACCAGTGCCAACCGGGAGGCACCGACGTCTACACGCAGATTTCCTACTTCCTCAATTTCGTCTGCAACATCCCCGTCGAGGTTTAGGACGAGCTCACGGCCCGCAGCGGCTGAACCCAGCATCTTCATTTCTGCACCGTCACTTCGCTTGTACATAGCTCATCCGGCGCATCACGCGCTGTCATATCTTTCTCATTGCAAGCCATTGTAGACGACACAAGGGTTCACAGATCGCTGTAACTTCCAGTGATGGGTCAATAAAACATCTCTGCTGTGTATATTTGAGTGTTCGCTTTCTCATCGCAACCTGCAGCGATGACGTCACCATGTAGCCAGTCTGGGCATTCTCCGCACACAGAAAACTACTCGCGCTTTGTAAAAAAAAAATCTATACGCGAACTTCAATAACTATACACATCCGGAACACCTCCTGCATGCCGATGCACGCACGGAGCGTTCTACTAGGCCTACAAAATGGCGTGGCGATGGTCTGTGCTGCAGCACACATCACACTGGCGTCGGCACGCGTTTCCCCAGGATGCATCGTTCCTGTGACGTCCTGGATAGCAAGCCTCATTTAGTACCAGAACATACGCTCCAAATGTTCGCTACTCGGCCCATGACTCACTCGAAAGACCAGGGTGGCTTAAATTTGGTTCGAGCAGCAATATATAACACCCAAGGGTTCTTAATCTTTCTAGAAAGTCTACGATCGCTTTTTTCCAGTATCCAACTTGTCCAGACACCTTTGTTTTTTTTTTTACTGTAACTTTCACATCCATGTAACAAAAACTTCGCAAACACTTGTTTAATCCCACAGCCTAACTGGCTACTAGAGGGACCAATTGTGACATACCTACATATTTGCGCAAGCGGTTACACAGCGACAAAGGACATTGTCACAAACGACTCCAATTTTCGGAGCATCCGCGGGCCCCATCTTCCAAGGAAGGGCGTTTTTGTGATGGGAGACGACATCCGGCGACTATAACGACCCAGCGTGGCGCCGGCTCGTCTTCCCTGCCCCTGACCGGAAGGGGAACCGGCGGTCTCAACAAGGAGAATTACTCCCAGATTAGACGGGAACACGTGTACGCCCCTGAAGAGGTTTGAACTGCATCGGAAGAGCAGTTGACGTATAGACAGCAACAAGTGCGGTCGTCGGTGTCGCGAGTCTCGCGTAGGCGGCGAGCACGGAGTGACCCGCGCAACGTATTGAGACGGCTGCAATTCCGGGCACCCTCGTCGTCTACCAAGCCGGCGAGACCTTCAGCGGCACCCGTCAACTCCCCTACGTGCACCAAGGGCTGGTTTGGTCCGTATGGAACTTTTTATTGTGACTTTTTTGTTAAACCGTAAACTTGTTTTAACCAGCCTTTTTTTTAAATATTTGTAGTGTGCGCTGCGTCGCACTTAGAAACTCAAAAGCGCTACCATGATCATTCTGTAATTAATTTCTAGTGTCTCTCTCCTTTGATTTCCATCTTGTTGTTATTTTATTAATGTTCCGCATATTTGTCTTTAGTCTGTATCTTTTGTAGTGTTTTTAGCACATTTTGTTATATCGCTGTTCTTTCCATCGCGCATCAGTGTTATTCCTCTCTGTTATTTTTGTAATCTCCTGCCTTTTCCCCTGTTTTAATTAAATGCTTGTTTATGTGTAATCAAACTCCGTGTCTGCTCTATGAGTGCGTCGGTCAGGCCCACACATCACCACACGTGCAACCCCACACGGGTCGACCAACCCGCAAATAAATTTGAAATGTGCCACTTCGAGGCCTTTCAGGCGTCGCAGGCCGAAGCGTAAAGTGGAAGCCTGCGAGTCTGCCGCACGTCGATGTTGTATAGATAATGTCACACACTTCGGGTGAGGCCCCGCCGATCCAACATCGACGTGCGGCAGACTCGCAGGCTTCCACTTTACGCTTCGGCCTGCGACGCCTAAAAGGCCTCGAAGTGGCGCATTTCGAATTTATTTGCGGGTTGGTCGACCCGTGCGGGGTTGCACGTGTGGTGATGTGTGGGCCTGACCGACGCACTCATAGAGCAGACACGGAGTTTGATTACACATAAACAAGCATTTAATTAAAACAGGGGAAAAGGCAGGAGATTACAAAAATAACAAAGGAGGAAAACTGATACGCGCGATAGAAACAACAGCTAGGTACATAACAAAATGGGCTAAAAACACTACAAAAGATACAGGCTAAAGACAAATATGCGGAACATTAAGAGAATAACAACAAGATGGAAATCAAAGGAGAGGGATACAAGAAATTAATTACAGAATGATCATGGTAGCGCTTTTGAGTTTCTAAGTGCGACGCAGCGCACACAACTACACAGTTAAAAAAAAAGGGCTGGTTAAAACAATTTAACAGTTAAAAAAAAAAAGTCACAATAAAAAGTTCCATACGGACCAGGCCAGCTTTTGGTGCACGTAGGGGAGTTGACGGGTGCCGCTGAAGGTCTCGCCGGCTTGGTAGACGACGAGGGTGCCCGGAATTGCAGCCGTCTCAATACGTTGCGCGGGTCACTCCGTGCTCGCCGCCTACGCGAGACTCGCGACACCGACGACCGCACTTGTTGCTGTCTATACGTCAACTGCTCTTCCGATGCAGTTCAAACCTCTTCAGGGGCGTACACGTGTTCCCGTCTAATCTGGGAGTAATTCTCCTTGTTGAGACCGCCGGTTCCCCTTCCGGTCAGGGGCAGGGAAGACGAGCCGGCGCCACGCTGGGTCGTTATAGTCGCCGGATGTCGTCTCCCAACACAAAAACGCCCTTCCTTGGAAGATGGGGCCCGCGGATGCTCCGAAAATTGGAGTCGTTTGTGACATAGCCCCCTTCTTAAGAATATTACTTCGTAATGTTCAAGAAAATCACAAACGCTCAATGTTCGAGAGCCTGCCGTGTTCCGGTTGTCCACCAATGCGTTTTCTTTTTCGCGCGCACCATTTCGCTGACGTGGACGACACCGCAGAGAGCACCCGACACACCACACTTTCACGGTCACTATACGATGAAAGTCAGAACTCGCGCACAACGTCATGGCCACACACATGAAAAGACAATGACAAAAATACTGCACACTTCAGGAGTAAGACAGGTAAGCATTCCTTGATGCCACATATAAAAAAAAATACACGCTTTAAGCGGTATTGAAAAATCACTTACTTACACGCAGCTTCCGACAAGGATGAATGAAAAACTATTCGGCATGATCGCCTGCGCGCAGTTCCTGAACTTACTGTCCACTAAAGCGCTCTATTTTAAAATGATAATAAAAAGTAAAACTTTCAAGAACAAAGCGTAATGTTTATTACACAAGCTTACCTCGTTATACTTCGTGTATATGGCCAACCAGTCTTAAAAAGAACTCAAGTTATCAAAATAACAATATCCCTAAAACAAAGCTTTCTAACTGATCGGGTAATAAGTTGAAACAACAGATCATCGTTTAGAAACACACAGACGACACAAGAAAATCAATAAAAAAAAACTAAGCGATTGCTCCGAACGTTTATCAAATGTTTCAAAATCGAATGACTGACGTGAACATTGTTTCAAAAAGTACCCCATTAGCCCTGAAGGTTAGGTTTACGTTTCGATGTACATACACATAAGTTTTATCCGCGCCCGAGGTGGCCGCGCTCTTGGGGGAGCCGTTCGAAGCAAACGGGGCAGACAAAAGCGTGTACGGCCGCTACACGGACGCCTGTTTCCCGTTAGTCTACACCTCGGAGGCATGCCTTTATCGACACTGCGTTCTACGGAAACGGGTCTCCGAACCATGTCGTGTCGCTCGGCCGAAAGGCGCTGCCTCACAAGGCGCCCTGCGTTTCGAGCAGGACAATGGAGCGAAGGGGGTTGGCTCTTCCGAGCTCCACGAACAAATGCCTGCCTCCCCCCTCTACCTGTCGGGCGGTTTGGGGCATGACTACCTCCTCTACTGGCGAATGCCACAAAACGCAATCGAAGCTTTCGTTGCGTTGATTGACGTTTGGAAATTCTAGATTTCATGGGTGAATTTACACCCTTCACTTCTCTCTTGTTCTTGCTTTTGCGGCGTCTTTTTCCTTTTGCACGTTGCTCAGTGCTCACTTTCGAAAAGTCCGCTTGCAACGTTTGCAGAGCAGAACTTGTCTCGCTTGTCTCTTCGGCCATAATGCCTATACAGTCGGGAATTTCCATTAACTTGCGGACACCCTGACTTGCGGGAAGCTTGACTGACGGCTGAGCAATGCAAGCGTCTTCCTCGGGGCTGCGCCGCTCGCACCTGGAAGAACTACTTGCCCCAACATTGCCCAGCTCGCAGTGTGCGTCAGCACCCGACTGTGCCCCGCTCTCTGTACAGGGGTCCTCACCTACCGGGCCGGAGGTATTGCGAACTTCACATTTAGCTGCTATGGCGACGCACAAACAGGGCGGCTGTGCCAAGTCCATTACAGATGGCATTTCTGCATTAACAAGACTCTCCAGGCACAGCGCCTCGTCGCCATCACTGAGGCCTTCAGTGGCCTTTGTGGCCACAACGGGACTTTCAGCAGCTAACTCCTTAGATTCACTCGTGAACCCGATGTTCGCCTCATCAGTACTGCTATTTTGGCCGGCTCTCAGCGGTTTGGCACCTACGGGCTCTTTGCCCTTTTCGTGCCTTGCATCCCAGGTCTCAAACATGCGCCGTCTACTTTCCATTTTCTGGCGCAGTAGCTGAACATGATCCTGGTAAGACTGCTTGTTCGGGACACGGTCGGTCACGCTACTGGGCGTTCTAGCGGCTAAGCTGAGACCCGACTGCGTGGCACACAGTCCCAAGCGCTCTTTTTCCTTCTGAACTCTAAGCCTTGAATTTTCTCGCTCCTGTTCCATCAAATATTCCAGATGTTGCCTGTACCTAATGCGTTCGGCATCGCGCTCCTCTTTAAGTCTATTTCGTTCTTTTTCGACGAAATTATATAACTCCTTGCCTACAAAGCCAAAGGCTTTGCCCTGTTCAATAAGCTTATCAAACTCCGTGCCGTCCATTGTTAAAACAGTTGTCCACCAACAAAACAATAAAAGGACGTCTACATATCACGCTCAGAGCTACGTCAGTCTCTCAGACACCACCACGTGGTCGGCCAGTCCTGTCGCGGACGCCAGATAATGTCACACACTTCGGGTGAGGCCCCGCCGATCCAACATCGACGTGCGGCAGACTCGCAGGCTTCCACTTTACGCTTCGGCCTGCGACGCCTGAAAGGCCTCGAAGTGGCACATTTCAAATTTATTTGCGGGTTGGTCGACCCGTGCGGGGTTGCACGTGTGGTGATGTGTGGGCCTGACCGACGCACTCATAGAGCAGACACGGAGTTTGATTACACATAAACAAGCATTTAATTAAAACAGGGGAAAAGGCAGGAGATTACAAAAATAACAAAGGAGGAAAACTGATACGCGCGATAGAAACAACAGCTACATAACAAAATGGGCTAAAAACACTACAAAAGATACAGGCTAAAGACAAATATGCGGAACATTAAGAGAATAACAACAAGATGGAAATCAAAGGAGAGGGATACAAGAAATTAATTACAGAATGATCATGGTAGCGCTTTTGAGTTTCTAAGTGCGACGCAGCGCACACAACTACACAGTTAAAAAAAAAGGGCTGGTTAAAACAATTTAACAGTTAAAAAAAAAAAGTCACAATAAAAAGTTCCATACGGACCAGGCCAGCTTTTGGTGCACGTAGGGGAGTTGACGGGTGCCGCTGAAGGTCTCGCCGGCTTGGTAGACGACGAGGGTGCCCGGAATTGCAGCCGTCTCAATACGTTGCGCGGGTCACTCCGTGCTCGCCGCCTACGCGAGACTCGCGACACCGACGACCGCACTTGTTGCTGGCTGTACGTCAACTGCCTATTCCGATGCAGTCCAAACCTCTTCAGGGGCGTACACGTGTTCCCGTCTCATCTGGGAGTAATTCTCCCTGTTGAGACAGCCGGTTCCCCTTCCGGTCAGGGGCAGGGAAGACGAGCCGGCGCCACGCTGGGCCGTTATAGTCGCCGGATGTCGTCTCCCAACACAAAAACGCCCTTCCTTGGAAGATGGGGCCCGCGGATGCTCCGAAAATTGGAGTCGTTTGTGACAGACATCACACTGGATACAATGTTTAAAATAGAAAGAAAAGCAAAAAACACATGATTGAACTATACAAAGAAACATAGAGCAGAACATAGCTACTTATAGCACAGAATAATATTAGCACTAGAATAATACTAATAATACTAAATGACTATGCAGACGTATTAGAAAGTCGCATGAAGTGCATGCTTCATGGCCAACGGAAAATTTCTAGCCTCTTTCACATCAGTCCGTATGACATTCCACATGAGAGCGCCGTGAAATTCTATGAGCCTTCGACCGTAGGCATTTCTGGCTACCGGTAAATTAAAACAGTGATTCGCTGCAGCTCTTGTACAGCGCGCGGGTAACGTAAAGGTGCTTAATGGGAATGGGTCATCACGTTTTATTATTGCATGCACTATATCAGCAACACTAGACACGTGAACAGAGTCCAGTGGAAGTACACGCATCATTTGAACCAATGGTTTTGCAGTATCCGTCCTGTTTGAGTGTGTAATAATCCGGACTGCCCTCTTTTGCAGGCGGCTAATACATTTCAAATGAGTTTTATATTTACTGCCCCACGATGCTATACAGTGCCCGTGTGCTCAGATTTGGGTGCACATTAAAGAACCCCAGGTGATCGAAATTTCCGGAGCCCTCCACTGCGGCGTCTCTCATAATCATATGGTGGTTTTGGGACGTTAAACCCCACATATCATCACGATGCTATACAGTAGCTCAAGTGACTGTGCACGAATGCAAAATATAGGAAAATATCATGTTTTATATACGTACACATGCAAAATTCAGAAATTTTAGGTGTGGTTCACCTTTCCCCATTTAATTGTGGCTATGGCAGTGCAGTTTCGCTGCAGCATCGGCCGCTGAACACAAACTTCGCAATGAACGTGAGTTAAAAAAAAAATGTCCCCTGGTATTGAGCGGTATGGGGCACAAGCATGCCAGCCTTGGTGACGGCCTCAAATCCTAGGGCACGAGTGGTTTTCTGGGCATGCCCGGACGGCCCCCAGTTGATCGGCGAGGTCGTGGCAGAGCAGAGACTCCTCTCATATCGTCTCGCAGTTTGAGACAGCCATGTCTACCCGACTCATTCAGGATTGATGGGTGTGAACGGCGCTTCCAAGTATCACAATGGATCATTATAAACTCGCCAAACTTGATTTATTTACATTCCAATCAGACGAAAAGGTCATCTGCGCAAAAGGTGAAGTCGCACGAAACATGTTAACGCTAGGCAGTTTCCTTTAGAAGGCGACGTTTTATGACTCGCTGTAAAAGGGCTATCTCGCTGCTCAAGCCAGACACTCTGGTATCAGCGGAAAGGCGAATAGCATCTGCACTCTATCTTTACATCGCGACCGGCTGCAGCGTGTGTTTGCTGCAGGACGTACTCGCAGCCACTTTCTGGCGTAGTACATCCCGTCGAACAAACGTACGTGTGCGTTGACCTTCACGCTCTGCATTCAAGTGAGAAATGGGCAAAATTACAAAAGAAGTGGTCACTAGCCCACATGTCAAGAAGTCCGCAAGTCCATTCAGGTATGGCAATCAATATGATTATCCAGTGGAACCTCGCGATGTGGCTGACTTACATGAGCACAGTTGTAATGCACGGTCGACCCAAGCTTGCCCCATGCAACCGCGCAGCGTCTTTGATCAACTGACGTGCTGAAACACGAGACGTAATCGGACGTCACGATGACCTAACAAATTTTGAGACTTATGACGTCATGATAAAGTGGTGACTTGATAAAGTGGTTTTGTGTGACGTTATCGCTGGCCCCGAAAACGTGATACCTTAACTTTTTTTTCTCAGTTCGCGGACGAATATTAACTCTACGGTGGATGGATGCCATGAAATTAAGGTGTCCAGTTTACAGCAAAACTATGACAATGTTTTTCATAGCACGAATATAGGGACCTTCCGGATGTGCACACAGAGTCATGGTCGGAAATTATCTGAACCGGTTGTCGAGTATTATCATTATTATTATTTTATGAGAGGGTGGAGGACATTACCTCACGCAGCCACAAGTGAGGTGTTTTCTTCTTTATTGTGGAATACATAATTACAAGAGAAAGAATAGCTTGCGAAATGCTACTGACCCTAAATATTTCATTAGTTCGTTAGAATAATACTATAGAAATAAGGGGGAAATTCACCTGCATCCTTTGGTATGTGCGATGCTCAACGACTGCTGCAGTTCTTACCGGGCTTGTTCATGCAATAGAAAAAGAAAACAAGACAGCTTTTTGCTTTCATATCTTGAAGCAGTGGTTGTCGTGTTATTTACAAAAAACAACGATTTTGCTAAAATGTGCATCTGACACGTTGTTCAGGTAGAGAGGCTTCGTTACCAAACCGGAACTGCAGCACACACAGCATTCTGGCCACTGTTTGCCATTTTTATGGAGGAAAAAGTGACCATTTTCAAAGTCGATTGCCCACCGCATCGCGCCGATTGTTGACCCTCGACACGTAAGAACCTTGATACAGCTATGGGCAAGGTTCTGTTTGGCGTTCTGACACATTGTTCATGTTTCGTTACCAAACCGAAACTGCAGCACAGTATTCTGGCATTGTTCATCATTCGCAAAGTTGATCATCCACCACACCGTTACAGTGTACTAGAAGATGTGCCAATAACTGGAGCGTTATTATGCCTCATGTTACCTCTATGTATCCACTCCTGCATGGGCCCGATTAGGACCTGCAGTATGTACAAATAAATAAATAAATAAAAAATAATAAATAAATTAAATAAATAAATAAATAAATAAATAAATGACTGGCTCTCACCACGGAAGAATTTTAATCTAGCTATGTGAATCTGGCACTTTGTTCAGGCTTCGTAACAAAACCGAAACTGCAGCACACGCAGTATTCTGGCAACATTGTTTGTTTACCATTTGAAATGCCGACCGTCCACTGCGCCCTGCCGATAACCGACTCTCGTCACTGAAGAACCTTGATCCAGCTGTTATCTGCTTACTGAAGAAGTGTTCGCGCCACAAAGTCTCGTAGCGGCAATCCGCCAAGAGCCATTTACAACGTCCTTGCCTGACGAGGAAGGACACGCCGTGAGAGAGACATAACCGGTTGCGCGGTGCATGTTTACCACGTTTCTGACGCGGCATTTCCGTCCGACTACTGTTTTGGTCAGAAGTATGTCGAAGGCAACGCGAGAAGTTATCACGTCGGAGCATGCTCCCAAAGCATTTGGACCGTATAGGTGAGTTTGTTTGAACGCCCAAATCCTTGTCGCCCGTGCAAGTCGCTTGTGGAGCCGTCTCGCACTAGAAAGGGTGCTTCGAAAGCGTTTATGTCGAATCGAGTCGCTGGAGTGGGCGTTGGTAGTTGAAGCGCCTTACGCAAAATATTTGGGTAGTACTGAGGGGTAATTCTAGACGCCTAAAGCACCACAGGAAGAAATAATCACAGAGAAAGAGCGTCTCTGCTCTTTTGGGTAGGTCTGTGCTTGTCGAGGTCTCGATGCCACGTTCAAGAGGTGAAACTGTTGCATTCCTGATATATTACAGAAATATCACTTGTTTGCAGCTATTTAGCGCCGTGCTAGGTCGTCAGTTATATCCTTTTATGCGCAGTTATAAGATTGTAGTAAACGGTAAAGAACTTGCCGCTTCTGTGAGTGGCTTGTCGTTCACGCATTAACCTTCTCCGAGTCTTAGCATTTACGACGTGGGACCGAGGTTGTTTGAGACGCTCAAATGCCACTTATAAACACGCCATTCATCGACATACTTTGAGCAGCACTCGCAGTTGCAGCTAGAGTGGGTTTATTTACAGATAATATTACATGTCAACCATGTCGCAAAGAAGGAGCTGTTGTCAGTGAACGCAACTACCATTTACTGAAGCTTAGGCAGTGACCTTACATTCTCTGAAAACGTTTCGTCATTTACCATTTACTGCCCATATTCGGAAGGTGCAACTTACAGTTGCGGTGATTGTGGCTATCGCTTCAGTTAAGGCTGTGTGAAAACAGTCGAGTAGCTGTCAACGAATGTTACCACCGTGGGCTAAAGCCTGGGTTACTACATCAATTTCTTCGAAAACTCTTTGTAATTTGTTAATTTCCTCCAAAACTCCGAAGGATCAACTCACAGTTTGCAGCTATAGTGGCTCTAGGCACAGCCAAGATTACATGCTAACAGCCTCGCACCATTGACACATCGAGGAAAGGGCTCTTGTCAGTGAACAAAAACTACCATTTGTTAAAGCCCGAGTTCTCCAAAGACTTTGTAATTCGTGAATTTTGCATGCAGAGGGTGTTTTTGGGGTGCTGTTGGAGTTATCTAAACCTGCATGTTATTTGCAGCCAAGCCATTCGTGTTGGGGATACCATGTATGTGTCTGGCCAGATCGGTGCGGACCCAAACACTAGCAAGCTGGTTCCGGGTGGAATTGCAGCCGAAACGAGGCAGGTGAGTCATGCTCTCATTTTTTTTTTTACCATTGAAAGGCTCCCCTTTTTCACGATACATGCAGCAAGTGTAATGGCTTCCTTGGGCGATTGCCAATACAGAACAACGTAACCACAAACGTAACCCAACCACCATAATTCGTGCAAAATTATTCAGAATGAAAGGAGAAAACACGAGGAAGCACGCGTTCAGAGGACCATGATTCTCTCCGCAAATCCCATTGAGCTTGCAAAACATGTCTTCTACACTTGTAGAAATTGTACAGTTAAGGCCAATAAGACTTCTTGAATTGACCTATGAGCAGTGTTGCCAGACGTTACCTGCTAACAAGTGAATGATCATCACACAACAAGCCCCTCCACCCCCCTCAATAAAGCAGTGTGACTTTCGCAAATCCGCAAAAAATCTAAAATGTAATAAATTTTCTTATTCTTTAAAATACTTGTTATTATTACACAAAATGCCACGTAAATAAAAAGAGTTGAACAAAATCACTTTAGTTATTTTGTACAGTACAATTACGCATAGCTTTAAACAAACACATATTTACTTTTTAATATTGTTGGCAGCGTAATCTACATTCAATTGTATGCACATTTGTTAGTTCATGACTAACATTACTGGTCGATTCTGCCAACATATGTTTGACCTCAACATTCAACTGCTCAATGTCATCGGCATACACGCTATTAGTGAACTCCAAAAATGGTAGTGCTGAACCGGATGATGGCTCAATTAACCTTACTTGCTGGGAAAGTGCTAATAAGCTCCAAAAAAATGCGACAGGCGACTGGAAAATTTCACAAGTGACTCGACCAAATAATAGAAGGCCAAATCTGCTTATTATAAGCAGAAATGACCACTCTGTTTATGTGGTAGTGCAAGTGAAATGATCAGATTCTGAAATAATCATGCTGGATCATCGGAGGTCACTGTCTAAAATTTCGGTCGTGTTAACCTGTCGCGATGCGTGCACTGTTTGCAGACTAGTTGTGTACAGACCATCAAAAAGAAATTAAGCTATAGCTATTTTCACATCTTTGCCATGACTGCTTTTACTGTGTATACTGTGCTTGTAACTAATATTGTCAGTGCAAAAGTTTCAGTTTCTCTTGAAACTCCACACCAAATTGTTGCATGTGGCAGAACATTATTTCATAGTTATTCTACAGTTTAATGTGTCTCAAGTTTACTTTTGCCTAGCAATTCTGTGCCTTTGCTGGAAACAGATTATGTGCTTGCAAGCAGTTGTCTGTAAACATCTTGTCACACGTTTTCAGGCCCTGACAAACTTGACCAAAGTGCTGGAGGCTGGCCGTATGTCTCTGAAGTGTGGTAAGCTGAGGCGGGAGTTCATTGTTGACAGGACCGCCTGAATAACGTATCTTGTCTCTTCCAGTTGCAAAGTGCACGGTGTACCTTGGGGACATGAATGACTTCCCGGAAATGAACAAGGTCTACTCTGAATGTTAGTACGCGTTTGCCCTGTTGTCGTTACACGTAGGCGTAAAATGAACATTGGTGTTCCCGCAGCACTTGCACAGTGGAGCCGCAACAGCAGCAAAATGTCTCACAAACACAGCGCTATCCATATCTTGGATATTTACCGTTAGAAGTGTTCTGTTTATTTTCATCATGTTCTTTTCTGATGCCTTTCAGCAGAATTTGAAGGACACAAAACACACAAGCCAGTGTTCTCTGTGGATAGCTTCATTGAAGTAAGAGCCACAAAGCAAAGCACTGTGAAACGCAACTGTAAGGAAGTTAGTTGTTGAGGAAAGCTCGTCCGGTCTCGTAACATGTCGCACTTAGCGCAAATTAGTCACTGACCAACCCAGAAAGAACAATTTCGATATTTCGTTACCCGTTCAGGTTCCTTGTTCATAATGATGTGCTTGTAGTGCTGTTGTCCAGTTATGTACAGAGTATATATATGACTTCATGATCATCCATAAAAGTGAAGTAGGCGTCTGTCTCTCCTGTTAGTAGTATCTGGTATTCTTGGTGTCAGTAGACATTCGAGTAACAATTTCGTCGGCTTCTTTAATTGCGATTTTAACATACTTTCAAGCCGTGCTGTTGGCATCTACACCACTGCAATCTTTGTAGCCTTCTCTTTGGCAACTTTTTTAAAAATTCGTTGTACAATATAAAAATTTTTGTTGTGACAGAACCTCCTTAACCTTTTGTTAAAGCTATTTTATTGTTGACATTCCAGTTAAACATCAGCACTGTGTATAAGGGATATAATCTTGCACCTTTTTTATTCCCCAGTTTTCACAGAAAAACAGCCAGCACGTGCTGCATTTCAAGTGGCCAAGCTTCCTCTGGTAAGGCTACTTTCCTCATACCAGTATTCATGCATACGTAGTGCAAAATCATGTACAGTATAAATTTTTATGAAAGGGAACGTGTGAGCGCGGGGCCTGCACTCTACTGTGGCTGCCTACAGCACCATCAGCCGACAGATAAAAAAGCGCATCTGCTTTTGGCGGCATAGCCCGTTGCGAGACCAGAACGGGAGCACAATGTAGCAGTGCTTCTCCTACGGTCATGACTTGTTGCTTCATTTGCTAACAGACTACGTGAAAAAGCGGATCTGTCGCTTGGTGGAGCTGTAGGCAGCCGCGATAGAGGGCAGGCGCGTGTTCCCTTTGATAAAAATTTACACTGTACAGTTATGTATGAAGCAGTCAAAGCGCCGACTGTACAAGTTGCTTGCGACAAAGACAGAATACACTTCAGTCATTCAGATAACCAACCTCTAATTATGTCGTGGCCGTCAACACAATGTGATGTTGACATCTAGGGGAGGTTGACGTCAAATATTTTAGCTACATTTGTTATCGCTCATTTTTGGAATTCTCGAGAATCATGTTATACTATTCCCTCTGCACTCGCATAGAAAATCGAAAGAAAAGGAGCATATGCTTTTTTCTCTGTTTGGATACCTGGTGAGAAAGAGCTGACAACAACTTTACTGATACAGGGCACACATAGAGCAGCTGCAATCTGATTTATTATGTTTTTGCTTCATAGTATTGCAGTGTTTATTGAAAGGTCCCATTCTATTAACTTTCATTTCTGTCTGAGTTTGTGCAGTCTCTGTTTTGCTTTGGTGCTTTGTTTGCCTCTCTGTGTGTTTCCTTTTTCTATATTTTAGTAAATGTCTCCTCCCTCTCTTTCTTTCTTTCTTTACCCTTTCTGCAGAATGCTGCTGTGGAGATCGAAGCTATTGCCGTGGACTGCCAATAAGGACATCTTCAAATACTGTACTTTCAAATGTGCCCAAAGTTGTCAACTGACACTGCCGTTCTTACAGACATATACGATTCTATTTTTTGAAGACGGAACTTTTTTGGGGGAGTCTAGTACAAAAAATGTGCTTTACAGAGCCGTACACACACTTTCGTTCATTGCAAAGTTTGGGAACAGCAACAATGTTGACACACATATGCTTTCGTTGCTGATGTTGTCTTTGCTGCCAAAGTGCAATAAATGTTGTATGTGTAATGTAGCTTCCCGTTGTAGTTTTATATACCCACAAACCTCATTATAACAGTCTTACGTGAAAATTTGTTATATCTGAAAATTGGCTATTAAGGTATATACCGTATTTACTCGCATAATAGGCGCACTTTTTTTTCAGAAAATCCGGCTCGAAGTTAGGGGTGCGCCAATTACACGGGGTAAAATTTTCGAAAATTTTTTCAACTCGGTTCTCGCGCTTTAAATCTGCACACTTGTCAAGTAAAAGGCGACTTTATCGTTTACCTATTAATTCAGCATAAAACAAACATACCTACGTACCTTTTAATGAACAAGCGAGAGCCGTCAACTGCACACACACACGTAAAATTTATTTACACAAAAGTCTTAGCTGTTCCTCCTTTTCCCTATTCATAGTCCGAGTCGGAGATCACACATTCATCCTCGCCGAGCGGAGATTCGTTTTCGGTGTCCGAATCATCCGCACCCCACAACATGTCATCCTCACTCGCATCCAGTGCGTTCGAGATACCCGTCTTCTTGAAGCTTTTCCTGACGACTTCGTCGGAGATCGCCTGCCACGCTTCCACGATCCAAGCGCACAGCATTTCCACAGGCGGCCTCTTAATCTTACCACCTGTAGTCAGCTGATGTTGTCCTCCAGCCATCCAGGTGGTGTACAGCCTTCGAACATTGTCCTTGAAAGGTTTATTCAAGGACACGTCCAAAGGCTGCAGTATTGATGTGAGGCCGCCCGGAATCACTGCCAGATCTGTGCGCAGCTCCTTTAGCTCATCTCGTACGCGGTCTACTAGGTGCCCACAAAAACTGTCCAGGACAAGCATGGACGGCAACAACAGACCACCCGGCCGCCGACCCCAGACTGTTTTCACCCAATCCACCATGAGTTCCGCGCTCATCCAGCCTTTTTCCTGGACTCTGACGTAGATGCCTTGAGGGAATTTTGCCTTTGGGAGCGTCTTACGTTTAAAAATAACGTAAGGCGGTAGCTTACGCCCATCCGCTGTCACCGCCAGCATTACAGTGCATCGTTGTTTATCAGCGCCAGACGTTCTGACGATGACGCTCCGTGCACCTTTCTCCTCCACTGTCGTGTTCCACGGCATATCAAAGCAAAGGGGGGTCTGATCAGCGTTGCCGATCTGGGACAAAATGAAGTCTTTCTGCTGTCGGAACTTTATAACAAAACTGTGGAAGTCCACCACTTTGTCCTCATATGCTGCGGGCAAGCGCTGGCACAAGGTGGTCCGCCTTCGCAGTGCGAGGCCGTGGCGCCGCATGAAACGAGTTGTCCATCCGGAGCTGGCTTTGAACTCTTTTGCTTCGATGCCCTGCGCTCGGGCTATTCTGCGCGCCTCAGTCTGCACAATATCCAACGACACAGCACAGCCGTCTTGTCGTAGCTCCCGTATATGCCGGACCATTTGCTCTTCGACGTTCGAATACCTGCCGGTCTTGGCACCACGGAAAGCCCGTCATGTTTTCTTCGTCGCCTTAAGTTTTTCTTCTTGGTCTCTCCAGTACCGAATACTGGTTTCTCCAACGCCGAAATGCCTGCTTGCAGCTTGGTTGCCGTGCTCCAGCGCGTACTGCACTGCCTTCAGTTTAAACCCAGCCGTGTAGCTCGCGTACTTCCCCATGGTGGAACCAAAGTTCAATACACGACCACAACATACGCACACCGCTTGCAAAATGGCGTTTCTTTCTTTTTCTCTGATGGTGGTGATGGCGATCGAGCCCCCGGCGTTGTACACGTGACCTCCAAAAAGCGCGGCGATTTGGGGGGTATCAGTAATTGATGGAACAGCCGTTTTTTTTTTCGCTCATGGACGCTTTTTTTTTTTTCAAGTTTTATTTCGACAAACACGTTGGTTAGGTCGTTGCACTTCGAATTTTTTTTATTTGCTCGTCGATTTGCCTTCTTTTTTTCTTCAAGGTACGGGGACCGCGTTCCAACTGTACTGCTGGGGGGTAGAATCGTTTCTGATCACGGCCAAGTTCGGGGTGCGCCTATTATGCGCGGAATTAAAAAAATCGAATTTTCCGCGACCAAACTAGGGGTGCGCCTATTATGCGAGTGCGCCGATTATGCGAGTAAATACGGTACTTAATGCTGTATCTACTGCAAGAACATTCTTCATTTATTTTGTTATATATAACCGATATTTCGTTACATCCGGGTTTGTTATATTGAGGTTTGAGCATACTTGGTACAAGTACGGCTCCTGGTGCCAATATTCTATACCACGCTTCTTTTATGTTTGTGTGTGAGTGTTTGGTAGGAGCCGTTATTATATTTACGACAAGAAAGGTGCATCACGGTAATTGCACTGCAAGTGTACATAGGAAGAAAAATGGGTTTAGCGATTCGCGCAAAGTGCCAAAATGTATCTTCTGCAAGTGTGACCAAGTTGCAATGCACTTGCCATAACGTGACTAATGGCTCGTCAGTGCCCAGCTATGGTTGCTTTGATAAATCAGATATTTGACTTTGCTTCTTTATTTCGAAGGTTATTTAGAATCTTTGTATTGAACAAAAAAGGTGTAGTACGACGTGGTGGAAGCTAGATTTTAATTTTTGTGACTACTCACTATTTTGAAGACGTACCTTTCTATGGAGGAAGAGGAAAGAACTTTATTCTACCTTTCTATGAGCACTTTTTATTGTATGTTACAGTGTAGTCCACACCGAATTCATGTTAATTTTAGTAAAAGTTGATCACATCAATATTTCTAAACTGCCTGCATTTAGCTCTTCATGTATCCAACTTTATATCTAGTCGAGTAAGGTTACTTAATCTCTTCTGAGATCATATACAGATAGACCAAGGAGGAGGGATACCTACATACATACAAAGTGCACACACACAGAGATGTCTATGACCTTTCTGTGCTTAAAGTCCTCATATTTTTCCTTACACAGGAAGCCTGCGTTGAGATAGAGGCCATTGCAGTTGACGCAGAGCCGTCGATACCTGGAAGATCTGTTGCCAAACTGTAGGCACTAAAGACTGTTTATCAATTCTTAAAGGAAAGGTAAAAGAAAAGAACAAACTCTTTTAGCATGTGGTTGTTGATTCAACCTGTCTGACACTGTAACACAAAAAAACTAGATGCTCTGGCTGACTAACCCTCTGGTGGTCTTCTGAAAGTCTTCCTGTGTGTATTAGAAGAAAAAAATAAGTTGCTTGCAATTTAACTTGAATAGCCCTTAGCCATCTTACTTCAAAAGGAAAGCAATGCCACCTTCGAACTCGTAATTGCTGCATTCATTATTTTTTGAAGCAGCACCAGACAGAGGGATGCAAAACAAGGAGTCCACAGGTCGGCGAACTCTCTCACGAGTCGACTCACTCAAGACTCGGACCGAGCTGTGGGTCTGAGTCGGGTGAATAACATTTTCGTGAGCCCGAGTGAGTCTAGTTGAAGAAAATTTTCGCGAGTGGGAGTTCGAGTGAGTTTGGCTCGGAAAACTTTTGGCGAGTCCAAAGTGCAACGTGTATTTTTTGAGCGAGTTTTTTTTTTTTTTTGGTGACCTAAGGTCATATGTAGGCATAACGATTGGCCTTACCTGGATTCGAGTCTATTCACAGGTATTCCAAAGCAGAGCCGCTCATACACCATTTCAATATTTATTATTAATGATTCGAGGTGTGAATTACGTTGGAAGTTGCCTTGACCCCCCCACCCATAAACTCTTCCAGGGAAGTTATTGATAGTTATTATATGCTCTCAACTCTTCCAAGAAAAACTGACCTTACTGATTTGCCAGCACACAGAACTCATTTTCCGAAGATACCATGTCGAACAGCGCCAAGAGGAGCATCGATTACGTGTGACATTGGTGTTAAAGAGCATTGACACCATCGTCGAATAAGCTACTTCTAGGCTAAAGGGCTTATGAGCTTACTCAGTTGGACTCACTCAAACTCGGATCAATCCGTGAGTCTGAGTCCGGGTGAGTAATGTTTTGGTGGGTACGAGTCAGAGCGAGTCCGGTTGAGGGAAATTTTCGGGAGCGCGAGTACGGCTCGGGGAAGTTTTCACGAGTCTGTGTCCGAGCGAGTCCAAAGCTCGAAATATATTTCACAAGTGAGTCCGAGTGAACTCCACAAGTTTTGTCTGCCCACGAAATGCAGACGCAAAGGATGCAAACAAGTGCTGTACTGCAACTGACGTACACGTGCGCTGACGGCAGTGACAACGATGAAGACTACAAAAACAAAAAATAAAATAAACAATGGCTCGCCAACTTGTTCATCAGTATGCATTCGTTACTTCATGAAAGCCAAAGCTTCAAAACTGTGTGCTATAAGCTCGGAAATCGGAATGGGCGAGACCAAAGCAAACCTCGTCATTCTTTTCGCAAGTTTAACAACTCAGAAGCGCGAGCTTAAGTCGGGATATCCCGGTGAAAACAGGCGTGTACACGTCGCCAGAAAGATCCAGTCTCCTTTTATGAAGGGTGACCAGTGGACGGTTGTGCAGCGCCAGCAGTCGCTTTCAGGGGCGAAGCTCTTCTTGGTCTAACCTTGTCCTGCATCAGGCGTAACCGGCAGTATCGAACAGACAGACGAATGCGTGAATGGAAGAACGGACGGAAGCACGGACGGATGAACGAAAAGATTGATGCACAGACAGACGGATGCTTCGCCCCACTCATCATTTCCTCTGAGGATGTGCTGCAATTTTTTTCCTAATAAAAATGTCGCCCGCAGACGCTGCATGCGTGGGCGTTAGGAGGAGAGAGAGGGGGGAGCGAGTGCAAGCAAGTGGTAGGAGAGAAGTGGCGAGAGTAACGCGCAGCTGTTGGACAAGGGAAAGGAGGAGAGTTACGCATGCGCAATGTCAGCGTGGACGCCGACGACAACGCGGGAAATGCCGCCGCCATCACCTAAAAGAACAGAAATGTGCCCCGGCAAGTCCGATTTCGCTGCGTCTACTCGCTAGGCTCTGCGTTTCTGGCGGCGCTACACCGTTGGTCAGATCCCGTTAATCGTATTGCCGGGTGCCTATGCTAATACATGCTTTTCTCCACGGGAAACGGGAAAAAAAAAAGTACAAGGCCTCGTGCATCCAGCAGCTCTCTTTTATTGACTCACAGGGGCGGCATGTCTCCTTCCTCGGGAATGACCTCCAGCTTCTTCGCCAGCTCGGCGGCAATCCCAGGCCCGGCGTGAAGGGTGGCGTGCACGAAGACGACGGCCGTGGTGGCTTCGAGGGACCACGTGACCGCGGTCCACATGTCCGCGTAGTAGAAGAGTGGCAGCGCGACCGCCGCAGCCACCACCAGCCTTTGGGTCTTGCCGCCGAACATGGCGGTTTCTGTGCCCCAGAAGGTCGCGTTGTCCCCTTCCTCGTGCAGTTTGAGAGCGGCGCAGACCAGGGCCACTGCAGCGACGGCCAGCACCGTCATCCACTCGTCGGTGACCGTGAACGCCAGGATGATGAGCAGCACGACAATGTAATTGCCGCGAAACGCGTCCAAGTTCGACGGCAGACGGCTGGCAAACTCCCCGAACGACCTCGGAAACGACACTTTCCAGGGGTTCAGGAAGACCTCCCAAGGCTGGGCGCGCTCGATCTGCTCCCAGCACCAGGAGGTCGTGGAGCGGACCAGGTCCGACTCTTCCCGAGCGGCGGCCGGGAAGAAGCGCCTCCGTTGAGGCATTGGCGTGGGAAATCGAGGGGCGACGGCTGTGGCATCGTCCGAAGGTGTTGGTTCCGGTAGCTTCGGCTCCGGAAGCTTCGGGGTGGCGCTGTCGAAGGAATCTCCGACGTCGCCTTGCTCGCGGTCCATGGCTTCACACTCGGGTGTTGATCGCGACGCCCTGCTGCAGCGGGTGGAGGCCGGATGGAAAATGCTGACGTGGGCCTAGTGGTGGGTGGCAAGGCGCCGGTCTCGTGAAGCCTAAGACCAACGAACGCGCTCTGAATGCGCGCGCTTAAGTTCACTTCGTTTCCCTCGTCGTCGGTGACGGGTGTTCATAATGAAGATACATCTTTTAAAAAATAGCGCCAAGGAGGTCTTCGACCAAAAAAACAGGCAGATGCTTCAAATGGAAGCTCTCGCATAGCCTTACCAGATAAAATACGGTGCACTAGAATACTGCTAGTACACTATGCACTAAAGTAAACGCAGCGCCTGCCGGCCATTCGCTTCGGAAACAGGCTTTCTTTGGGCGATGCCAGCTCAAATCTAACGTTGCTCCACTCTGTTAATGTAGAGTCTTGGCTTATTATAAAATTAGAGATTACTGTTCCCGATGAAGGTAACGCACCGAGTTGAGTATTGACGACTTAATCTCCAATGACATTTTGCAATATCGTGAGGTTTCTCGAGTCAAGAAGTGGTTCGCATCCCGGCTGCGGCGGCTGCATTTCCGATGGAGGCGGAAATGTTGTAGGCCCGTGTGCTCAGATTTGGGTGCACGTTAAAGAACCCCAGGTGGTCGAAATTTCCGGAGCCCTCCACTACGGCGTCTCTCATAATCATATAGTGGTTTTGGGACGTTAAACCCTACATATCAATCAATCAATCGAGTCAAGAAGTGACACGAAGACACATATTGAACTGTGTATACGTAAAGAAAAAAGCCATATTCAAGTTTTAGGGCGTGTTATATCCTTGTACGTTTTTATACTGCCCCTGCTAAGATGGTGTCCGTGGTCGCCTTTTGAGGGTTGGTGTGCCATGGAGCCACTATTTACCCCAGAAGCTCATTTTAATGCTACTTGAACGGCATGAATCCTGTGAAGAGACATGCCACTAAAGGGGGGGGGGGCATTACAGAGAGAGAGAGAGAGAGAGAAGAGGAAAGCCAGGAGGTTAACCAGATATTGACATCCGGTTTTCTACCCAGCACTGGGAGTGTGGAAACAGGGGCAAGAAAGAGGGTGTAGAGAGAGAGAGAAAAAAGAAGAGAATAAAAAGAAACGCACCTGCACTTAGGAGAGAGCCTAAGAAGTCATTATGATATTACTTAATACACGAGGAAATCGCAAATACGTAAACGAAGAATGGTCATCGTCATAAGCCTATTTTGTGTCCATCGTTGGACGAAGACCTTAGCCCTGCAGTGGACATAAAACATTTACCCTGTCTTTTGCAAGCTAATTCCGTTTCATGGCAGCTAAGTTCTTTGTTTTGTCACGCCAGCTAAGCTGCTCTCGTCGTGAGCTGAATTTCTCGTCCCTTATAGTACTGTTTCATTTCTCCGGCTCTACGTGGCCGCTGGTTGTCCGTCCAAGGCAATACGTGGTACATATAGTCACTTCAATCGTTGGACACGTGAGTTACACGTCATGCAAACCGTTCGATCATTGGACGTATGAAATAAAACGCCACGCTACACGAAAGTGCACTACTCAAAAAAAAAGGGCATGTTTGGCTCTTTTCGGGAAGTCCTGTCTTGGTACGTACATGACCCCCTTTAAAAAGACACGAATGCTCTCTTTTGGGCCCATGGAGTCTTCCACGTGAGTACAATGATCTGTAAAGGGAGTCCACGCGTCTCTTTCAAGAAAGCATGACGTGTGCGTCGCGGCTAGAACTCGCAAAATCTATCTATATCTATCTATCTATCTATCTATCTATCTATCTATCTATCTATCTATCTATCTATCTATCTATCTATCTATCTATCTATCTATCTATCTATCTATCTATCTATCTATCTATCTATCTATCTATCTATCTATCTATCTATCTATCTATCTATCTATCTATCTATCTATCTATCTATCTATCTATCTATCTATCTATCTATCTATCTATCTATCTATCTATCTATCTATCTATCTATTATCTATCTACTATCTATCTATCTATCTATCTATCTATCTATCTATCTATCTATCTATCTATCTATCCGCCTACGTCTGGTTGCTCTCATGATCACCCCCTTAACTTGGGGTACACCAAAATTAGTACATACCCGGGGGCACACACGACGCGGTAGCCATGCTATGAATAATGTCACGATCTCGTCGCGTACATCGTCAAGCAGCCCCGCCACGGTGGTCTAGTGGCTAAGGTACTCGGCTGCTGACCCGCACGTCGCGGGTTCAAATCCCGGCTGCGGCGGCTGCATTTCCGATGGAGGCGGAAATGTTGTAGGCCCGTGTGCTCAGATTTGGGTGCACGTTAAAGAACCCCAGGTGGTCGAAATTTCCGGAGCCCTCCACTACGGCGTCTCTTATAATCATATGGTGGTTTTGGGACGTTAAACCCCACGTATCAATCATATCAATCAATACATCGTCAAGCACTTTTCATAAAACAGTGGGGGGGGGGGGGGTATGTGCTACTGTTTTATTAACATTGCTTGACGATGACGACGAGATTGTGACATTATTCATATCATGGTCAGCGTGTCGTGTTCTTCAAACCATCTACCGTGGCACATACCCCGGGTGGTGTGAACACTCATGCGTAATTTTAACACCTGAGCGTTAAGAAAAATCTGACTTAAGCAGCGGTCACCGGACGAACGCAAAGAATAGATGTGAGTATCCTTGCAGGAATCGAAACCCCATAGCATTTCAAGTGGCAATCAAGTATTCTACCACAGAACCATGCATGCCAGGTCTCGGAAATACTTGGCAAACAGACCCCCGATGTTCGTGAAGTGTCAATTCTGGTTACAGTACTAACTGTCAAATTTTATAAACATTGCATATACATTCCCATGATACAGACGTCACTTCGGGTTACCGTCAGTTGTAGTTAGGTGCCATCCGCTGAGGTTGATTTGCGTAGCAGTGTTGAGGGCTGCCACCCTCGCGAGCCCCAGTGCAAACACCGGCGCTTCATATCGGCTTACCGCTTCTGGTGTTGCTAACATTCATGTTGCTGTTGGCATCGTTTCGCAAATGCAAACAACTGGTACCATAGAACGTATGTGGCGGTCTAACGTATGTGTGTGCACGGACTTGTACATATATTTAGCGCCCACTTCGTAACGTCTTGCTCGATAAAAAATTAAAACATATTCACCTTGCATCCGCATGCTTTGCATAACATCGATTCCCAAGGCACGTGGCATCTACCGATTTTTTTGTTTGTTACAGTACGATCGTTCCGGAATGCGGCTGTGTGTTGTCGTCAGCGCCCTCTCAGTATCTTTATGCAACCGTCTTCGGCATAGCGTACAGATAGTGTTATATATACCGGTCAAAGTGCGAAACGCTTTATACAGCGTGCATGCGCCTATAGGACTTACACAAACGCTTATACCTTAAAACCAGCTCACCCATCTATCGACAACTTTAATTAACTTGCTCTTTCCTTCTTTGCTTTTTACGTCGTTAAATGCCATTTCACGAGTCCCATCAAAAGTCAAACGGTGATGGATGGGGGGGGGGGGGGGGGCTCCTGTTTTTTTCGAGCAGAGCTTGGTCACGATTCGTTTAGCGCGCCACCGTATAACTGCGCTAAATCAGCGAATTAAAGGCTGCTCACGTTTCGCCTACAGCAGCGGGTAAAACAAATCGTCGATTACTTAGACGTAACGTCAATTCAAACGATAACAATTATTCCCACTCCCATCATTCGGGTCGTACCACGCAAGTGCTTCATTATAGGAGCCCAAGAGAAGTGACCGAAATTGGAGTGTTCTTTTTTGAGACTCCGAAACAGGTGACCGGTCTTGTGGTTCACCCTTTAACCATACAGTTATAATCTTTCGTGTCAGTCACTCGAGGGTGGGGGTCTATTTCGATGGGAAAAAATAATATTTTACTAATGAGCTGTTTATTTTTTTTGTTTCATATCACACTGCTAATTTCACCCATAAGTATGCCAGGCTGTGGGCTGTGAGCTGTCATTAAATCATCTCTTCCTTACATTCATCAGCCGTTTATGTATACACCGATACGAACATATCCTGCCTGGGTGGTCTCGCTAGTTTAAAGGCAGCAGTTCGTTAGACGTGTAACTGCACGGTTTGAGAGGAATTTATACCCTTGTCACGGCAGCGCATATGTTAGACTACGCGAAACTCGATGTAGCATAAATTTTCGAGGCTTATCTCTACTGGCCATGTGCCCGAGGGTTTCTCTCCCGCAATTTAATCTCGGTGCTATAACATTATGTAGCCGCAGTGTTACAATGTAGGCTTAATTACATTTAACTCATTCAAGAAGGCATTCTTGTACACGAGGCTATAGATGCCTGGAATGGTTTGCGTACGAGCTGAACGAAAGAAGCGGAATGGTTGAGGGGCTCGTTTTAACAACGTCCGGGATCAGTGGTAACGCTAGTGGGAATTAAAGACAGGTATGCTTTACAGACACACCTTGGCTAAATAACACCACTCACCGCTAGACCACTTAAAATTTTGCGCCCAGTCGTCTAGCCCAGCACTGCAATTAGTTATCAGCCAATTTTTCAACAGTGTAAAGTTTGGGAAAAATATAAAGATCAAAGAGCACGAAAGCTTAGCCTATCACGTCATACACAAACACACGGAAACACCTCGATACCTTGGTGCCTTCGTTTTCGTGCCTTCTTACTTGAGGTCGTTGCGGCGCATTTGCAGTTGTTAGTCGGCGTCCGTGGTGCCTTGATTTTTTTTCTTGCGTTTGTGTTGTACGCCCTGTTTTTTATAACACGCCAGTGTGCCTTTTGTTTCCGTGCACAGCTGTACGATCGCATGTTCGTTGAAAACGTGATAGCCATGCGTTGCTAACGCTTGTATACCGTGACGGCTTCCTTTCTATCTCTGCGCAGATACTGCGCTGATCGGGATACTGCACTGAACTTTTTGTGCGTAATTCACCTCTCCGCAACAGACACTGATTGTTATTACGGTGCCGCGTCAGTCGTTTTCATTTTTTAAAGGCATTCCGTCTCAATCACTGTTTGCTTACCTCATAATTGTGGTGCTATTTGCGTCCCGCCGCGGTGGCCCAGTGGCTAAGGTACTCGGCTGCTGACCCGCAGGTCGCGGGTTCGAATCACGGCTGCGGCGGCTGCATTTACGATGGAGGCGGAAATGTTGTAGGCCCGTGTGCTCAGACTTGGGTGCATGCACGCAGTAAAGAACCCCAGGTGGTCGAAATCTCCGGAGCCCTCCACTACGGCGTCTCTCATAATCATGTGGCGGTTTTGGGACGTTCAACCCCACATATCTATCAATCATGGTGCTATTTGCGACACAACAATACACCAGATCACGCGAGGAACGTGCGTATTTAGAAAGTTCCCGCGCTTCGGAGACCATTAACTTTTACAAGGTGTGTGCGCTGAAATCTTCGAGGGGTTGCAGGAAGTCCCGAACGCCCCGTGTGGGCGCTGCTCTCACCGTCGTATCAGCAGGTAAAAAAAAAAAAATCTCGTCATTCTCAGCAATGCGTTTTTACGATGCGCTAATCTTAAAACACTCCCCGGTGTGGTGGCTCGAAACTGTTATCGTCTTCCTCTCGCACTTCCAAGATTAGTTTCCTCGGAAGACGTGACTTCTGCACGGATCACTTCTTGGACTGCCCGTTGGCCCTCGAAGCACGGAGACTCGCGGCCATGCCCGAAGCGAAAACGGTCATCAACACACCTACCGCCCCGGCGGCCATAGGCCCGTACAGGTAAAGGACGATATAAAGGCAGTGCTAATTAATTAGTCACTTCTGGGGTATTGCGTCCCGAAGTAACGCCATGATTTAGACATGTCGTGCCCGAGGGCTCCGAAAAGCTTCGATCCTCAGGTGTTGTTCTTTGAACGTGCACTAACGTCGTACAGTGTACATGGACCTGTAGCGTTTCGCCTCCCCCTAAATGTAACCGTATACGCCGGAATCGAAACCACGACGTTCGTATAAGAGGGCGAACACCGTAAGTAGAACATTGGACCTATAACCGCTGAATCACTCTGGCGAACTCGGGGGCAGCGCGGCATCTGCCGACAGAGCCGGCTTTCCAGAGCATTTTCTTGGTTCGGTTGTTTTGTGTGGCGTGTAGAATAAATGAAGCGAAAGTTCCTTTTTTTTTTTTGAAAAGATGGGTGGTTTGGTGGGGGTATAGATTATTTTGCGGATCGGTTTCGGTGCCGGCATATTGGATATGTTGCCGCGGAGGGCGTAGACATATACCTACGCGAAGACGGTCGGGGTGGGGCATTCGATGTTTGCTAACCTTCATCAATTTACGTTACGATATAAGAAATAGAAAATATTAAAAAAAACCGCTGAAGAGCGGATGTTATAATAGAGAATATGATATAGAAAAGTTTGCATATTTGCCATCTGGTGCACAAATTATGACCCAAAATAGGGGAGTCGTAGGAGTCTTACGTATAGAGTGTTTAGAACCGACTAAGCTCGGAAGCAAAGAGTTCAGCTTTCCGATGAGGCAATGCAAAGGACATCCGTTTGCTCAAATTTAGAAGAACTCCAGATGGCAGATATCGGTCCGGAGTTGCTCCCCGATACGAGTTCTATAGGCGTGATCGTTTCGTGGTCTTGGCAAGTAAAACTACAGGAATTATCATTGTTAGCCTTTGGAACACCACGAGAACTATGGAAAGTCTATATGGTAGAAACGTGAAGTAATTTGACCGTGTATTTTCGACGGCTATAATAATACTTGGAGTTTAACGTGTACAAACGATGCATGCCATAGCGGAGGGCTAGTGGCGTGACCAGGGGGTGGCGCACCGACCGCCCCCCTTCCCCTTATTTATTTTATTATTTTTCGTGCCGTTGAATACAGGGCACTAAATGACACTCGATCACATTCTGCTTGTCCGGCCCCAGTTCAGATCAAGCAGGTGCCCCCCCCCCCCCACCTTCAACCCTCCCCCACCCAGCGCTCTTTACTGTCCATTTTGTCTCTTCGTACCGTTGTCGCGCTGTTACTATTATACAACCACGATGAACCGACTCGCCCAAATTAAACTCCTGTACCCCCCAACCTCTTCTGCATTTTTTTTTTTTTGCCTACGCCTCTACGAAGGGCTCCGTAAGTTTTGACCATCCGGTATTCTTAAGTGAGGCTTACAGCACACAGTACATGGCCCTCTAGTATTTCATTCATTTCCATCTAAATGTGAGCGCCGTGGCGGGGATCGAATCCACGACCTTTGGAACAGCAGCGGGACACCATGGCCACTTCGCCACCGAGGCGGGCTTTCGTGACTAAGGCTGCAGCAACTCTGGAGAAGTAATATTTTTGTTTTCGTTTCTTTTTTTTTCTTTCAGCCATGCTGTTCGTGTGGGCAACACCGTGTACGTGTCCGGTCAGGTGGGCTCGCACCCAGGGACCAATAAGTTCGAGTCCGGCGTCGCCGCACAGACGAGACAGGTATACCGGCATTCGTGAATGCATCTCGAAGTGACTATCATGGCGCTAACTGGTGCTTCTAATCTCTGTTTATTCGACAAACAGACCCTGATCAACATCGGAAACATACTCAAGGCAAGCGGGATGAGCCTCGATAACGGTAATCGTCATTTTACGCTCATTCGCGGAACGCGTTGTAAGCGCGATCTTCGCCAAGGGAGTCGCTTCTGCTTTAAAAGCCGCCGCTGAAAATACAAAATGCACGCGCGTAAACGCACCTTCGCCAAGGGACGCAGTACACTGTCGTTCTTTATGAAAGGGAACACGCGAACGCGTGGCCGGCACTCTGCGGCGGCTGCCTACGGCACCATCAACCGACAAGCGAAGAAAGCACGTTCGCTTTTCGCGTCATCTATGGCCAAGCAAGATAACTAGTTACGGCCGGTAGACAAGCGGTGCTAGATTACGTTCCCTGATCGATAGCGTGGCGAGCGATATCGGGTGATTACTGCAGCTTGCGCCGTGGTCGCGAACAACGTTTGATATGCTGGCAGTGGACTACGCACTGTAGGCGTGAGCAGAGAGAGAGAGAGAGAGAGAGCAATTTATAGCAGTGCTTGTCAACCCGCCATAACTCGTTATTTTTTTTGCAACAGATGGCGCTGAAAGCAAACGTATTTCCTTTTGCTGTGAGTTAGTGGTGGTGTAGGCAGCCGCCGCAAAGCACAGGCCACGCGTTCGCCTGTTCCCTTTCATAAAGGATGACAGTGTACCGGTGCTTTATGAAGAAATGAAAGGTGGGGGGAGGTATGTGTGGGAAGGATAGTGCAGGGGAGAAATGAACCATGTTCTTGTCTCATAACTAGAAGAGGTTTTGGGGTACTTTAAAATTGATACTAACATATGCAATTGTAAGTTAGTTTAGAGTCGTAAATTGTGCCCAGAAAACAACTGTCGTAAATAGTTTATCAAGAGGTTTATTAGTACCATAAGAGTGGTATATGTTTATTAATAGATTAGTAAATCAATCTTGAACGTCTCGTTTACATTTCCTGTTGAAGCCTCCGATGTGAATATCGCGGCTTCCAAAGTGCTTTTCGTATTTTTTGCCCATTGGCTAAAAAAGAACAAAAAACATAAACTTGGTGTGGTATGTATTTAGCCCCAGCAGAAGAGAAGGTGATTACTTGCCGAATTGGGGGTTCTAGTCGATACCGTGAAAATCTGATGTCATGGTGACTGGCACGGGAACTTGCAGGTGGCGCCGCCCAGGGTTTCGTAACCACCAGAAAATTTTTGATGATATGTGGGGTTTAACGTCCCAAAACCACTATATGATTATGAGAGACGCCGTAGTGGAGGGCTCCGGAAATTTAGACCACCTGGGGTTCTTTAACGTGTGCCCAAATCTGAGCACACGGGCCTACAACATTTCCGCCTCCATCGGAAATGCAGCCGCCGCAGCCAGGAGAAATTTTTTTTTTTATCTGGGGGTGTTTAAATGTATAGCGGCTAATTTTGACAAGTGGTAGTCGACGTCAAGGTGTGTAAAGACTTTGGCATCGCTCGAAAACTTAGAGTATGAAAAACAAATTTGGAAGAAATCTGAGCACACGGGCCTACAGCATTTTCGCCTTCATCGAAATTGCAGTCGCCGCAGCCGGGATTCGAATCCCGCGACCTGTCACTCGTAAAAGTCAAATCTCATATGTTGAACTGCAATATCTGGAAGCAAACTGCAGTGCCCCACCCTGTTTCCGACGTCTCTCTTATCAGCGCCATGATGGTCTGACAAGCGCGCTACATTGTAAAGCAGATAAGGAGTAGGAGAGAAAACTATGTTTTTTTTTTCTAGATATGAAGGTTATACACGGAGAGACTGGGATTATAAGCTTGAGCTCTGTAACAACGTGCTTGAAGACATGCTCTTAAAACATTTTTTCATTCTTAAACGTTGCTTTCGACTGAATGGAGTTGCTTGTGTTGATGTTGTTCCTAAATAAACAATGTGTCGTGTTGTCCCGCGCAATATAATCACGTGATAACGCCCCCCCCCCCCTTTTTTTTAATGTTCTCAATGCAGTCGTGAAGTGTACGGTCTACTTGGCGTCTATGGACGATTTCAAGGACATGAACAAAGTGTACGCTGAATGTAAGTAACAGAAGAAACGTGTAGTACTGTAGAACTGTGCCATGTGACTATTTTTTCTTTTTTTAACGATGCACTTTGTGAAGTGCTTCTATTTGAGAGCAGTAGCCGTAGGGAAAAAAAATCTTTTTACCCATGTGGTTTCTTTTCTGGGCTACAGCAAAATGAACATCTGCTAATCCGTACGTGAATTTCTTGGCCACAGAATTAAATAATTCAGTGCTAATTAATTTTCAATCTAAATTTTGCACTTCAGCCTTTCTTTGACTAGCCGAATGCATGCCACTGTAATGGTCTGTAATTATTATATTGGTACATAAAATAGTCATCTCATAATATTTGATATCCCCAGTGAATCGATTATTTTTTCTTTTAAATGTCTTTTGTCTCTAGTTTAATCTTTATCCTTATATTAACCACCGGCTTAATGGCCAACCCACCTAAGTGGGCCAGAGCCATATCACAAGGATCAAGCAAATAGGCAAGCGCAACAGAGTGCTCATCTAAGAGAAGGAGAACAACAACAAGTTTGTGCTGCTTAGATCTCAGGCAGTAAGGAACGCCACGTGCTTTATTGAAGCGAAGCAGTACATGTAAAATGTCCAGGTTTTAGAGGATCGCGTACGCGGACAGGACGCGCATAGAACAGCGATTTTCGGTGCACATGTACCTCGCCAGCATCGTTCAGAAGTGTTGCGATACTCGGCGGGGGCACATCCGACCAACCGTCGTGCCCCTCTGTTCTCGTGACGTATAAGATCGCGCTAGCGTTTTTATCAGCAGCCCGGCCCTTTGAACTCGCTATGGGACGGACCCGAGTCGTTCGCTCGGAGGAACAAGAACAAAGTGAAAAGGAGTCTTTTTTTTTTTTTTTTTCGCGATGCCACGGTGCGTGGGCTCTTCCCCTAGCGGAAAAGTCTCGAAACGTCTCTTCATCTTGGAGGCTTTGCATCTGACAATACCGCTTGTCCCGGCTCCTGCGAAACTCCTTCCACATTACTCGCGAACACGCGTAAGTGTTTGTCAATATGGTTGATTGGGCGAGTTGGTGATACATTTCAAACGCGCAAGGACACCACAGAAAGAGACGGAGCAAATGCTAGACCACCGTCTCGGTGGTATCCTTGTTCGTGTTTGCTAGTAGTATGGGCGCATTCAGCCAATATACCAACTAGGCCAGTTAGCCGGACTCAGCTGGGCCGTGTACCTATATCATAGAGAGAGAGAGATAAATAGAGAGGAAAGGCAGGGAGGTTATATCATAGAGTTTCTTAACATACACTAGAGGGAACTCTGGCGCTAGTGTTTATGGGAGCTGCAACACACGGCGCTTCTGAGCGAGCATGGGAATGATGGGTAGTACACACATTTGTCTAATTTTCGTACTTCTGGCCTGCTTCTGGCTCCGTGTGTGTTCGTGTGGCTTGGGGCTGTTTTTTTTTTTCACGAAAACATAAATTAGCAAATGCTCAACGTTTGCACTTCACAACCTTATTCTTTTAGGCTTACCATTTCTAATCAAGTCACTAAGTTCAAAAGGGTTCGTTCTTTCTTTCAAAAAAAACCGTAACCAGCAATAAACGAAGGCGCAAGTACGATTCGCCGCCCGCAAGTACGAACACTAGGAAAATGTGTGTACTACCCATCATTCCCATGGTCACTGAACGATCGCAGCGCCAGAGTGCCCTCTAGTTAATTTTGGGAAACTCTATGACCTATAGGAGGCGGTTGGCAGACGCAAACTTCAAGGAGCCCAGACGCAAATTTTAAAGGCGAAGTGATGAGTGAGGTGGATTTTTGTCGAGACGTACACATGTGCGAGATATCAAGGGCTAATAGAGCTTAGAAAATATTTCGTGTAGTTGACTTCACAGTTTTGCATGGTCAAGTGGCCAGCTGTGTTTACCTTGCCCCCGTAACTGCTCCTGCCTAGCTCGGTGCTCTTTGGAACTGAAACCGAGGCGGGTGCCCTGAAATCCTCTCTAAACAAATAACCGTTACGCGTTCGCGCAAACGAGGTTTCCGTCCCTGATAAGCGGATCAAAATGTAGTAGTACAAAAATACTAATAAAAAATACTAATAATAATAATAAAAGGTGCACAATTTCTGTGTCAGTGCGCCTTTAAATTGCAGGGGCTATACCTCCTCTGTGTCCCCTATACTGTCGCCGTCCCTAACTGTATGTTTTTGCCTGTTAGTTCAGTCACTTGTTTTTGCAGAAAACAGATATATAAGCCTGCAGTACGCTTTAAAGGGACTTCAAAGTCAAATAGCGCTTTATGTCAGAGTGAAAGCTTGGTATGATAACGTCTAAAACGACGATATTATATCAACAGCAGTGCCATACTTAGTGAGAAATTAATATAAATACACGAGAACAGATGCGCCACGAGTAGGACATTCGCAAAATGATCCCGATGGCGTCAGACTTAGCACCTATAATTATTCACTAGTAATCGAACTAGCTGTACTAAATAAAGAACCATCCGTGCATCAAGAAACGTAATAAAATGCTGCTTGTTCGTTTCTGTTTGATTCATAAAAAAAGAAGAACCGCTGGACGTTACTGCGGGGAATGGCACGAATGGTTCAAAAGTTCAATTTTCGCCTGGTTAACTGGACAGGTCGTGCCATCTAGCGGGTCCCAGTTGAACTAAGTCCGTCTGCCATCTCGGAGGCCATGGCGAAAAATTGCTCAATGACCGTTGTTGCTGCTGTGCTGCTACCTTCGTTCTGCTGCGCACTATAGTGTCGGCGGCCGCACTGTGAAGCCGGGCAACGTTGTGTACGGCAACAGTGACGTGATATGTTATAATTGAGGCGGGTAATTCGAAGTGTGCTATTGTGATGTGTACCACTCAAACGTGATTTTATTTGAAAATAAGCACTTACAAGGGTCCAAAGTAGCACTGCGAGGTTTCTGGTCTGCTATTTGAGCAATCTACATAAACTCGATATTTGGCTTTAGTGCCCGTTTAATTAAGACGAGCCTATGCATACGCGTCGTCATGCTGGTAAATGCGGAATTTTTTCGCGGCTCTCCCGACAATTCCTTCCCCTCTTAATCTTGCTGAAAGCCGGTTTCTCCCGTTAAATGTAAACTTAATTCATTATGATTTCTTCTTGTATGATCGCAAAAAAAAAAAGAGACTAATACGAGTTCGACTCAATTTCATTCTAGCTATGTTACTGCGCGAAAGGTCATTCGGCTGTGTTTTCAATGCTGTTGCAGTTTTCCAGAAGGACTACCCGGCAAGAGCTGCTTTCCAGGTGGCAAAATTACCAGAGGTAAGTCCCTAAAAATCAGAAAACCCCTCAGTACTTCCCATGAGGTTCGAGTTTTATCACTTCGTTTTCGCGGTGATGAAGAAATACACATAGGCATGCCCAGGATCCCACATCAGGGGGGAGGGGGAGGTTAATCGCAGCGCCCCCAGCTCCCTAATAAGTCAATGTAGGAGAGAGACATTGTGCCCCCCCCCCCCCCCCGGCCTTTTAAGTTAACGTGTGGGGCAGATTTTGTGCCTACTTTACATGATTATAAAGGACGGCCACCCCCTCGTGCTCACGCCTACGGAAATACGCTTACGTTAGGCGATTTGCATATTCCGTAAGTGACACCTACAGTCGTCGCTTGAGCAGGTGTTTTCCAGTGAAGCTGTTTCAAAACCGTTCAGTGAACACGGCGTTGTTACTGTAGTGCGAGCGTTTTCCGCGGTATGGCGCTACTGTCTGATCCTCTGTGCGCGCAGTTCATCACCGAGTTTGGTGCGTTTCCGCACTCCAAAGGACACACAAAGCAAAATAGTTTTCTATATATACACTAGAGAGAACTCTTGCGTTAGTGTCTATGAGACGCCACCTTGGGATTCCCGCACCAAACACCATGACGTCACAGATTTCGAAGAAGTCTGGTGGGCTTTACGTACTTTCTAATCCGTAAAAACGTCGTATAATGCCATCTGTGGGGGCATTAGACGTAGCATACGAATTCGCAGAAAATTTAATCGAGCCAAGATTGCAAAAATACAAAAAGAAAACATTGAAATTCGGCACGAAGTCTCAAACTCAAACTTCAAGCTGTTGCTCTTTGGCGATCACATGGCCCTTGCGCCAGCCCCGCCGCGGTGGTCTAGTGGCTAAGGTACTCGGCTACTGACCCGCAGGTCGCGGGTTCGTATCCCGTATGCGGCGGCTGCATTTCCGATGGAGGCGGAAACGTTGTAGGCCCGTGTGCTCAGATTTGGGTGCACGTTAAAGAACCCCAGGTGGTCGAAATTTCCGGAGCCCTCCACTACGGCGTCTCTCATAATCATATGGTGGTTTTGGGACGTTAAACCCCTCATATCAATCAAATAAATTGGCCCTTGCGCCAATAAACACCACATATCATCATCATAAAACTTCAAGCTTCATTTTCTCTGCTAATAATTAACATATGATAGGGAAACATGGCATTAGAGTTCTCAGAATGTAGTTTTCCAGTGTAAACCAAGTCATTGTTTCAATTTATCGTCCCTTTAATATGGACGGGTGGTACTGATGTCCCTTAAGGGAACACTTTGGGCAAATAACAATTTATGTCATATAGTGAAATATGAACGTATTACATCGTCTAAAACGGCAATATTGCCAAAGCAGTGCCACACTTGCCGATAAATTAAGCTGAATGCATCGCGCAACGTGCACCACAAGTTAGGAATGAACGGGAAGCCACTCATGTCTCACTTGTGGTGCTCTTGACGCTTGTGTGTTTGCCTGACTTCTGATGAAGTATGTTCTGTGTACTTACTGGTGATAATCCCATTCATTAAAGAAAAAAAAACCACAAGTGAGACATTTCAGAAAAAGATCCCGATGACGTAAGAGCGTCCGATGACAAGTTATCACTAGCAATCGACCAAACTATCAGCAATAAAAAACCTTCCATGCATCAAGAGACGAAGTATAATGCTGCTCGTCCGTTTCTTTCTTATTTATAGAAAAAAAAAACAGCCTTGCGTTACTACGGGGGCTGACGCGAGTTGTTCAAAAGTTCTATTCACGTCAGGTTGGATGGACGAATGGATTGATGTGGCTGCACCCTTTAAATCGGGCAACGGCTAACGCCACCTAGCCGTAATACGTAGTGACCTAACAAGTAGATTTATCTTTTTTTCCCTTTAAATAGTGAAGTTGAGGACTGGTACTTTGCAATGGAAGGTTTAATTTTCACTCGTATTTTGACTTTAGCCACCAATCAGATAACCTCCTTCTAGTTAACTCTACCCGCTTAAAGTCTATTTTGCCCTCCCTGTCCCTAAACACCAGTGCTTTGAAAAACTCTGCGCCATCATCCTGAACTATAGGGTGAAGCCCTTTACAGAACATTATCAAGTGTTCGGCTGTTTACTCCTCCTCTCCACACGCACTGCATACCGTGTCTACCCCTTCGTATTTGGCCCGATATGTCTTGGTTCGCAATACTCCCGACCTGGCCTCAAACATTAGAGAACTACCCCGAGTATTATCATAGATCCTTTCCTTGGCAATTTTCTGCTTAAACGTTCGATAGATCTCTAGTGCGGACTTCTTAATCATGCCAATTCTCCACATGTCAGTCTTCGTTTCCTTCACTTTCTTCTTAACCGATAGTTCTTTTTGGTTTGGCCACCTGCTGTTTTCTAAGTATTTACCAGTCAAATTCCTGGTTCGCTTCCTCCATTTTGTATCGACATTCTTCATGTACAAGTAGCCGAAAACCTTCCTAGCCCAACGCTCCTCCCCCATTTCTCTCAATCGCTTTTCAAATTTTATCTTGCTGCTAGCTTTCCTGCCCTCAAATGATGTCCATCCCATATTACCTTGTGTTCCCTGATTTGGTGTATTCCCATGAGCTCCTAAAGCAAGCCTACCTATTCCACGTTGCTTAATTTCTAATCTTGCTTGAACTTCCGATCCCATGCACAAGACCACATTACCGAACGTCAGACCAGGAAGCTAAAGCTCCTAAAGCATTTCCGAATGTCAGACCAGGAACCATGGCCCCATTACATATCCTCTCACAACATCATACCTATTGTAAATCCACAGTGCCCTGTTTCTCATATCACCTTGTACTCCCTGATTCGGTGTATTCCCGTGAGCTCCTAAAGCAAGCCTACATATTTCACGTTGCTTAATTTCTAATCTTGCTTGAACTTCTGATCTCGTGCACAAGACCGCATTGCCGACCGTCAGACCAGGAACCATGACCCCTTTCCATATTTCTCTCACAACATCATACCTATTGTAATTCCACCGTGCCCTATTTGTCATCACTGCTACATTCCTGTTACCTTTAGCCGTTACGTATATTTCGTGTTCCCTTAGGTACGCGGTCCCATTGCTTATCCATACGCCCAGATATTTGTATTTATCTGTTATCTCTAGCGTGACCTCCTGTATTCTAAGCTCCCTACATTTATTATCATTAAAAATTAGGACGTAATTCCACAGTGCCCTATTTTTCATCACTGCTGCATTCCTGTTACCTTTAGTCGTTACGTATATTTCGTGTTCCCTTAGGTACTCGGTCCCATTGCTTATTCATACGCCCAGATAATTGTATTTATCTGTTATCTCTACCATGACCTCCTGTATCCTAAGCTCACTATATTTATTATCATTAAAAATTATGACTGCTGATTTTTCCTTACTGAATCTGAAATCTAACCTATCTCCCTCATTGCCGCAGATGTCCACCAATTTCTGCAAATCTTCTTCGTTGTCGGCCATTAGCACTATATCATCTGCGTACATCAATGCTGGTAGTGCCTGTTCAATGAGTTTTCCTTGTTTGACGAAAAAGGTTGAATCGAAGTCCACGTCCCTCTAATTTGGCCTCTAATCCTTGTAGGTACATCATGAATAACAAGGGTGACAGAGGACACCCCTGCCTAAGCCCCCATCTTAGCTCTGTGGGCTTGGATACCTGTTTTTACCACATTATAACGGCCTTGTTACCATTATAGATATCCTTTAAAAGATTAGTGACTCCATCTACCACATCTAGTGTGTCCAGTATTCCCCACAAGTCCTCTTGAACCACGCTATCGTACGCTCCCTTGGTATCCAAAAAATGCTAGCCACAGGGGCCTGTGTTCCTTTTTTGCTATTTCGATGCACTGTGTCAGTGAAAACAGATTTCCAACCTCCTGTGTTTCCAAAACCCATTATGCAGTTTCCTTAGCACCCTCTCATCCTCTATCCATGCCTGCAGTCTTTCCTTTCTAATCTGCATAGCCAGCCTGTAGACCAGTGATGTCACTGTTATCGGACGGTAGTTGTTTGTCAGCTTTGTCCCCCTTTCCTTTAGAGAACATGCTCATCCTGCTAAGTTTCCATCCATCGGGGACATCACCATCGATTATTGTTTTACTCACTGCTTCTCTCAATGTCTGCTTAGAATTCGGACCCAATGTCTTCATCAGCATAATTAAAATGCCATCTGGGCCTGTTGATGTACTGCTAGGAGCCCTCTTCTCAGCACTTTCCCACTTTCGTTGTGAAAATGGAGCCATTGCACCACTTGATTCGTCCTTGTCTATTGTGGTGCATAAAGTACTTCTTTGTTGAAATCTTTCTGTCACCCTTGTTCTTATATATTCAATAGCTTCGTCCCCTTCTAGCCTAGCACCTTGAACTGTAGTTATAAACCTCTGCTCAAGGCTTGTCTCGTTTGTTAGCGAGTTTAGATGGTTCCAAAATTTCGCAGCTGCCTTTCTATCCTTTTTATGTACTTATGCCAGCCACTGAGCCCCCTTTCTTCTAATCTTTTCATTGATCAGAAGGGATGCTTCCCTTCTACAGCTTAGAAAGATGTCCCATTTTCTTGCTGAATCTGAAATCTAACCTATCTCCCTCATTGCCGCAGATATCCATCAATCTCTGCAAATCTTCTTTGTTGTCGGTTATTAACACTATATCATCTGCGTACATCAATGCTGGTAGTGCCTGTTCAATGAATTTTCCTTGTTTGATGAAAAAGGGGTTGAATCCAAGTCCACATCCCTCTAACTTGGCCTCTAATCCTTGATTGATTGATTTGTGGGGTTTAACGTCCCAAAACCACGATATGATTATGAGAGACGCCGTAGTGGAGGGCTCCGGAAATTTTGACCACCTGGGGTTCTTTAACGTACACCCAAATCTGAGCACACGGGCCTACAACATTTCCGCCTCCATCGGAAATGCAGCCGCCGCAGCCGGGATTCGAACCCGCGCCCTGCGGGCCAGCAGCCGAGTACCTTAGCCACTAGACCACCGCGGCGGGGCCCTCCAACTTGGCCTCTAATCCTTGTAGGTACATTATGAATAACAAGAGTGACAGAGGACACAACTGCCTAAGCTCTCGTCTTTGCTCTGTGGGCTTGGATACCTGTTTTTCCCACTTTATAACTACCTTGTTACCTTTATAGACACCCTTTAAAAGATTAGTGACTACATGTTCCACGCCTAGTGTGTCCAGTATTCCCCACAATTCCTCTTGAACCACGCTAATGCACGCTTCCTTGATATCCGAAAATGCTAGCCACAGGGGCCTGTGTTCCTTTTCTGCTATTTCGATGCACTGCGTCAGTGAGAACAGATTGTCTTCCAACCTCCTGTGTTTCCGAAACCCATTCTGCAGTTCCCCCCGCACCCCCTCATCCTCTATCCACGACTGCAGTCTTTCCTTTATAATATGCATAGCGAGCCTGTAGACCACTGATGTCACTGTTATAGGACGGTAGTTGTTTATGTCAGCTTTGTCCCCCTTTCCTTTACAGAACATGCTCATCCTGCTAAGTTTCCATCCATCTGGGACTTCACCATCGGTTATTGTTTTGTTCACTGCCTCTCTCAATGTCTGCTTAGACTTCGGACCCAATGTCATCAGCATAATTGGAATGCCGTCTGGGCCTGTTGATGTACTGCTAGGAGCCTTCTTCTCAGCACTTTCCCACTTTAGTTGTGGAAATGGAGCCACTGCGCCACTTGATCCATCCTTGTCTATTAAGGTGCATAGGGCACTTCTTTGTTGAAATTTTTCTGTCACCCTTATTCTTATACATTCAATAGCTTCGTCTTCTCTTATCCTAGCACCTTGAACTGTAGTTATAAACCTCTGCTCTAGGCTTGTCTCATTTCTTAGCGAGTTTAGATGGTTCCAAAATTTCGCACCCTCCTTTCTATACTTTTTATGCACTTCTGCCAGCCATTGAGCCCTCTTTCTTCTAATCTTTTCATTGATCAGAAGGGATGCTTCCCTTCTACAGCTTAGAAAGATTTTCCATTTTCTTTCAGCATCTTATTCGATTCGTCCCGCTGCTTAGCATGTCTGCGTTTCCTAAAGGCTTCCTGACGTTTTGCTATGGCTCTCTTAACTACCTCATTCCACCAACTCTTGGGTTTGTGTCCCCTTTTCCGGGGTGACTTGTCACGTACCTTAGCAAGCTCTAGTTCAGTCTAATTAGATTCGTGTAATGCCCATATCGTTTCATTATCCTCAGCGATTACTTTCTCAATTTGTTTAGTAGCTATTTCTATTTGCCTTTCTGAATAAAAATTTTCCTGTAGTTGCTCATCTTGTCTCCTTCCCACTTTCACTGCTCTTCCAAAACTTAGCTTGATACGTTTGTGATCACTACCCAGACTTCTGGAGCCACATTCATCTATGTGCATTCCCCGGAGCCTATCATACATTTTATGTGACATCAGTGCATGATCTATCGTCGACTGCAGCCTTCCTACCTCCCATGTTATTTGCCCTTCACACTTCTCAGTAGTGTTGCAAATGATCAAATCATGCCTTTCACACGTATTCAAGATCATTTCGCTTGTTGGGTCAGTATACCAATCTATATATTCTATGTGCGCATTCATATCTCCTAGTATACTTATCTCGCACTCTCCTGCTAGTTCCTCAATGTCCTTTGATATAAACTCCACCATTGCCTGGTTTTCCTCTCTGGCCTTTGCTCCAGTCCACAAGTACACCAAACCAAGGAGTGTCATCCTTCCAGCTACTATCCCTCCTTACCATAAATGTTCCATGCATCCCTGCTTGACTCTTTGCCAACCCATACTTTTATGTATGAATGCACCAATTCCACCCCCTTTTTGCTGCCTTCTGTTCTATTGCAATATTCCCATACGTAGTCCGGATTTCAAGGTGGTTGCTCTATGTCCATAAGATGTGTCTCCACAACCCCATATATCATCAGCTCCTCATGCCTCAACTGCTCTTCTATCTCTTCCTACTTTAATCTATTCCTGCCACCCTGCATGTTAATATATCCTATGTCTGACTTAGCTCGACCCTTGTGCTTACGTCGATTTCTTCTCCCACGGACTCCGTGTGGCTTGAATATTTGTGCCCCTTTATAACCGTCTTCGGATACACTGTTGGCCTCAGGGATCTGGGTCCGCCTAAAAAACTTGCGGCTTGACGACCCATCCTATTACCAACCATCCTGCCCGTTGCACCACTGTAGTGAATGTCATCCTGTGCAAAGGGGCAAGCGCCGGGCTCGTACACGTCTTGGTTCACCTCCATGACGCTGTATACAAGTTGCTGGCTCATACCCTTGATCACACAGTTGGCCTCCACTACCATCCTTTCAATCCCACGAGACTGTCCCCAGACCTCTGGGACTGTGCATATGGTCATATGCAGACTGCCAGAGGAGTCTCAGAACTTACGCATCCCATCCTTTGTCTCTGAAGGTTTCGATCCTTGCCCTTCAACACATCATTGAGCCCACCATGAATATTGACGAGATTTTCGCCCTCCTTGCTGTCCTCTACAACCTCCTGAGCTTTGGCCAGTGCATCCACCGTGCTCTTCCCTGAGTGGACTTCCACCCTCACTCTCCCATCTTCCTTCACTGTCGTGGTGACGCCATCCCTAACCCTGGCCACGTTAGAGTCCCCCACCACTAGGAACCTTCTACGCTCCAATCGCTGGCTTCCTGTTTGTGATGGTGCCCCTGTTTACTTCACCTGTTGCTCTCTCTGCTGTCTGTCCTGTGTTTCTGCCCTATACTTGAAGTCTGCCGCGCCTCCGAGCTGTATGTTCTCGGAGCCTCCGTGTTGTGGCCAGACACTGCGGCCCCTTGACCTCCCTTCTCGCCTGTTTCTTCCCACCTGTCGCCTTCTCCGCTACCCACGCCTTCTGTCTCGCACCGCTCGGAGCCGTGGCAAAGCGCCATTAGCTGCTTTACCCGCTGCTCGAGCTCGGTCCGCCCTTTCCGTTTTTTTCGAAGGTCGCCCTTCATTTGCTCTAATAGGCTGGTGGTAGCCTCCTCCTGCTCACGCGACGCTCCAAGCTGTTTTTGGAGTTCTATCATCTGCTCCCTTTCCGCCCTAAATTCCCCGTAAGCCCCTCGATGCTAGCCTCCATGTGCTGCACGGCCCCCTTCAGTGCCTCGCACAGCCTCCACACGAAGCTTGCCTTCTGCGCGTCGGCCAAACTCGTGAATTTTGTCTCGTCCAAGTGCCACAAGCGCTTGCATTCGTCGCACTGCACCAGCTGACTCTCGCCCTTGGTTTTCCTAGCCTCCTTAGCCATCGCCCGCCCGACCATCGGACCGAGCACCCGACAGCCCCAAGTTCAACCTTAATCCCGCTATCAAGCCGCCATCACTAACTCTCCTACCTCAACAACTGTTTGAAACTGCCGCCTACACCACACGCACACGTATTCAATTTCGCTAGTAGCCTGTCACTTAGTCCGCTTCGAGTTCGGCTCTAGCTGCTTAACAACTAATCGGGCGCACCAAACTTCTTCAAAACAGCCGCCAACCCCGTTCACGTGGTCAACGTCACTGCAACGCTGCCCGTGTCTCACACCTACAGTACTCACAACGCAAGGTATTGATTAGGAAAGAAAAACCAATAATGGTGTTCACTAACACAAACAAATAAAGAAAAACTTATCTCTCGTTGTGCGCTGCTTGTGCCTTATAGGTGGTGGTTAGGCCGTATAGGTGGTGCCGTTTAGCGGGGACCAGTTGAAAAAAAGCAAGCAGAAAATTGTTCAGTGGCCGTTGTGCTGCCTGCAGCTCCCGCTAATTTTCGCTTCACTGACTACTAGAGTGGACAGCTGCCAACAGCGCAGTAAAGGCGGGCAACGTTGGGCATGCTCACAGTGACGTCAGATAGACCTCTTTCAGGCGGGTGATTTGAAGTGCGCTAACGCGATGCGAACCACTTAGGCGAGTCATAAGCACTTCCTTGGCACAAAAGCAGCACTACGCAGGTTTCTGAACTAGCTATTTCAACCATCAATGTCGAATTATATTTGCTTTTAGTGCCGCTGAAAAGCGCCATGCAGTTTTCCGCTGTGATAGCACTCGTGGTTTTTGACGTCGCGTTAATGTTATCTTTTGCATCAGTTCTATGTTCTTTTGTTATTGACGCATAGAGGTCAATAACAGCGTGGCCGCATTGTTATCATAATGACGCAAGTTAGTCGCAATGGGATTATGCTTCCCTAACCTTCTCTTGCCAAGCCCTCATGTTAGGAAACCAGTACGTTATGAAGCTGCGTCGATGACTTCACATGCATAATGTGCATTGTTCTTTCATTTTTTCTTACTTTTTTTTCGCCACAGAATTCCCTGGTTGAAATCGACGCCATCGCGGTAGACTTCGCCGCCTGAAAGGAAACCGATGCTACATAGCTTCACAAGTCTCGGAGCTCTACCTTCCCTAATAAAGGGTCCGAAAAATGTCTTCATCTTTTTTGTGGGATGACGAATGGAATGGAAAAAAAATAAACGCTTATTTTCGAAGTGGTATACCTGGGTCAGACCCGGTTGTACTCTCGGTGGAGGATTTCTTAATTTTAGAAGTCATCTGGCCTTCGACGCCTCTTTGGACATTGCGACAATGTATGTTGTTGCTCAGGTACTCGGATTAACAAGGTAAGAACATAATTCTAATTAAAACTCGTTGTTGGGCTGGTTGGCAACTCTTCATATTGTAATTCAGTGCAACTTAGGAGTAGCACGAGGAGAAAAACGAAAGGACGGAGACGTTTGACGGTTTTCAAGCCGGCTGGCTACCCTGCACCGTAATTTAAGAAATTAAGAACACTCGCGTATTCGCGCTCGCCTCCACTCAAGTGCTGTGTGTGATGTGCGTATTCGAGTGTGAATGCGTGAGTATTTGTAGGCGTTTCTAAGCAGCGCTAAATTACTTGCAATGTGGTGGTGGTAGTGGTTAGAAGATGAGAAAAGGCACCTAATTTCTGCAACCCGGTCGGGAGCACGGCGCAGTGCCTGTACTTGCAATGTAAGGAAATATGGGACCGCAAACACTGTAGGCGGTGCTCCTCCTTTCCAGTGACAGTGTGCCCCCTCCCTTCTCCGAACTATCAGTCCCTCGTTGACAATGCATATATGCTGACAGGCCGCAACGAGGCGTGACAACCGCACAGTAATTTTTGAAAGAGCTTCTGTGTATTCTGTGTGATTTCACTGGTAAAAGGTCGACGACCAGAAAAGGAGGAGTGGCGCCGTAATACCGTACCGCATTTGCATACGCGTAGTGTTAGGTAGAGTAAATTCATGTACTAAGGCGAAAGCATTGGTTGCCTAATCGAACACGGTATGTCGCCGCGTCGTTGGCGGGAACACGAGTGGTGAAAAAAAAAGTTCATGACGCCAAACGTCACCAAAACGTATTTACGTCGCGAATTTTAGGACACGATGACACCACAGGTCACCAAAAGAGACGTGATGCTCATGATGTCACATGAGCACTTCTTCACGAATACCAGATGCATTGCCAGAAATAAGTTGGGTGCAGACAGCTTTCGGGGCTGCTTGGATCAGTGCTTGGATCAGTGCAAGACCCGTCGCATCTAGATAAAAGCGATTGTGGGATCGCTTCCGACAAAAAATGATACTGGTACGCGAATGGTAGTGACATGCACTGCTGGCATTTATCAGATTTGCACTGTTCCGTCGCATTTTGATAAAACTGTGGCGATATCCAGAGCATTTCAGAGCACGGTGTGTCCCGCGTGCAGCTATGAAAAATGCGGCAGGTCCCACGTTCGATTCTCAAGGCCGGCCGGCCGGAAAAAAAGCCTCGGTTGGTTTTCAAAGGGGCACACGTCCGTAAGGGTGCGCGGTTCTCTTGGTGTGTGATTTAGAAAGGTTGCCCGAGCTCATCTCCGGGTCAACTCCCTGGTCTTTTTTCCCTCTGTTTATTTTTATGTATTACCTTTTTTCTCTCACACTGTCTGTTTCAAACTCTTTCCTCCTTCCCATTTCTTCTCTTTCTCTATTGGTCACCTGCTTCCTTCCTTTCTACTTTTCCCCGGTCTCTCTACTTCTTTATCTATCTTTCTTTTATTTCTCTATGTCATTCACTTTCTGCATTTCTTTATATTTCGCTCTTTCTTACTCTGTTCATGCTATTTTCTCTATCCCGCTCCACCTCCCCAACCACAATTATCTGTCACAGCCTTTGCTGCACTATAGTACGCAAGTGAATGCCGTGAAGTGGAAGCGTACTTTCATTGTCGAGTGGATAAAACGCTTGCCTACGGATCATCAGTACCCTGGTTCGAATCCCGCACCACAGAATTCTTTTTTTAGCAAGAATTTGTACTTTTCTCTTTCTCTGTACCCGTTCTCTCACTGCCGGAAAAATCGGCTTACGTGTTCTGGTAGCGAAGCAGAAGAGGACGAAGAAGAGCAGATCGCTTGCTGGTTCACGATGGTTATTATTTCTGTTCACAAATCACGCTCCAACGTTCCGCTTAATTAGCTACGCTGTTAAAGTTGAAGCCCTTATCCTCAATCATAAAGTTAAATTTTCTTTTGACATCACACCTTGCAACGATGAACGTAGCTAAAAGTTTTCCAAGCTAAAGTTCCTCCTAAAACGTCGGCTTCACCACAGTAGATGGCCAGAAACTGGCAAAAAAGTTGAGGCCCTTATCAGCCATGATAAGGTCCAAATTTTGTCTGACGTCACACCTTACAACGATGAACGTAGCTAAGTGTCTTCCAAGCTAAAGTTTCTCCTTAAACGTCGGCTTCACAGCAGTAGATGGCCAGAAACTGTCAAAAAAGTTGAGGCCCTTATCAGCCATGATAAGGTCCAACTTTTGTCTGACGTCACACCTTACAACGATGAGCGTAGCCAAGTGTCTTCCTAGCTAACGTTTCTCATAAAACGTTTGCTTCACCGCAGTATATAGCCAAAAGCAGTCGAAAAAGTTGAGGCTCTTATCACCCACGATAAGGCCCAACTTTTGTTTGACGTCACACCTTGCAACGATGAACGTAGCTTAACGTTTTTCAAGCTACTGTTTCTTTGAATTGCCGGCTTCACCGCAGTATATGGCCAGAAACTGTCAAAAAAGTTGAGGCCCTTATCAGCCATGATAAGTTCTAACTTTTGTGTGACGTCACACATTGGCACGAAGAACGTAGCTAACAAAAGTGCAGTGAAGCAGACGTTTCAGGAGGAACTTAAGCTTGCAAGACGTTTAGCTACGTTCATCGTTGCAGGTGTGACGTCAGAGAAAAGTTGGAACTTATCGAGACTGATAAGGGCCTCAACTTTTTTGACAGTTTCTGGCCATCTACTGCGGTGAAGCCGGCGTTTCAGAGAAACAGTAGCTTGGAAGACGTTAAGCTACGTTCATCGTTGCAAGGTGTGACGTCAGACAAAAGTTGGGCCTTATCGGTGGTGATAAGAGCCTCAACTTTTTCGACTGTTTTTGGCCATCTACTGCGGTGAAGCCGACGTTTCAGTAGAAAGTTTAGCTTGGAAGAAACAAAGCTACGTTCATCGTTGCAAGGTGTGACGTCAGATGAAAATTTGACTTTATGATTGATGATAGATAAGGGCTTCAACTTTAACAGCGCAGCTAATTAAGCAGAACGTTGGTCCGTGATTTGTGAACAGAAATAATATCCATCGTTAAGCAGCAAACGATCTCCTCTTCTTCGTCCTCTTCTGCTTCGCTACCAGAACACGTAAGCCGATTTTTCCGGTAGTGAGAGAACGGGTACAGAGAAAGAGAAAAGTACAAATTCTTGCTAAAAAAAGAATTCTGTGGTGCGGGATTCGAACCAGGGCACTGTTGATCAGTAGGCAAGCGTTTTATCCACTCGACTATGACAGTACGCTTGCACTGCTCGGCATTCACTTGCGTACTATAGCGCAGCAAAGATGCGACAGAGAATTGAGGTTGGGGAGGAGAGGAGGAGCGGGAAAGAGGAAATAGCATGAAGAAAATGAGAAAGAGCGAAATATAAAGAAATGCAGAAAGTGATTGACAGAGAGAAATAAAAGAAAGATAGATAACGGAATAGAGAGATCGGAAAAAAGTAGAAAGGAAGGAAGCAGGTGACGAATAGAGAAAGAGAAAAAACGGGAAGAAGGATAGAAAGAGTTTGAAACAGACAGCGTGAGAAAAAATAGGTAATACATAAAAATAAACAGAAGGAAAAAATACCAGTAATTTAACACGGAGATGAGCTCGGGCAACCTTTCTAAATCACACACCAAGAGAACCGCGCGCCCGAACGGACGTGTGCCCCTTTGAAAACCAACGGAGGTCTTTTTTCCGGCCGGCCTTGAGAATCGAACGCGGGACCTCCCGCATTTTCTATAGCTGCACGCAGGACACACCGTGCTCTGAAATGCTCTAGATATCGCCACACGTTTTATCAAAATGCGACGGAACAGTGCAAATCTGATAAATGCCAGCTGTGCATGTCACTACCGTTCGCGTATACCTGTATCGTTTTTGTCGGAAGCGATCCCAGAATCGCTTTTATCTAGATGCGACGGGTCTTCGAAAAACCGAAAAATTCTAAGTTGCCAAAGGCCCATCGTTGGGGTCCTGAGATAATCGTCCTCTGTTCGCTCTGTTCTAGTCTCTTCTATCCCCTCCTGTCGCTTGCGCTGTTAAGCACTTTCTTCGTCCAAGCGAAATGCGACGCAGTCATCATATTGGATGAGTGACGTTTTGCCAGGGGGCTGGTGCTTTACTCGTGTGAGCTCGCTCACTAGTCCATCCGTCCGTCCGTCCGTCTGTCTGTCCACCCGTCCGTAGCTCCCGATACGTATATCCAGGCATAGCCGAGCTAAGCCCTTGTGAAATCTTCTCCTGCGTTAATTGCCCTGATCCAACCAGCCCCAAAAGCTGTCTGCACCCAACTTATTTTTAGCAATGCCTCTGGTATTCGTGATGAAGTGCTCATGTGACTTCACGAGCATCAAGTCTCTTTTGGTGACCCGTGGTGTCATCGTGTCCTAAAATTGGCGACGTAAATAAATTTTGGTGACCTTTGGCGTCATGATCGTTTTTTCCATCACTCCTGTTCCCGTCAATGACACGGCGACATCCCACGTTCGATTAGGCAACCAGTGCTTTCGCCTTAGTACATGAATTTACTCTACCTAACACTACGCGTATGCAAACACAGTACGGTATTACGGCGCCACTCCTCCTTTTCTGGTCGTCGACCTTTTATTAGTGAAAGCACACAGAATACACATAAGCTCTTTCAAAAATTACTGTGCAGTTTTTACGCCTCGTTGTGGCCTGTCTTTGTTAAGGAGAGACCGATAATAGTTCGGGGGACACACTGTCACTGGAAAGAAGGAGCACCACTGTACTGCCTTATTGTATTTCCGCACCGCTTTTTGTATATTGCTAGCGATTTATCGTAAGTTGTGAATCCCTGGAAACAAACGAAGAAACAAACTTCAACAACGGTGGTCCTATATTTTCAACAAATATAGGACTACCGACTCGCCAACTACTCTAACGCTGGCGAATAGCATTTCAACCCTGCAAGATAGACGAAAAATCGATAGGCTGAAACTGCCGTTTACTCTTTACACTGGTTCCACAAAGGTAAATGCATCGGTATACATTCAGCCATTTCAATCGCGCCCCACGAGACATCGGCGCACGCACAATTTGCTTCCGTATCGAGCCCACACAAACATGTTCGAGAATTCGTTTTTCCCACGTACAGTATCGAAATGAAATTCACTGCCTGAAGTGGTTTTAACATCTCAGTTTATTTGCCATTTTGAGCGCGCCATATTGTCTGTGCTGTAGTCTGTACTCGACTCTCTTTACTGTTTATCGCAATTGTGAATGTATAATAGGGAGATAGACCCATCTCCGTTGTTCTGAAGGTCGTATTAACCTGCGTTTAAGCTCATCTATATATCTCTGTATAATGTGCTTATATTCTGTATTTTGTGCACATCATTCGTCTATCACGCTTACGTGTGTTTTCCACTTAATTTTTGTGCCTCTCCTGCTTGGTCTTTTCAAGACCGCAGTATGTTGTAAATAAAATAAAAAAATGAAAAAACACGCACACATACACACGCACACAGCGCTAGTATATTCGGTGGAAGCGAATAGTTATGGTTCAGGGTTTCTTGGAATTACTATGTCGAACTAAATTACTTGCAATATGACGATTTACCAACTAGCCCAACAAGTTTAAACTAACAGTATCTCCTTACCTCGTTCAAAGACCTTAATGCTCATATTCGGGTACCTTCATCCACATCGTCGCATGGGCGAAAGAGGCATCGAAGGCCAGATGATTTCTGAAGTACAGAAACCTACCGTCGAGTGTATAACCGGGGCTGGCCCAGGTATACCGTTTTGAAAATAAATTTTTATTCATCATCGCACAAAATAGATGAAGACACCTTTAGTATGATTTATTATGGCAGCTAAAGCTCCGATACTTGCGAGGCACGTCGATGATGTATACCATCGTCGACGCATTTTCAGGCGGCGAAGTCTACCACAAACGGCGTCCATTTCGACCAGTGCAGAAACCTGAGGCAGAAAAGCAGAAAGCAACAAACAACGATAGGACAAACAATAGCTTGCAGGCGAGGTCATGGACGTCTCAAACCTCGCGGGACGTCTGAAACCCTTGCATCCTACCATGCAGTACACCAACATATCACGTCAAGTCGCACGAGTGCAATCAATCTATATTTCAAGGGACACTAAATAGAAACAATGGCTTCGTTTAGATCAACAAACTCCACTCTTACAACTATATTGGCACATGTTTCATATCATACGTTCAATATTAGCGGAGAAAATCAAGGCTGAAGTTTATTTTTTTTTTAATTTCGCGCCAAAATGTGTGCATGTGACGTCAAAAATTTCAACATTTATTTTTTTTTTGTATTTTGCGGCATTGGCTAGACGAAACTTTGTAGAACTTCGTATGCTAGGTCCATGGTACCATCAGATGGCAATGTACTTCATTTTCGAGGATCAGAAATTTCTTAGAACCCACTAGCCGCTTTCATATTCTATGACGTCACGATGTTCGGGGGGAATCTAATGATCGGCGTCTCCGCCCACATTTGCTTCGCTTACCAAGCGTCGTGTTGCAGTAGGAGTGGTTTTTTTGGGATTGCGAAGTCGTACCTTACTAATACACGATGAGTGATCGACATGTGGGGTTTAACCGTCCCAAAACCACCATTTAATTACGAGAGCCGTGGCAGTGGAGGTATCCGGAAATTTCGACCTCCTGGGCTTCTTTAACGTGCTCCCAAATACTGAGTACACGGGCCTACAACATTTTTGCCTCCATCGAAAATTCTACTCACGCACGGAAAATCGTTTTGGTCTTGATACAGTGTCCTTGAAAAAGAAGCCGGCAGCTTCGTCGAACTATGCATGCAAATTTCTAATAGTGCAGATAATAATTTGCGTTAACAATCCCGCGAAAATGTATGAAGAACTTCAGCTTGTTTCCGTACCCTTGAGGTGACCAGAGAGTCACGTGATCTCGGCAGAAAAACAAATCGTAAACAGTGGTTCTTCGCTCGAGCGAACGTCCGCTTATTCTGTAAATACAATTCTTTAAATAAAAAAAGGACGCCCACTATAATATTAGGCTTATATGGCCAACCGTTAATGTTGTTCCTCGCATTACTGCATTTAAGTTTGACAAATTATCCGACAGCACGCATACGTTTGAGTTTTGGCAGTATCTAGATGACGTCCTGGTGTTCCAGCAATTCCAGCTCTGTCGTTCGAACCATCGACCATTTCGTTATGACCTTAACACTATGTTCACTCAGCTTTTTTTTTAATTGCCCGGCTTAGACGATGTACAGCGCAATCATTTCACACTCACACTACAAATACAATCGCGAAAACAAAACAAACAATGCCATCAGTCCCATTTGCATTGGTGTTGTCCACTTAAAAATACCTAAGGGCTGTCGGTGATTCAAACCTTGACAACCTTTCTGGCGCGATATGCTGTGTTTTGCTACACTCAATAAACGCAGAAATGCTTTGCCTGAAATAAATTACTGCTGGCTTCGCATCCTGGTCGAAGTGGTATCCGGCCATTCGCGCACGCCATATACAGTGGAGTCCGGTCAACATGACTACATCAAATGGGACCCTCCTCATCATTCGTTACTGGGACGTACCTTATTTCCGTGTGGATCCAAAGGAAAATCTGTCTTTGTTGTCCTCTGCAAAATGTCCCGAAAATGTACTTATTCCTAACAGAGCAAACAAAAAAAAAAACATGGTCTATTGTTCCTAGCTTCTTACATATTAAGCAGTGTGAACGCCATGGTGTAAAAAAGCCCCGTTCCTCTGTGAAATGTTTGCTGATAGCGTTCCTGTGTGTAACTTAAAGAAAATTGTTTTCACCCCTGTAGGTACCTGCATCTTTTTCACCCGCTTTAGCTCATTTTGTTCCGGTGTTCCACTGTATATGGCCCTGTACCAAGGTACTGGCAAAACCATATCACATACATCTTTGTACAAGTATTTTCTTCTAACACTTGCTAGATAATCCAAATAAAAACGAACCGATAGAAGCGTGCACTGTCAGATAGCCACGGGCCGGCTATCAACGTCACGCGCCTGCTATCAGAAGGGACAACAAGTTCTGTTAAGGCACTGCATAACCTGAGATAGGCATAGCATACGCAAAAACGATCACTGAGGTCACGGAAAAAACAACATCTATTTACTAGTTGTCTTACAAAACGGTGCACCAAAGCAAGACCCCCGTCCTTCACACGTCTGAACAGATTGGTCCGGCTGCACGGCCATATCCATTCCGAGCCCCATACAAAAACTGCGAACACTCTGTGCAGCCCTTGGACGTTGATCCTTGGACAATGCAACACCTGCATCATATACTGGAGCTTAGTGATATAAAAACATGTTCTACGGCGTCAATTATTAAAATTTTAGGGTAGTAGGCCGGCATTCGCTATGCTATTTTTCGTCAATCTTTTAAGAAGCGTGGTATGCGCTAAACTATTGCGACGAATCTTGTGCCGATTGTTCGTGCAGTGGCTGATGACGATGAGGAACTATGCATGAAGTGGGTATGCGCCACAGTGAATACCCGAGCAAAAAATCAAGTTTTCAATGATTTGGAGCACTGGACGACCCACTCGTTATGCTATTCGCACTCTGTGACGACTGCTTGTTCTTTCGCCGTTTTAAAACGCTTCATAGATTGTTAAATTAACGAGATTGCTTTCCCGACATCAAGCCTGCCTAATGCAAGTTTGCCAACAAATCCAAAGCACCAGCGTGGCCCAGTTATTTTTTTTTGGTGTTGCAAGTCGCGAAACATCACCGAGGCGTGTCCGTTGCTACGGCCAAGAACTTCAGGAAGCTGGCGCCCGGAAGGGCTCAGTGGTGGAATACTGGGCTGGCGCCCAGTGGACCCGGGTTCGAGCCCCACTGTTTTATTGATACTATAATATTTTTTCTAATTTCGCGCGATGTGATTACGGACACCGGCGGCGGTAGCGGTGGTGAACAACTACGGCGCTGCGCGAGACCAGAGTTGGGATGTCATAACAGCTTTCGCGGTGAAACAGACGGGTTCGTGCTTTTCCGACTGTCTGCTCTTTTGTCTTTTTGTTTGACGCAACCAATAGTCTTCGCTGCCTTCATAATATTCAAGAGAATCAGCGAGGTACCTTGTCGGCGTTTTCCATTCAGTGTACAAATTCGCAATATGCTCCGGTTTTGAAGCTCACCTTTCGTGCGAAAGCCCAAGTGATTTGCCTTAGTTTACGTGGCCCTCCCTGTGACGTTACAACAATGTTTCACAACACTTAACATTTCTGATACACTTTCTTTGTTCGTGCAACAAAATGTAATATCATCTGCGCACGCGAGCATCTTCAGCTGCCACCAAGCTGAAGCCGTGTATTTAATCGCTTTCGTTTATCGCTTAGCACATCACTTCGATGTAAATACACAAAAAAGTGTACTGAGGGGGCAGCTTTAGCGCACAGACCGCAATACGTGAATGGGTGCCCCCGAAGACTTACGAACAATTAAACGTGTCGTGCCGTTCTGGTACGCCAAGGTCACTCCCTTTCCCGGTGATGGAACCGACATTAATATGATTCAAGATGACAAAGTAAGTATTACGCGCAACACGATCAAAAGCTTTCTCCAGGTCTATACCTCGTGCACAGCAACGTCAAGTAACTCCTCGTCACAACCTTCTATAGCTAGCACGCACTGCATCTTGTAAGTGTTTGAGCTAATACAGTTCTGCCTTTGACTCCACAAGTTTGTGTGTTTAGAAAAAAATATTCAACGATTTTGAGTACTTGGTACTCAACTATGGGAGAGCAATAAGCCGTCCCCTGCTGACACTCTAGCGTGCAGTGTCAGATTGCTTGGTGCTCTCCAACGACACCTTGAAGTTGTGCTGACAAAACATTCAGTGATATAGGCGTGTACGATGTCACCAGTTTAAGTTTCTCACTTCTTCCGTTTTAGGAATAAATATCGTATGCGCTTTGCTAAAGGAAGGCCGCAGAATTTTTCATTCGTACGCCTAATTGAACAGCTCAGCTAACAACGGAGACAGTTCTGTTCTAAACGTCTTATACCACGCTGCGGGTAGGCCATCGGGTACCGGTGACATTGCGGGGTTCAAATTACCAATCGCGCGTTCCACTTCGCCTACCGTTATTTTCCGTTCTAAAAGCTTTGAAATGGTATCGTCACTAAGCCGCGGCATGCGCTCAAGAAACTCTTCTTTAGAACATTCGCTTTTCGACATGCAAAAAAGTGACTGACAATAAGCAAAAAAAAAAAAAGCCCTTCCGTTGGCTTTATTGTCGCTCGTGAGAGTCCCGTTGCAGTATACTACATATCAATATGGTGTTGGCATCCTTGCGCTTTTAGGGGCGAAGCTCCTTAGGGCGTGGGCTGTGCGTCCCCTGTATGTAGCCACCTCTAGTTTAGTTCTTGCAGTGTTCACTAGATGGCGGTACCGTCCCCTGTATGTAGCCACCTCTAGTTTAGTTCTTGCAGTGTTCACTAGATGGCGGTACCGTCCCCTGTATGTAGCCACCTCTAGTTTAGTTCTTGTAGTGTTTACTAGATGGCGGGACTTGTAGCTGATGATGAAAAGATGCAAGATGTTATAAACTAGAAAGCGGTACTTGTAGTTGATGAAAGACGCGAGATCTTATAAATAGGAATGATGTCACATATGGCGCGTGTCATTGGTTGAAGGCAATCGTTCGATTTAGTGCGGCGACGTACGCTAGGGGGAGCGATGTAATAAAATCGAGTGGGCAAAATGTACAGAGGATTCATGGTTTACCAGGTTTACCTCCGGAGCTTCGCCCACTCATCATCATTCACTTCGTGGAGATGGCGGCACTTTTTCGAGACCAAGCGCCCTTTTAGTGGGCGTATCTCCCACGACAAGATTGTATGCTAAAGCGCGAACCTAGGCGCCTTGATAATGCTCTTTTTCATACTGTTCTAATTTTTTTAGACGCTGCGCACCTCGTCTTTACAAGTCCCAGGCTCCCGACTTTCGAGGGCTATCAGCTGCTGCAGTGTTTTCTTCAAACTTCGTTCTTTCATTTGCGCTTCGAATTTAAGCGAGCTCGACCTGCCCAGCGCTTTCATGTTCACCTTCTCATTTAAACACTCCCATTTCTCTGCATCAGTTTCCGTTTTCTCAATAAACACTTCATTATTGGTCTCGTGCACTGCCTCTATGGTTCGTCTTTTAATAACAACGCGTTCACTTTCCATAAATCCCAGTTAAGAGCCTTGCGCTGTTTGTTCGTGCCTATGCGACACACAATGTCCTTTTTTCAGTCATCTGAAAAAAAGACACTGGCTCAGCCGAGAAATCGTGAAACATAGGCAAAATATCTAGAGATAGGCATATGCGGTCTAAAAGCGCATGGTTATTGCCTTGAAATGACAAGTACATGAACTCGCGATTTGCTGCGACACATTCATACACATCATCCAAGTCACTTTCGTTCACCTAGCACGTCATTGCTTTTATCACGAATGTCAGTGCTTGCCAGTTGTTGACCTCCATCGGAAGCACTTAGAACACAGTTGAAATCCCCTAACAAAACAGACCTTTTATCACAATTTGTTTACTGAAACAGGTTAGAAAGAACAACTGGGCATGCTCTTCTACACCATTCGGTGCGTGTATGCATATTACCCTGACAGTGGCACAATAAACAAAGTCAAAATAAACGATTCTGCCTGACTGGCATGGAAATACAGTGTGAACAAAAATACTTTGTAGCTTTTTGTTTTTGTTTTTTTTACAAAAAGAACACCTGGCCGACGTTTGTATGGCATGGCTTACGAACGCGCAATGTCGGTCACTGAAACGACGCACAATGCTCCCGACCTCCTCCTCCTCTCCGTCTACCTTAGTTTCCTGGACGACTAGAACGTCTATATTTTGGCCTGTGAGCAACCGCAAGAGCTGACTTTCTTACGCCTAGCCAACGACCTTCTGACGTTAAGCTAGTTATACTGAATGACGGAGTAATTGCCATTGTGACTTTTAAAGGAGTAGGTCCGGAACATTGATTAGCGGATCATGGGAGATGTATTTGCCCTGCAGTGGGCGTAGTAATGATGTTGCTTCTGCTGATGATGGTGCTTACCTTTCACGACCAGCCCTCAGCTAGTCACACCCAGGACCATCCTGCTTGCCGGCGTTCTTTTGTTTTATCGTGTCCGCTGGTCTTCTGTCACTTAGACCCTTGGGCTTGGGTCTGGGGGTCGGCTGCCTCCCTTGTGGTGCCTCTGCAGGCGGTTCTTCGCTGCAGGTGGTTCCCGTTGTCAGGTTCCTCGGTCGTGTCGCGCGAACGCTTATGTGGCCATGGCGACACGTCTCGCCCCGAGGCTCTGCTGCATCGTCTGACTCCTCGGTTGCCACTGCCTCCTCAATCCTGACAAGTTCAGCTGCTGGCGGCTCGATGACAGGAACGGTACACGTTCTGGAGTGTGCCCCGACAACTTGTGCGTGCCTGCCAACGACGCCCCTCCAGTTGCTGCGAAGTCCTTTGGGCTGCCAGCTCCTTCAGTGGCGTCTTGCACCTCCGCCGCAGCCATGACATGTTCGCGAACCACCTCACCCTTCGCTGGTCCTGTTGCAGATGCACAGGTCCTCACACAGTCTGCTTAAATGTGTCCGTAGCGTCTACATGGGGTGAAACGTCGCACTTTTCGTCAGCGGACGTGACCCGTGGCTTGGCAACGCAAGCACTGCATCGGCCGACCAGGCGCCACCACGAAGGCAAGCTTCCCGTCCACGCGGATCTGGTGTGGGATGTCTTTGACCTTCAATACCACGTTTCAACTTTAGCTGGACTGTTCTGGTGGTCGAGCACTTCTCTGCCATGCCTGGAACGCGCCAGCGCTCGCGGCTGACTTCCACCAGTTGCCAGGTGCTGCCAGCGAAGCCCGCACATCCTGGTCTCTCACTCCGTGCAGCAGCTATAGTGCAGCCCGAGCTTCACCTCCTGGTCAACGACGACGCATCGCAGCCCCTTCACCTGGAGCTACTTCAAGGCGAGTAGGCGTTTCTGGGGTGCCACTTCATTGAAGGGTCACCGTGAACAAGTGGTTTATCTGATATGCGCTGAGGCACATCAGGCAGCAAGCCCGTATAGGCGTCAACAGGTCCCTGAAATCTTCTGCCTTGTAAGGCCTGGCTCTGACATCCGCCATGTAAAAACACGGTGTCATTAACAAGTTTTCTTTTTGGCAGCTGAGGCAAAATAAACCGATAGTCCTTATCGTCCGTGTTCTTATTTCCGCGGCCCATACTGAACGTTATCGCCGCTCCTTGGGAGCACATGCATGATCCTATATACGATCCGCACAGCTTGGGTGCTGCAAGCAGAATGCCATGCGCACTCGGCTACTGCACAGGATGCGATGTTTAGAACTTGGTCTGCTTGCTAGTGCAGGTCATAATTGAATATAAAGAACGCACTTCGGCGTTTGAGTTTCGGTGTACTCACCCCCCCCCCCTTGTGGCTTTCTCTTCTTCTGACACCATATACGGACACCGTGATTTGAACCAGTGCCCTTTAGGTTTACAGCTAGACACCTTACCAACTCGGCTGTGATGGACTCTATAAGATATGGTTTGAAAGTTAGTCTGTATATGATACCAGTTATTCTTCAATTTTAAATGATGTATTCGTGAGCCCAGCCTCGGCGCGCACAAAGTTTTTTGGCCTTATTGACTGAATAGGTAAATCTGTAGTGGTCAGAAACCTTAGTTTTGTGATTATTTTCAGTTTCCAGAGTTAGTTTCTAACATAATTGGCTAATTTGAAATTTGACGTGGAAATAGTAAGGTTTTTGCAAGACTTAAATCTTTCGATTTCTTGAAATTTGCTTGCCGGCTGACAAGATTCACCGAACACCATACAATAAAAACTATCCACTAAGTGGTTCGAATACGCACGAGGCACAGGATATCACTAACGTGTTCCACGTTTAAAGGCGAAGCTTAAGGTTCCCTTTTTTTTTTATTTCGCTGTGGTGCTACATACAGCATGAGCAAATAGCCTACCGTCAAGCTATAGACTTGATGCGGCTATCTCTTGAGAGAAATGCTGCGAAGCTGTCGTTGGGGCCCGTATAACGTCAGTGAAAACTGACGTGATCGACGGAGGAGGGGAGAAGGGACTGGAGGAAGGAGGGAGTCAGTGAAGAAATAAATAAAAAGGAAATAACTTTCCACGCCTAGTCGGGGTTCGAACATGTGTCCTCACGGTGCGGAGGCAAGTGCCAAAGACTGGGCCACACAACCACGTTTTGTATGATCTTAATTTTATGGAAAGCGTATGAATGCTTGAGCAATAGAGTGGTGCCGTGGGCCACTCGCCCCTCCTCTTCCTTCTCTAACGACGACGACGACGACGACGACGACGACTACGAAGAAGAAGAAGAAGAAGAAGAAGAAGAAGAAGAAGATCAGAATGATTATGCTGATTAGGATGATGATGATGATGATGCTGATTAGGATGATGATGATGATGATGATGATGCAAGTTATCTCGCCATTTAATCACGCACATTCACGATCTCTCAAAGCTTCGCAAGACGCCGGTTTTCGTGGCCTGGATCTGGGAGATTTTCATGTTCTTTCTTTTTCTTTCAAGGAGACACGTACAAGAAGCGAGCTGTCATCCGAATGGGTTTAGCTTATGAATCCAGGCACCAGTGTCCCACTCTTTCTTCTCTTGAGTCACTATATGACCAGCAACGCGAGGCAAGCTGGGCGGCGACTCTTCGGGCGCACCCACACGTCGGCTTGTTATACAGTAGCGACGTCAGTTGGTTGTTAATCTGCTCGTTAATCGAGATGGCCCATCTATAGGGGAGCCGTTCTCGGTAATGCGCGTGCACGTATACACGCAGTTGCATTTCTGGGCTCTGCGCCTGTGCGACCATGCGTGTGTGTCTGTTTGTGTTAGTGTGTGTGTGTGTGTGTAAGCACAAGTGCGGATGTGAAATGGCTATCAGAGTGGTCGTGTACCGCTTACGCGGCTCCTGACCCAATCACGGAAACGGCCCATTCTGTCTTTTCAGGACGGGAAACAACAACAACAAAAAAAGATAATGGCAAGGAGGTATAACGACGGTACAAGTATACCGGCGGTACAGGTATACCGCACAGACCCGTATAGTAGCCACACCCACCGAATTTGCACCTCGGCATTTCACAGCGAAAGCTGTTGTGAGATCACGACAAGCGTCCATTCTGGCGCCGCATAGTTATCTGCCACTGCTGCCGATGTCTGTAACCAATATCGCAACAAAAAAATCTAGAAAAAAAGGTAAGTAAATAAATAAATAACAACAAACGTCCGGTACACTATACCACAGAGCTATATGCCGGTGCTTGATCCTCCTTTGCAAACTGACCCTGTCTAGGCTCGATAAAGGAATAGCGTTTACGTGTGTAATGAAGCGTTTTAGAACAGTAATATAATAACCAGGCGTCGCTCGATGAAAACTGTGTGAATAACGGGTCGTTGAGTGGTACTACCTGTTACAAAAGCCTAATGCATAATTCTTCATCGTCGTCAGCCAGATATGCTGTTGCATAACAAAATCTCATTCCATGCCCGTGGCAATATTTATCTACCCCGTCTAAAAAAAAAAAAAACGTTCTATTCGCGCTAACGCAACTGAAGAAGGGCTGACTGCGCAGTTAATTTCAGCTCACTTCCTTTATGGTTCTTTTTTGTTTCATCTGATAAAACTTTCAGTTGCGAGTAAGCACTCGCTGTGTCTCCTGCTTTGTCCGTGGTGTTTGCAATGCTTTAACCATAGTAGAGAGTTTTCGTATATCTGAAGACGCTTACGTTAGCGTTAGCGCGCGTCTCAGCACTAACGCTAAAACAAAACGTGCTGTCCGCCAAGTGGTGGTCTTTGTGTATAGAAGAAGGCATTTCCGCTAACGCAAACACAATGAAACGCAAGCATCTATGGCGCCGTCTAGTTATAGAAACACTACATATGCACTGATAGAAACCTCCGGTGCGTCACTAAATCGAGTTGAGACGAAGTCACCATTGCTGCGTCTCTGTGCCGCGTTTGTTTCAGTGTTGTGTCTGACGGCCCGAAACACATACGTCAATACAGTTTTCTTTCGTCATATACCGTAATCGAGTCCCCTATTACCTGGCTCAGCATTACTTGGGGCCGCATTTGCCTTATCTTGGAAACAAGGTTTAATGTAGGGTGCCTCTATGCGGACATCGAGGCACTCTAAGGTAATGTGTACAGCTTGGCCATCTATCGGACAAACCTGACGAAATGACCTGGTCACTGCAGTGGCGTAACCAAAGGGTAGCAAACCTTGCCCTCTCTCATTTCTCATTTTGTTTTCGCCATGGCATACAGAGCTAAAAACGACAATTCGAAAGTAATGCTTCCCCAATCAAAAATCAAAAAGGTGTTCCCCCCTCCCCGCCCCGAAAAAAAAATTTCGCCTACGCCCCTAGGTTCCTGTGTAAGAACAGTTCCTTGGTGCAAATTCACAAAAATCAAGAAAAGTGCTCCTCTTTAGCACGCGTCTATACGATATTGCACATACCTGGACTTGCCGGAGGTGATGTAGTGTCTTGCGGGTAAGCAACCATCCGTGGGTCACCTAGAGAAATCGATCGCGCGATTTAGAAAGACGATACAGAGCATCGGAGGAAGAAAAACCGCGCCCAGTTTCACCCGTTTCACAGAACGGGCTACTTGCAAGCCGCGCCACGGTGGGGTGGGCGTGTTCGTATAATCGTGCAGTGCGACGCTCCTCGTCTCCGAAGCTTGCGCGTAACCGTCTTCGAAACGCGACGCCAATTAATTGAGTGCAGTAGAGACCAGGAAGCTGTTGAGCGTGAATACCTGATGTTATGCTCTGCCACTGCCGGTTTAAAGGGAAACTAAAGTGAAACAATATAGGCTTGTATCGATGAATTGTGTGCTGACAACTCTAACGTCACTAATTTCGATATCGTAGTTTTTTTTAACAGAGGAGAAAATCAGGGTCAAAGTATTATTATTTCTTAAATTTTCGCGCTGCATACTCCTCGCGTGACGACACGGAGTTCAAAGCGTACTTCACGCATTTTGACGACATCGGCTCAACTAAATTTTCAGGAACTTGGTATGCTAAGTAAGTCTATCGTTATACGTTAAGTCTATGTTATGTATTCAGGGGACAATGTACTTTATTTCTAATGATTATAACTGCAGAGGACGTAACGGACGACACCAAAACATTTGACGTAAGAGTGTTTGGTGCGGCAATTGGGAATTCCGAAGACTTGGTTCGTTGGTGACCAGGGCTTCTAAGGACAAATACGGCTT